TATTGCGCGTAATAGACATTATTACCGTCGCTGCGAGAAGATATACAGGAGAGAATACCAAATTAGGACGAACTCATGATTTAGCGCCAATATCGGAGACGATAATCGTATCGGCGACGATCTTGCCGATATTTATTCGCATTCGCCGTGTCTCTGCGGATACGATTGGCCGATATAAATCGGCGGGATTCTTCCTCACCGATACGATAACCGATATGGCAAGATCGTGACGATATCGTATCGGGAACACCCCTAGTCGGGTTCGTGAGACATGGCCCGTTTGGACCCCGATGGTTGGACGGATTGTGGACTGGCTGCGCTTGGAGCCTCCCGATTGTTCACGATGGGAATAAAAACCGTGCCGTCGAACTGTCCCAACAAGTATCGATGGCGAAATTAAGTTGAAGATCGATCAAGGCGAAGGAATGCATGTCGGCATCGGCTTTGGTCTCTGAGGCATGCGATACACTCTGATCTACCGATGACGTATAAATCCTGGATGTACTTCTGAGTTGCACATCTTTCGCGAACTGTGACTGAATCGAGGTAGGATGACCCTGCTGAGTACCCTCACAGTACTTATTGGCATTTACTTAACCGATTAATGTCAAGGTACCTATATAAACAGTACTCGGCCGTTGACTCGCACCCCATGCTCACAGAGCTTGTAGTTACATGTATCCCGAATTCCCGATGACTCTACAGCAGCGAGCGACTTTGCGCCGTCCGACCAATCGACGAAATCTGAGAATCGAGATGGGTTGAACTACGGGCCCACAACAGCCATAGGGCTTGGTCAATGATAATTGGCAGTTCCGCATTGGCGCGTTGACGGCGGTTGACGGTTTGACGGGCATCGAGCGATCGTTTGGACTTTGGACTTTGACTGACGCGACAGGCATCAGATAAAATTTAGAAATTAAAATCTCTGACGCCAACCCACTTCCCTAGCCCGCCCCTCTTCGTGCCCGTTGTTCGGCGTTTTTTCAACGGTGGAACTATGATCCTCATGATATCATCATCGAGAAATCGGGAAGTCTGGATTCATTAGGCGGAATTGCCGTGTTGGAGCAATATTGATATGTATGCTGCTTCTAAGGGTAAGGAGGGGAAGCGAGAGCTTCGTTAGGATTCGGGAGGCCAGACTCCAGAATCGAGCCATCTCGAAGCAGGGAATCACAAGAAGCTATCCAGCTAAGATAATCCCTCGCAGTTGTAGCGCCGTGACCGCCGTCACTGGAGTCGGAGTGGCCGATTTGGGCTCAACCGTCCATAAGTATTACAGGATATTCGGGTGTGGATGCTGCAAGGACAAGAAGGGGTGGGAATTCGAATGTATGTGCAATTGGGCATGCGATTCGAACCGGACAGCATTTTACACGCAGAGATCAGACGACCCTCCTTTCTTGGGTAGCTTCAATATTCAACCTTTTGTCCATTCGTCGGAACTCATGTACGATAGTTACATCTTGCTAATCGCGTAAGTCCAACTCCCCTTATCCTGGACGACATGCATTCGAAAGTCTCAGGTCACCAGGTGGTGGGGATGGTCGGATAGATCAGTTGACGATAGGTATTCCGTAGTTACATATCATTCCCCTACGTCAATCGATTGCAGAATGTTTCGGAATCCTTCAATCAGTTCCCCTGTCCTCTGTTGCTTTCGGCGAGGGCCTGCCTTTTCAATTGGCCACTAGGCCAGCCATCCGCCCCCTCCCTAGCACCTGCATGAACCTATCTCGGACTGGTGGTGGGATTTGTGGCTGGCTCCCGCTTCCAACGACGTGGAGTAACTTCCTAGTCGAGAACCTAGTAATTACGTCAAAAAAGGCTTGGATCGGAGGTTGATCAGACGCAAAATGCGGTTTTTTGCTCCGTCGTCGTCTTGTATGTCTAGCAAGTTGCGAACCTCCAACTCATATCGCACCAACAAATGATCAAACTACCACCACGCCACGCCCGATTCAGCCTAAGCTACCGCGCTCCCGAGCCCGTGGCGGAACTGGGAACTACTATAGTATTAAGAGAATTACTGGGTAGGGTGGGTTGATGCGTTCAGACTTTGAGACTTTTGACATGACAGGAACCAGTATATTTTGCGGTCCCTTGAATATTTTGCAGCTGGGAGTATATACCTTACGTCCCACAGCTCGCCTCGACAATCCTGCTGTGATCGACAACCTGCCATTCACCCTCTGTCCCTCTCTGACCGTGAACGACCTCTTATCTACTGTTGTAGACTGATATTGTTGCGTCTTTAGCGCTTGTGGACCGCGCGCTTTCCAGTAGCAAACCATATCGATAACCTCTGCTACCAGTAGCATTCGCCGCCCAGCACCCTACGCACTGGTACTACTCAAGGCACCATGCGCAGTTGATCTTATCATCGAAAACATCTCACACTTCTGAGATATGATATAGTGGGATATCTCTATTCTACACCCTCTTTGGATATATCTCTGCGGTCCTACCTCATACATTAGACGATATTCGAGACGACATTCGAGCCCAGAACCGCATACTGTCCGGAATCAATCCATTGGCGTAGAACGCCAACACCGTTCGCAATGGAGACGAAAGAAAAGACCATCGAGGCCACCGGCGTCGCCACCTCCCCGGAGAATCCGGAGAATCCCTCGAACTATGATACCGGGTTCGTCGACGAGGATGCCATGAAGCTGGCGGCGATGGGCTACACCCAAGACATGAAGCGCAATTTCTCCGTCTGGTCCGTCCTCGGCGTCGGCTTCTCCCTCACCAACTCCTGGTTCGGTATCTCTGCAGCCATGGTGACCGGAATCAACTCCGGCGGACCGCTGCTCATCATCTACGGCATCATGATCATCGGGCTGGTCTCCAGCTGCGTCGCCATCTCCCTGTCGGAGCTGGCAAGCGCGATGCCGAACGCCGGCGGCCAGTATTTCTGGGCGAGTGAGCTGGCGCCGAAGAAGTACGCGAACTTCGCGTCCTACCTTACCGGCTGGTTCGCCTGGACGGGCTCGATCTTCACCTCCGCGAGCGTGGCGGCCGGGCTTGGGAGCGCCCTTTGCGGTTGTTGGCAGCTGGCCCATCCTGACTTGTAAGGAATCTCGTATAAATCCCTGGGCTGAAATTTGACCGCTAACCTATTCGCAGCGTGATCCTTCCGTGGCATGTGTTCGTCGCGTATCAGGTCGTGAACTTCTTCTGCTACCTCTTCAATTGCTTCGGAAAAGCCTTGCCGTACATCGTCCAGGTGACCCTGTACACGTCCTTGACTTCCTTCCTGGTGATTCTCATCACTGTCCCTTCCAAGGCGCCAACTCACCAGGAGGCCAAGTTCGTCTTCGCTACCTTCATCAATAACACCGGCTGGAGCCAGAATGGTATGGCATTCATCGTCGGCCTCGTGAACACGAACTGGGCGTTCGCGTGTCTGGATTCCGCCACTCATATGGCTGAGGAAGTTCCACAGCCGGAGAAGTATATCCCGATCGCAATCCTGGGCACCGTGGCCATTGGCTTCACCACCTCCTTTTGCTACTGCATCTCGATGTTCTTTAGCATCGTGGGCCCGTTCGAAAACATGGTCGACACAGACACCCTCGTTCCAATCCTCGAACTGTACTACCGGGCGCTTGGATCCAAGACGGGAGCCATTGTGCTTGAGTCCTTGATCCTCGCGACTGGGTTCGGGTGCCAGATCGCGTCCCACACCTGGCAGTCTCGGTTGTGCTGGTCCTTCGCCCGGGATCGCGGTCTCCCGGGTCACCAGTGGCTGTCGAAGGTTCACCCGACGCTCGATGTGCCATGGATGGCGCATACAGTGAGCTGCTTCATTTCCGGCCTCGTCGGATTGCTCTACCTGGGATCATATACCGCCTTCAACTCGTAAGTCATGGTTCCCATTATGATCCAAGGATTGCTGCTAACCTGTGCTCCTTTAGCATGGTCACGGCTTGCATCGTGCTGCTTTACGTTTCCTACGCGATCCCCATCATCTGCCTCCTCATCAAGGGCCGCAATAACATCAAACATGGACCCTTCTGGTTCGGTCCGGTTGGTCTCGCTGCGAACTGCGTTCTGCTTTCCTGGACGCTCTTCACCATTGTGATGTATAGCTTCCCTTATTCCATGCCCGTGGAGGCTGGGAACATGAACTACGTCACGGCTGTGTACGCTGTCATTATCATCATCATTGCTGTGGATTGGTTTGCGCGTGGGAGGACAAGCTATCGAGGACAGGAGAAGAGGCACGAAGACGTAGACGTGGTGGTTAGGCAAGGCAGCATCGTTGGAAGTGGTCGTCACGTACCTGTCGAGGTGGAGCGCTAGATGTGATTTGATACCAAACCTGCTAATATATAGTACTCTCCGGATCGGTTTATATGGGCCGGACTAAATAAAACTACGTTATTTGAGTGAAATATTCTACTAGAGACATTGATGACATTATTAGACTGACTCTTCACTGCCGCTTATGCGCACGACAACGCTCCCTCGATTGGTTGAGGGAAGGAACAACCTGGCACTGATTCAATCGCCCACTGTTGTCGGAAAGTCTTCATGTTTGATCGCGTGTGTGGAAGACTGAATCATCATGGAACCCTGGACATCATTATGTTCACTTTTCCATCACACACCTTTTTCTTGCGTTAACTATTAGTATTCCATCGTTCAGTACCAGTTAACCCTCGACCCGAGAATGACGGCCATTAAACGCAAAGCCGTTCCCTCGGCCACCCGGGCAAACATTGGGGCCTTCATCGTTCGTCGCGCTCAGCGTCGCCTTACATCTACGCCAGCATCCCAAAGTCCACCTGAAGAAATATCCGTGACTTCCGTTCCGCTTGCCGCAAGTCGAGTATCGATGTTGGCAGCCCAAGCGCAGACCGATGGACCACCTCCCTCGACCCCTCTCAACCGATGCGCATGCGTGCGATGCCAAAGACCTTTTCGTCGCTCCTCCCAAGGTGTCTCATCTTTGCCTACTTCGGGAGACAAGCAGCTTTATGAGGATCTCGAACGGCGGGTACTCGAAGCGAAGATGGAGATGGCGGCGATGATCAAGGAGAGTCCGATGCTCGCGGACGGTAACGGGGCGTTTGTGGGTGGGCCGGAGGATGTGCTGCTTAATTCGTTGGACGGATGTTTGCGCCGGGTTCGAAGGCTCCGGAATCCGAGGCAGCCGCAGCAGCGTACGCCGTCGAATACCTTTGCACTGCCTATCATCAATCCTATACCTGTGACAACGATTCCGGCTGGAGACCAGAGTACACCAGCTGCAGAGGCTGCCCCGGAATCAAACCTCGACACGGAGCTACCAAGTATTCAGAGTAGACTTGGACCATCTCATCGGTTAATGGAACCTAGCGCAGCTTCCAGTTGGGAAACTCCGGATGCTCACGGGCCTGCGGCGAGGGGCCAAAAACACGATTTGGACGGAATATTCGGCGGCTTCGCAGCAGGCGCGTGTGTTGGAGTGCTCCTCGTTGCGGTCTTGATAGTCCTCCGATGCATGCCCCTGCCAATCCCTGAGTATCAAATTTGAGATTCATTGGGACTCTGAACGCGATATTCGACTACGGGATACGCAAACCACATGGAAATAGCAACAATTTCCACGAGAAATGCAGGAGGATTCGAACTTGGTGCAGCGCAGACTATTTTCAACTAAATGGAGTGGAAGATCAGCCAATCCCCCTGAATGTAATGCTGTTTGGTCAATTCTGAAAGCCATTGCTCGCCCACTGTCAAGAGGAATGTCTCCCGTGGATCTCAAGATAGATAAACTACATTCAAATCATTGCAGGGCAAGAATATCAGAAGCGATGACTGTCTGTCCGCATGTCTTGCCAGTCGAATGCCACTGGCACAAGGGAGTATCAGAGCAGACTAGAAGTAACTAACTCTGATGTCCTCCAAATTGACAGCGGCCATGGCGTGGACAGATCATGCTCTCCAACCTCATCGTGGCGGCCATTCTTTAGATGCTGGTATCTTTCCTACCCACACTTTCCGATGTTGTGAGGTTATTATTGTCGTTGGTAATGAAGTGAAGTGAAATTAGAATCACTACAGTAGAAGACCTGTGACGTGCTCGGTGCGAGATCAGCATTAGTGCAATCCTTGGAATCACATGATTGGCGAACGCGTCCCAAGCCATTGCACGTGCTGGCATAGACCCGCGTCTGTCTGGAGTGAAAGTACGGAATAGGTATTGGATAATTATACTCCAAGCCGAAGTTACTTATCTATATCTGTTACACCGATCTCCAAGACTCAAGGATATGAAGGGAACAGCCATTTTCTAGACCTTCTCCTGATGAATCTGTAGTCCATCTCCGTCACCAAACTCTACAGTAACACACCCCAGTGACAAAGTCACAACACAGTCCACTGGTATCCACCGTCACGACAGTCACCGCTCCACCATATAAACAACTTCGGTTCACTTTTAATCCTCCTCAAATCTAGAACACCCTACGTCCATCTGGTTTTACCACCTCAACAACATCCAACCTTCTCCGCTCCGAAAAGATGCTCAGTCAATGATTCCCACAGAATCGGCAGTGAGCAATTGCACAGGGTCCAGGCTGATGGGAGGGTCGTGATCATGGCGGAAGTACTCAGTAGTATCAGGTATGGGTATCCGATTGCATGTCGTTTACTTGATGTCTCCTGCTAATTGTGCATTATCCTTTATAGCCAATTAAGCGCCCTCTCCGAAGACGTCCATCTCTTCTGTCCTCGTTACGGCGACGATGACAATTCCGTATACTATGATGAAGACCTGCGGGAGCGTTTGGACACTGAAACGGCGGCTGAAAAGACCAAGCGGAAGGCAAAACTGGCCGAAGTGGATGAACGCACGCAGCTGATGTTCCAGTGTCTGCAGATTTTGGCTTTTGATGGCCCAGAAGCGGAGGGACCTCGTGAAGTAGTTACTCAACGGATCAACGCAAGACTACGATCCTGCGATGTCTGCATCCGGCGCTACCACCGACTCAAACCGGATCTCAAGCATGCGCTCGAAAGGTGAAAGGACTTGAAACCGAACGAGATGGATCGAGATGCTGACCAGCAACTCCCAGCGCATACGAGGTCTCAGAAGTTCGAGATTTCCTGAAGGTAGTCGACCAATTTGACGTTGATCGCATCACCAGCGGACTCGACAACGCGCGTCAATACCTCGAAAGCTTGGCCCCGGCCCAGCGGAGTCCACAATCGGTTCCCTTCTCTCTCCTTTGCGCCTTCATCGACTCATTGAGTTGCTTGGCGTTTCTAGGTCGAGAGGACCTGCTCGAAAAGCACTTCGATCCCGCGTTTCAACTGATTCAGACGAAGAAGCCCTTACGTACCAATGACTTGCTTCCTGCGATGTTCTACTTCCTCTTCTCCGACACTCGGAGTCGCTACGAATGGGCGTCATTCAACTTATCAAAGTACAAACGGGAAATTAAAGCCTACGATTTCGACGGAACCATCAAAGACCCATTGCTCACGGCTATGAATCGGGTCCAAAAGTTCAACTTGGACGCCGGCTTTCTACGCAAGTTCTGGGATGGGGTGAAGCTAATAGTTGCAAAACTCACCAAGGATCTTGTCACTCATTCCCTTAAAGCCATGGACGTTGACCTGTGCAAACTCGCATTGGAACACATGTCGATAAATTTTGCCGGATATCCCGATCTTTTAGCCTCCTTCGAGCGCCTTCTCCAGATCGCACCGAACGATGTGTGGGACTCGTTCATGGCCATGGGAGCAATCTCTCCAGCAACTGTGTCTGACCAGATCTTCAATAACCCAGCCTTTCAGCGAGAGGTGGAATTATCTACATCTAGCACAGCGACAAGCGGTCCTCGGGTGGAAAGACTCTTTGGTTGGATCAAAGATTTCGCAGCTTCCGTGCCGCCCATTAACCGGGTCACTTTTTGCCGTTCTGTTTGCGACCAGCTGCTTTCTAAATATCAAGAGACCCGGTATCCACAGCATGCTCGCACGCATGCCGTCCTGGTAGGTATTGAGCTGCTTGACAGCTTGCTTTCCCAGCTCCAAAAAGTCGATTCCACCTCTAACTTTGTGGGCTTCACTACTGTGCGTGAAATGCTGGAAGTCGTGGACACCTACAAGAGCGTTTTGCTTGAACAAGTTCAGCAGAGCCCTTCCCACCAAGACTCCAATGTGCTCCGAAAGCCGTGCTTTCAAGTAATACAAAAATCGATCGGGCTGGACGGCGTCGCGATATGCATCAGACGACGGCACATCGCCAAAGGCGATCTTCCGCAAGAGAAATCCGAGTTCTGTCGTTCATTGTGGAAGGGGGTGGTCCGAGGCGTACGCGATGGCAATATATCACTTGCTACGTACATACTTCAAGGCGTGAGAGGGCTGACGGGGGTAGAACCGTTCAACTTCGAGGCAGACGACAAAATGAACGTACGAACAGCAAAAAACGAATTCAATGAAACTCTGGATGAGATGCTGGTGCAAATTTGCGAAACGCTCGAGCGGCTCGGCACCTTCGATATTCCATCCCTCGAAGTAGCATTCAGGGGCAGGATAACGGCAACGGCAATTCTTACTGCTCTCATTTTGCCGCATGAGAGCACACGCCAGGAAGCGATGGAACTAGTCAAGCGCTTCACAGAGCAAACAGGCCGCAAAGAAGCAATTCGAGCTCTGCTGGAGCTTGACTTCTACGCCATCCTCTCGTCATTCGCAACCGTAACACGGCATGTCACGGGAGGACGATCCCATACACCTGCAGCGGCACTGCTAAAAATCATTGCGGATGTCACGGATGTCTTGTGCGATAGTCAGGACGGCTTGTTGCGTTCTATGGCCATCACCAGGGAGAGTGCAAATGCCGCGGAAGACTTCTGGGAGCTAACGTGGAGCTTCCTTACCATGGTTTTCCAATGCACCGAGGGCTGGAGTGACGCTGGGCATGAAAAGCATCGCCTAATTGAATTCTGTCGGGATACGATGGAGTTCGCTGATCGTCTGTTTTACCAGTTTCCGATTTTCAAAACGGCCATTGAAAAGGGCGGAAATCGGGAAACAGACGACCCTCTGGACACCGGAGGACACCTGCTTCAGCACTCGAACACGACGATGTCATCTATGGTCAAGTGGTTGCGGTTAAGAGATGAGTTCTTGAATTCGAAGATCGTGTCCCTAGTGACGAAGGTCATCACCAGACTTCATGCTCAGAATATCAAGATCTCCGAGGACGTTGTTAAGTACATCCTTGATATCGTCACCGGTAAGACGAAGTCCAAACTATCCACACATCATATGGCCCGGTTGAGGCGAGCTTTGGAAGAGGCACACTACGTCAAAGAACCTTCAAAGATAAAGGAGGAGCGCAAAGTCTCTACCGTCAAACAAACGTCCATCTCCTCATGGCTCGGAGACGATTCGGCTTCAGGTTCTTCGACGCCCTCGGAAGGTATCAAGAAACTTGTGACCGACCTGGCTCCGGGAGCCGCTGCGTTTAAGAAGTTGCAAGCCGCCCGAAAAGCGACGGTAGCCGTGCCACCGCGACCGCAGCCTGCGATGAACGAAGCCGTCCTATCCGAGTTCAGGAAAAAGCGAGCGGCAGAACTCGAAGCTAAGAAACAGCGGGACCGGGCGGCAGCACTCCGTGCGAGGAGTCAGGTCGGCAATGCAGGGTCTGGTCTTCGCGACTTGAATGTCAAGGTGAAGGACCATTCCACGAAGAAGTCGGAGATGATGGTCGCCTCCGACGAAGAGAGCGAACCTGACGATGACGATGAGGAGATGGATGCGATGGATGCTGAGTTATTCGGAGCCACCGCTACTCGGACAGCGCATATAAGCCTCAAATCCAAATGCAAGCCGTTGGCTGAGCTACCGAACATGCCGGTCCGGAAGAAGAGACTGGAAAGAAACGCTCGCGACATGCGGGCGCGTCTCGCGCCTGATCTGACCGAGTTGCACCAAACCATTCTTCGATGGGACTATTTCAGCACAGGGGTTTACCCGCCCAACATGAACCCGGACCAATACAGTGCTGTCATTAACACTTTCACGAATCCTACCAGCTACCGACGAACATTTGAGCCTCTTCTTGTGTTGGAAGCGTGGCAGGGTTTCATTAAAAGCCGCGAAGATGAAACACCGACACCATTCGGGTTGAAGATCGCAAATCGGACATCAGTGGACTCCTTCATCGAGGTCGCAGTAGCGTTGAGCGGCAATGACAAGACCAACCGGGTCTCCGAGGCGGATATCCTCCTATTATCGAAAGCCTCGAATCCCGTGGATGCCGCCGATGAGCCGCATTGTCTTGCAAGAGTATCGAAAGTCCGACGGAAAGGCACCGGCATGGAGGTTCTTCTCAAAGCAGTGCCCAATAATCCCCTGTCCAGCGCGTTGGTACCGAATGGGACTGTTTTTGCAGTCAAAGTCCAGTCAATGACCACCTTGGAGCGAGAATATGGCGCCTTGGTGGGCCTACCGCATTACGACCTTTGCGATGAAATCGTCCGGGCCAAGCCGTCCCCCCTCCTTTCGTATACCGATGCGCAGACGGATCTGTTCGCCCGACACTACAGTCTGAACCCTGCCCAATCCAAAGCGGTCAAGTTCGCTATCGATAATGATGGATTCACCTTAATCCAGGGTCCACCTGGAACTGGAAAGACGAAGACTATCGTGGCAATTGTTGGCGCTTTGCTGACAAACGTTCTTCGGGACGGGGAACAGGGGACGAAGCTCCTTCGCCCTATAGCAAACAAAAACCAGGCCGATCGACCGCCAAGCAGGAAGTTATTGGTGTGTGCTCCAAGTAATGCTGCCGTTGACGAATTGGTTATGCGGCTCCGCCAAGGCGTAACGACTGCCAACGGGCAGCAACGCAAGATCTCTGTTGTTCGACTAGGCAGAACTGAAGCCGTCAATCCTCAGGTCTTGGATGTCACGCTTGAGGAACTGGTAAACCGCAAAATCCAAGCAACCAACAAAGATACGCCGGAGTCAAGGAAGAGTGTGGGGGAGTTGGCGGCCCAGCACAAGAAATTCTCCGATGAGTTTCAACATACTCGGCTTCTGATGGACAGTGCGGAGCCGGGAAGCGACAAGATGGCGGAGCTAAAGACTCAGCTCGACCAACTCGGAGACCAAAAGAGGAAACTGTCCCGTATGATCGATGATGCACGCGATACGGAAACCAGATCAGCCAGAGACAGAGACCTCACTCGACGAAGGATTCAACAGCAGGTCCTTGAGGAGTCGCATGTGTTGTGTGCGACGCTGAGTTCCAGCGGACATGATATGTTCCAAAATCTCGAGATCGAGTTCGAGACCGTCATTATCGACGAAGCGGCTCAGTGCGTCGAGATGAGTGCCTTGATCCCCCTCAAGTACGGGTGCAACAAGTGCGTCCTTGTTGGTGATCCCAAGCAATTGCCGCCTACCGTTCTGTCCCGTGCCGCTGCGGAATTCCAGTACGAGCAAAGTCTGTTCGTGCGGATGCAGAAAAACCACGCGAAGGATGTGCATCTGCTTGACACGCAGTATCGTATGCATCCGTCGATCAGCAAGTTTCCGAGCAAAACATTCTATGACGGCCGTCTCTTGGACGGTCCCGGTATGGATAGCTTGCGCGTCCGGGACTGGCATTCGCACCCAGTGCTTTCACCATATCGGTTCTTCGATGTACGCGGGAAGCACTCGGCCGGGAAATCTCATTCGTTGAAGAATCTGGCGGAAATCGATGCGGCCCTCGATATCTTCGAGTCCCTGCGCACCATGTGTCCAGGATTCGATTTCCAGGGCAAGATCGGCATCATTACCCCTTACAAGGCGCAGCTTTCAGAGCTCAAAGCCAGGTTTTCTTCTCGATACGGCTCACAGATCCTCGACTTCATGGAATTCAACACGACCGATGCGTTCCAGGGTCGAGAAAGCGATATTATCATCTTCTCCTGCGTGCGATCTGCGGCATCAGGCAGCATCGGTTTCTTACAAGATATCCGGCGTATGAACGTCGGGCTGACGCGTGCGAAATCGTCGCTATGGGTTCTTGGAAACTCCGAAACGCTGGTGAGAGGCGAGTTCTGGCGGCTGTTGATCCAAGACGCCCGCTCGAGACAAGCTTACTCAGAAGCGGGAGCCATTCAACAGCTGAGGAAGGATATGATTAGCAGGGGCGGCGGAACGTCACTCCCCCCACCGATGCTGAACGCTCCTACCGCGCCCAGGTCGCATCTTCTCTCCGCGGCCACCTATGGAAATTCCACGCCGATGGATATCGACTCGGGAAATTCAAGTAGCTCGAGCGCGAGACAGTCTACGTCATCTCTATCCAAGCATGAAGCAAACAGCAGTGTGAAATCAAATGGCAATGGGGTTTCGCACCCCGGGAAGCGGAAGCGGTCAGTTACCCCAGATGGGGAGCAGGAGCAGAAGATGCAAGCACAGGGACATGGAGCCCGAGCCGTGCCTTTGCCGAAACGCGAATCTCCTGTTGTTTCGGGCCCACCAAAACACGACGCTCCTCCTTCTAGGCCTAAGGATCAAATTGCGTCCACCACAACCACCACTATCAAACGTGAACCAGGCCAATCGTCTGCTCACGTTCCCCTAGTCCAGCCCAAGAAGGAAGCATCGGGATACCCGCCAGCTTCAGGATCGGCTTCAGGATCGGCTTCAGGATCGGCGTCCACCTTTGGCGCCTCCTCAGCAACTCCCCGTTCACGACCGCATATGGTCCCGCCAAAAAGGAAGAAGGCGGATCCTTTTCTGAAGCCGAATCGCCCGAAGAAGAGCTAATAGACTCGGAGTATCTGCATTTCCCCGAATTTCCTCCTTCATCCTTTCCTAGTCGGGTCGATAGTCATGCATTTGAATGGAGTTTCTAATCATATGGTCCCCATTGTCGTTTCGCTTTCAGCAAATATTTGCATCAAGCGATCTCCGGTTGCATTTAGCGTTTATGGGGGGCTACAGTTAGCGTTGGATTGTGCAAAAGGTTGCAGACATGGAGCGCCAGCATTTGCACGGTCAGATATTCGGTTGCGTAGAAATAGCCTCAGGTGGTCGATGGCGATCTGAGAAGCCAAGTAGTTCGAAGACGATGAAGAGGTGCTATGCTTCATTGATTGAATAAGGGTCCAGTATACCAGCTAGACAATTGACTAGGCGATGATTTCAGCTACTTATTATTATCCACCCGCCCACAGGTTGCCCCTAGCGCGTGTTGACACCATTCATGATTCATCCCACAATCAACCTCGATTCGAGCCAGGCACGTTAGAAACCTGCTCCACACTCCCATAAGAACAATCAATCTACAATAGAGCAGCAATACCCATGGCTCCCACCGCAACCGCGAGGGCAGGACCCAGACCGTTGACAGAGGCGGCACCAGGCGTCGACGTTGGCGATGCGGCGGCACCGCCATCACTGCTGGATGATGGAGAAGTAGCTGAGCTCGAACCGTTCGCGTTCCCATTTGATGAAGAAACCTGGATGCCCGTGGCGTTCTTGCAGTTATCGTTGTACTCGGCTTCCGGCAGCGGAGTGTTGACGAAAGTGACATCCGCACACTGCTTGCAATTAGCATCCGCCCATCGCCATTCCTGCGTCACCCAGCCAAACGCACCTGATACAACCCCCCATTCGAATCCCCGCTCGTCACCACCGAGATCGTCCCCTTCGTCCCCTCCGTCACATTCGCCTCCGCCGGCGCGCCCACCATGCCCATGCAGAACTCCTGCGGCCCCTGCGCGTAGATGGTCGGCAGCATGACGTAGACGAAGTCATCGCCGGTCGGGTTCTCGCCGAGGGCCAGGAGCACCTGGATCTTGGACTCGGTGTGCTCGTTGTCGATCTGGATGGGGCCGCCGGAAATGGGGAAGTCGGTGCGGTCGCCGACGGTGTTCTGGCCGCCGCAGGGGTACTGGTCCAAGGAGCCGGCGTCGAAGGAGCCGCGCACGGGGGGGAAGAGGAGGTGGAAGTGGGCGAAGGAGAGGGCGGGGAGGGAAAGGAGGACGGCGGAGATATGCATGGTAGGTGGGAGCTAGGTAATCGAGCTGGTGTCAATTTCTGAAGACGAATTCAACTTTCATCAAAGAAGTTTGGAGATGTCAATGGTTGTTAGTCGAAGTCGAACAGGTCAAAAGTACAGCAGAAATGCAAGCTGGGGCAGAGAGGTGAATGAAGGAAAGGATCCATTTATTTATTTAAACCTGCCACATCCAGTGCCTGTGATTACACCAGACGTCGAATCCACTGCTAGAGACGTCACCGTCATACTATGATCCAGCTAGCCGAGCATTTGTTTACTGAACTACGTACCTGTAACTCCGTACCATATATGTATGACCAGGTAGTGCAATTGGCGGGGGAGCTAGGTGTCGTATTGCTTCCTCTACATTCCACAACCGCTGGGCATCCACCGTTGTCCGCCGTCTCGCCGCATCCCCAGACCTCTCGCTCTTTCCTGAACTTCGCACCTTCCGTCACTTGCTTCATTGCCCCCGCCAGCTTTGAATGCCCACATCCCTCCTCCCTGCCGACCCCACCACGCCACCAAAGCTTAGCATGATTAGTCCGCATCCGACCATCCGGCTCCCGGGACGACGGGCCAATCGAAACGGCAACCAGGACGCGCCATGCCGCTAATGCAGGCTAGCGAGGGTCTCGTAAACCTTAGTCGCAGGTCGCACGCCTCGTTGAGCGGAATTGAGCACGTTTTCTGGGCTCCGCATTTGGTGGTCGGAGTTGAGATGCGCTCGTTCCGGATATCGTGGGCTGGGAAATCCGCTGCGGCGTCAATTGCCTCGCGAACGATCGGGCGTGAAGAAGCGGTAGGATGGGCATCTTGAGATGTGGTTGGTGTTCGACGGATGAACGGCATAATGGGAAACATGTTTGACTGTGGAGTGCAGTCAGTCTACCAGGTGGCTTAAAGCTTGTCCCGCCTTGTCCGCGGACGGAGTGGCTTGATGCGATCGATGTGAACGATTTTATAATCATCAGCTCGGAATAGAAGCGGAAGACATGCTGATTCAGGTTGTATCAGATTCTGGTCGGTCATTCCGTACTTATAAGCTGACCCGAAGCCATGGATTGCCACCTGCAAGCAATATAGACCATGCCAAGGTCAACCAGTTTCAGGGTATTGCAAAGTACAGACATGTCCTCCGTGACATTGGGTACACGTAGAGTATAGGCAGACAGCATGGGCGGATCCGTAGTTCGGCTTTTCGGAATGACGCCTTGGACACATCACCCATTCAATGAATAGATCACGAAGGGTGGGAAAGGAATTGACAATACCAATCTTGAACTTTGGTTGATATGAACATGAAAAGGGAACGTGTCACATAAGTTAGCCACCACCGGGCATCCACCTGTACAAGGCCATAACCAGAACGCCATGCTATACAATTGCAACGATGATTACTGCCGGCATGCAGAACGAGAACCCCTGGAAGAAAATGGCTTCCACGGACGAAATATCAGTGGTTCATCTCCACTGCATGACCGAATCTCCCAAACACTAATTCACCTAGGAAAGTGCCTCCGAGGATAGAGAGGAAGTACCCTACGTTCAGGGTCATGACCGCCAGCATCCTGCGAAGTATTAGCTCTGGTTTCGTTTCTCCCTGGCTCCGAAGGTATACTCACAGGAGGTACCCAACACCCACAATGACGACGACGAGAGCAGCACGCGGCACGTCGGTTGTCAACCTGAAGGCCTGGACCGGTCCGGTAGGCGCCCGCACCACCCTCACCTCCTCTTCCACCCCATTGATCGACAAAACCCCGCTCCGTACATCGGCGTCCTTCCCAAAAAACCCACCCGCGTCCCGCTCCGCCGCCTCTCCCGCGGTCGCCGCGTCACGGATCCTTTCCGCCTCTGTTGGCTTCCCATCAACGACCACATACCGTCGTTGGAGCGCCTGGTCGTGCCACAGCGCTTCGAGACGATGTTTCGCCGCGAGGAGCGCGCGGAAGACGACGGCGAGGACGATCAAGAAGATGCAGGTGCCGGCGTAGGCGCCGGCGGACGAGGGCGTCCAGCCGTCGGAGTAGAGGGCGGTGGTGGTCGAGGAAAAGAAGGCCATGACCATTTCCGAGGCGTGCATGCTGGCGGACGTGGAACCTGAAGTGGAATCTGAAGTGCTGCCATGGGTGTGTTGCGCGGAGGTGAAGGGGAGGAGGAAGGCGAGGAGGAATAGAGATGGCATGCTCGCGGAAGCGGTCGTGGATTTCGCAATGCGCCACTGGGGTATAGGAAGACCTGATGGCATGAATCTTTCGCGAAGGCTTCGTATGATTTTGCGAAGCTTTTGGCCAATGTTCGAATCCGAAGTTCGGGGTGGAAGCCGCCGACGTGTGAACTCGGGAGAATGGATGTTGGCCAATTCGAAAGCCGAAAATGGGGGTTCCGGCGTCCTGGTTAGTGACCGTTGAGGCGGCACGGGAAATTAATTTCGAATAGATGAAGCCCTGGGATCTTCACAAGGTCGAGATAGAAGAAAGATTTCCGCGACTTAAGTTCGAACCTATGGAATGTCGAGGACCAGATTGTTGAGTGGGATGACAAGGATGATGGTGGAATGCGCAATCAATTGGAGAGATATAGGGTAGGGCCAACCCAAGAATATGGGGAAGATCAGAGTGCAAGGTTATATTGAAAGATTGGATGGATGACGATCCACCAGATGAGGAGGAAGGGAGAGGTTTAAGGAAATGCCGAAGCTGGAGATGAGGAGGAGCAAAGACGGCTGAAGGGGATATGATATAAGGTCGTTTTTGAGCCCCAGAAACACCGAATAGCGTCCGAAGTTTACCGGTCTTATTAGTACTGTGTGATGTACTTTGTCAATAGATATTTCTCAAGCGGAAATTGTCGTGGTTATTATTGTTATGAGGTGTTTATGCGGTCCAGAGTTAAGGAGCGTTGGAGTACATAATATCGGTGCTACGATCGGTGTCAGGTGCCACAGAGGGTAATGGAAACGGGATTGCGGGTATTACTGGATTAAACTACTGCAGTCAACGTATTACATGTACCGCCGGGTTGGAGGCCCGAAACCAGGACACATGAACGATGGGCCGTAGAGCAAGTTCATTGTCATCAATCATCATTTGCCTCGACTTCAGATGCGGAAAAGGCCTGGTGAGCGAAATCAGAAATGACAGGGGTGGCCGGATGTGCGATCTTTTGAGCAAGTTATCATTGGTCAATTCGGAGGAAACAGGGATACTCAGCCAATAATAGGGTCCAACCAGGTCCACAGAGGATCGCAGCTCGTGCACAATGCGACTTGGCGCATGGACGGATCGTGTCTTAGTTTTTCCCTGTATCGCTGCTCACTCAGATTTACTGACGCATTCAAGTCCCAATCGCCGTTCGGACGGGGTGCGGATACGGACAGCATTACTAGACTCGACAAAAAGTACGGTTGCCACCGGAATATATTCGACACTCCACGACTGTATTCCGGTATAGCTGCATTAATCCCTGCACACGGGCACTGAATTGTTTTGCAATTGAACGAGGCAAAGTCCATGTGGCATTTCTCCACTGTCGCGACCTGATGCATCCATCATCAAGTGGAACGGCGTAAACGTTGGACATGCGACACTTGCGGAACCAACTCCAGCATAAATCGACCCTGACGGCTGACGCAAAGTCGCAAACATCATCACCGGCATAACCGGATCCGTTCACATTGGCTAACCTAAAGACACATTCGTCTCTCCTACAACAAACCACAATATCGTCATTTGCCCTCCTGTAGCACTTCATCGACCGAGGAGATGCTGGTGGGTCGATTCTTGAGTTGAACCTCCGCCCGCCACTTCGTCTTCATAACATCTAGCCGAGTGCGCGCTCGACTTTGACCGTCTCTACCCCGGGTCTGCCCAACAAACAAGTCTTCATTGAGACAATACAAGAGCTTGGAAATCTATCGGTGCACTCCATACCTTCATCATGTCGCACGCCGGCCATAGCATGGGAGGCATGTCGGGCGGATCGTCCAAAGGAATGCCTCCTCTGATGTCTTTTCCGCAAGCATATTGGGGCGTCGTAGGGACTACAATTGCCATTGCGTGTATAGCCAACGTCACAAATTACTTTATTTACAGGCAAAGGTGAGGATATCCTGCTGTTCCATTTGATCTCAGGACGGCGCGCTGATGGTCATGTTAGAATATGGGCTGCGAGCAAACGCTCACCCGACCCTTCTCGACCCAAATCTCTTTTGGCTGAGACGTATGCAACGTTGACTGCAGTAACCCGAGAAGCGAGCAATGCAAGTTTGACTTCTGTTACCATTTCGAACTGGCATATGCGATTCCCGACGCTCGGCAAGACGTCCCTGATCGTAGCCAACATCATCCTCATCGTCGCCTTAGGCCTCTATGGATTCGACACGCGCGACCGGTGGTCCATGGAGAACATCGGCTACCGTACGGGGTTCGTGACGATTTCTCAGATTCCGCTGATATTCCTGCTGGCCGGCAAGAATAATATCATCGGCTATTTGACAGGTCTGGGATACGAGCGCCTCAATTGGTTGCACCGATGGACTGCTCGTTGCCTCCTGTTCAGTGCGACGATCCATATGGGATATTGGTTCACGGCCTGGGCTCCGTATGGAGGCTTTATAGAGCGCAAGATCCGGACGGATCCGTTAACGCAACGAGGCCTGATTGCCTGGTGTATCCTGCTGTGGATCGTCATCTCCAGTATTGCCCCCATCCGAGGGTGGCGGTATGAGATATTCGTCGCCCAGCACATCATCTCGATCGGCGCGTTGATCGGGGTTCTCATGATCCACACGCCCAAGGAAGTCCATATCTTTTTGTGGCTTCCTGTCGCGTTCTTCTTTTTCGATCGCGTCGCACGGATTTTGCGCGTGCTCTACCTGAATCTCTCCATTTTCCATCCCAAGCAAAGGCGCTCCGGCGCCATGAACAGCGCATGGGCTTGTCGCGCGGAATTGACACCCCTAGCCCCTGATCATACCCGCCTCACTATCCGCAATCCGCCTATGTCATGGCGACCTGGACAACATGTCTATCTCTCTTGCCATTCAATCGCCCCTTTACAAAGTCACCCTTTTTCCATTGCCAGCCTCCCGTCCGATGGCAAAATGGACTTCGTTATCAGAGCACGTACTGGTGGAACCAGGAGGTTGCACCATGTTGCATCCAAAGATCAGCAGGCGCCGATCCTACCGACGGCAGAGACAAAAGAAAGAACGGATTCTCAGAGTGACCAAGTGAGCTTACCTATTACAATCGAATCCCGCATGGCTGCCATCGAAGGTCCTTACGGGATCATGAGACCACCGGAGCAGTTCGACAGCCTTGTGCTCTTCGCCGGTTCTACAGGAGCCACCTTTTGCGTTCCTATAATCCGGGACGTGGTGAGACGGTGGTCGGCGATGCACTCCGCGTCTCCGACTTCGCACCGGGCACTTAGTATCTACCCCCCCGATATAGCGGCGACCCGACGGATACGATTCATATGGGCGGTCAAATCACGGCACCAGCTGGCTTGGTTCTGCAGCCAGCTCTGCGATGCCAAGTCGGAAGTCGAGTCGCTCCGAGCGAATGGCGTAGACGTACAGCTCGACGTCAGCGTCTGTTGCACCTGCGACGATGAGTACGTCGGCGAGCATCGCAACCTCCTCCAGTCCTTGGGCCATTTCCACTACGGTGAGAAGCGACCCGAACCAAAGGTGACGCATGGAGAGGTCAAGCAGGTTCAACCCGCTGCATCCGATGGGAGCCTCGCCGTCGATGAGAAATCGGCCTTGAAAAAAGGAATCGCCCCCTCTGATGGTGTCCCGGTTCAAGTCCACGAAGTCGACTCCCAGTCCTCCGACAACGACCAGGACCCCCAGAGCAACACCGGGGGATGCGGCCCATCCGGCTGCTGCTGCTGCGCCCCCACCGACGCCTCTGCTCCTTCAGAGTTCGTCTGCCGATGCGGCATCACCCCCGCCGACTCCGAATCCCGTCCCTCCAGCGCCGAGCCACCAAAGCTCACCAAATCGTCCACGTCCCCGTCGCTCCACCCCTCGATCAACCTCGCCACGGGCCGCCCGACGCCCGAACCGATCATCCGGGCGGTGCTGGAGAAGGCGCGCGGGGAGACGGGCGTGTTGGCGTGTGGGCCGCTGGGGATGATGGATGGTGTGCGGGGGGCGACGGTCAGGTTGAGTGATGAGCGGGCGGTGCATAAAGGGACCGGGGCGCAGGGTATCTGGTATTATGGGGAAGGATTCGGCTGGTGATTCTCAGCGGGGCAAGATTATGTATAGCGTTGTTTATGGAGGCCTAATGAGTCATGATTAGTATACCATCCTTCCCAGGGGTTCTCGGCATTGGGTGGCTGTTGATTGAATGCATGCACTAAGCGTTGCATTGTACAGTACAACAATAGGGAGATACCATGCGTATTCCCGTTTCAGCCAGCCGGCTGTAGTGCTAGTATGATATCGGTAATCTCCAGTTGTTTCCACGACGGTATTATCATATCGAAACGTGATGGGCAATTGTTACTTTCCAGACGCATGAGAATCCTACCGGCCGACTCAATGGATTGACGATCACGCAACACACAGCACCAAACCGGTTGAGGATGGAAAAGGCACTTTTGACTCGTTTGCTTTGATCGCTGGAAAATGCATGCGTGCCTGAATCCTTTCTTCCGGTTCCTTTCCAGAACGGTCCACCTGGATAGAGAAATGCGTACTCTTAAAACTCCCTAGTAGAATCCCAGCCCCCGTGGAAGGAGCGCGTCCCTTATCACCGTACGGCGTCCTCGCGCGATCGTCCTGCTGTCCGGCCTCGTTCGGGAACCTGGCTCCCCAGGCGACTTTACTCGACGCCTTCATCTTTGTCGAAGGTCTCGCCGGCCACCAGGTCCGGGATGTCATCGTCGTCCGCCTCGCCCTCGCCCTCCTTACCCTTGCCACCGGCGCCTTGCATCTGCTGATAGCTCTCGGCTAACTTTCGTAGCGACGCGAGGCTGTCGGGGCCCAGCTGGTTCAGGATACCGGGGACAAGTTCGGTGAGCTCTTTCTCTTCGCCGTTGCCGTAGATGGCGAAGGTGTTGGCGGGAACCGCAGCGTGAACTAGGAGATCATATAGTTAGTAAATGAACGAGCGGGAGCTAGTAGCGGCATGAGATAGGGTGCTGTAGACAAGCTAAAGAGAAGAAAGGCATCGATTCCATCATGGATGGTACTGGGAGACTAGACATATCGCGCATACCTTTAGGTGCCGAGAAATGAATGACATTGCCGTCCGCCTTGAACATGTTGACCTCCTCGATGGCCTGGATCGGCTGCACATTGAGCTTCTTCAACGCCGCTTGAAGCTTCTTGTCATCGGTGCCTGATGACTTGTGGACCTTCTTGACCTTGCGGCGCGGTGTGCCCTTGCCACTAGAGGATATTATGTTAGCCTTTGCCCATCCTAGCTGAAATGACCGCTCATGTTTATCGAAAACTGGCAGCACCCGACACTGCATCGACGAGCGAGACCACCATGCCGCGTGTTCCGATGGATTTCGCAAGCGGTAGATGCCGTCGTAGTGCTCGTCGGCTTGAATAGAATCCAAAACCCGAAAGTGGACATCACTCACCCTATATCCGGAGTCAGCCATGGTTTTCTCAAACGGAGATAATGACAGCATCTTTCGACATTGCTACGAATTTGCATGAAATCATCACTCACCAATGCGCACCGACGCTTGCATTCGTGCAAGCTTTGCTTGATCCATGGCTGCTGAGATCTATTCGGTTGAGATGCGGAAGTTCAAGGTCGGGGCTGTCAGGCTCAATTAGCTGGGACCGACGAGTCGAGGAGCAGAGTGATGTGCAAAAGATGTGCGCTCCGACGGAACTGCAATCACGTACCGAGGAAGAGTTGGGCGGTTTCGTTGTGGGCTCGGGGAGGTGATAAATCACGACTTTGACACAGCTTCATGCGAAAGTTGTGTCTCCGGCTGGGATGGTGCGGTGGAGAGGAGGGAGGTGTGCGGGATTCTCGCTAAGATTGGGGCGGAAGTGGGAGGAACAGGGCGGAAGTGGGGCCGGAGCGGAGCGGGCGGCGGAATCCGGGGAATCTTACTCCAACCATGGCGCTCGAATGTTTAAGGCGCTGGAGAGGCGAGAACCCGACCATCCAGGAATTCGGTGATAACCAAGACGCGGGAAGAGGAATATACCAGTCAAGGTCCAGGCATATTCACGGGTTCATAAGGCAGCTTTTCTGTCAACCTGTAGTATATACCAAGGATTCCATCGAAATGCAGTCAGGAATCTCCGGTTCGTTCCATATCATAACACGATTGTCGCAAGTGGCTAACCAGTGTTGAAGCAAGCGCGGAACTACACAATGCCTTCAAGTCTTTTCTGAACGACACAGGCCTCTATGCCCTTTTGGCCGTCATCGAGAAAGAAGCCCTCGTCCCCTTCGATAATGTCTCCTCCAAAACCGACCTCCCCCAGCACCTCAAGAGAGACCAAGCCCTCTACATCATCCTCCGAAACTCCGACAGCGCTATTATCGCCATTACCTACGTCCCGGACGCCGCACCGGTCCGCTCGAAGACCCTCTTCGCGTCCACACGGCTGACCCTGCTCCGCGAGCTCGGGTCCGAGCACTTCGCCGACTCGATCTTCGTCACGGAAGCGGACGAGCTGACCGACGACGGGTGGAAGAAGCATCAAGCGCACGCCTCGGCGGAGCGGCCGTTGACGCAGGAAGAGAAAGATCTGGAGGGGATTAGAGAGGCAGAGGCGTTGGAGAGCGGTGGAACCGGACGGAGGGGCGGCGGATATGGGACGAGTAAGGTGGGCTCGAAGCTTGGAGAAGGGGTCGTTGAGGCGCTGAGAGCGCTGGGTAGTGGCTCAGGCTCCGAGTGCCTGCAAATTGTAAGTCGTAGGATACGATCCAGAGTATCAATGTCTAATTCATGGAGTTAAGCGGATGGATGTGCAGGCGGAACAACTAGAGCTGGTCGGCCCCGCTGAATCCGTGGATGTCGCCTCTCTGAGCTCTTCAATATCATCGCAAGAGCCACGGTATACCTTCTACAGATACAGCCACCCGAATGCCGATGGGGATGCGCCCATTCTCTTCCTCTATACGTGCCCAAGTACGGCAAAACCGAAAGAGAAGATGCTCTACGCCGCTTCTAAGCGAGGCGTTGTAACGATTGCAGAGAAGGAGGCTGGATTGAAGCTTGCAAAGAAGGTATGACGATCATCCCAGTGGACTTGGGGTTTTGGAAGTTCTGACGCGCATGTTAGCTTGAGGCGAGTGACCCCTCCGAGATCACCGTGAGCATGATTCAAGACGAGTTCGCTCCGAAAGTAGAGGAGAAAGCTGGGTTTTCGAAGCCAAAGCGCCCTGGGCGGCGATAGACAGCTCCAACCCAGTTGCTCTGGACGTTGTCCAAAGCGCAAGCAAGTGCTAAGAGCAGCCTCGGGGAATTTGGCCTTATGGATTCACGTAGGCATGACAGGATAGAGCCATCACCTTGGGCCATTCATTTCCTATTCCGCATCGATCGACTAGGTTCAATATGATGATATTCACGTGGATTGTAGATATGTTAAACTATGCCTCCATAGTCTAGCTTCTGTCATCGCCGCTAGAGGTATAACGTGCTTTCGTTGCCTTCTATAGAAATGTAGATACTTGATGAAGAAAGAGCTTGCAATAGCAATATAGGAAGGCCAATGGAAAATGCTCGATGAATCGCTTCAATGACTATCTGTGAGGAAATAGGTCTGTAACTGGTCATGACGCCGTGCCCACATGCTTTTGCTGTTTACCCGACCCTCTAATATAGTAGTCAGATAGGATGCTCCACCAAGAAGAACACAAAAGCACAGAAACCCAAAAATTTCAATCTCGCATTCGCAGCACTCACTCCTCGTACTTCCCGCCCGGTAGCACATCTCTGGACTTTTCCAAGACGCCCTTGAGGTATTCGTACACCGTGAACGTCACGGCCTGCCCCGGAGCTACCCGCATGACCCGAGGAGTAATGCCCTTGTAAAAGCTTCGCGTGCCCTCTTGTTTCCACATGTCGCTGCTGATGTTCACGATGCGTCCCATCGCGGTGTCGCCAGGCTTGGCTGGGGTCTTCTGAAGGCGGGTTTTGATTGTGTCAATCGGTGCATTCGAAAGGGGTCCCATGGCACCGGAGACGAGACCAATGAACATGGTTTGGTACGATGGTAGGTCGGTGGTTCCTTGCCACTCTTGGAGCCAACGTCGGAAGTATGTGTAGGCAGTGAAATTCACTATACCGGACATCATTAGCCTCGATCTGCATTTGGTACCGAGTTTGATCAACTCGTTGGGAGACATCACTCACCTGCCTGGTTACTTCCTTGTCTTAAGGCCGTCAGTGATACACCCCGATACAGAGCGCCAAATCCCTCCTCCCTTACGACCGTATACAAGGCGTGGGCGGCGTTCCGGTATTTGGGAACATCCAATGGGTCTGCCATCGAGTGGTGTTGAGCCTGTAGCCGAATCTTGATAACTTCCATAGGCGTAACCACCGCCACAGCTTCTGTGACACCGGCAGACAGACCAGCTGAGTGGATGTCAGTGAACAAGGTCGAGAAAATCAATAGTATCGGGGGATAACGAACCAAGGAAGGTTGCTCGTCCGCTGACGACGCCATTCTCGTCTGCGAGAAATTGCTTGTATTTCTCGTAGGAGGTAAATCGGATGGCCATTTTGGGTACGATTCCCGTCAGGACCGCCCCGAGACCCTTATATAACCCCAAGGGTGTCTCCTTCTTCACGATTTCGGTGCCGGTAGCTATGAAACCACGCGGTTTAACCTATACCGCCGGAGCATTGTCAGCGTCAACAGCCTCGCCCTACAGTGATGTGGAAACAGTGCACTGACCCCTGGAGCTCGCGCTCTCCTTGAGAGCTGCATTCGGACCTTGATGGTATCTGGAGGAGGTCAGATTCGGGATATAGAAATATTATGGGCAGTCACATACCCAATGGATGGCAAACAAGCGCTTCCATCATGCCTGCACCTCCTCCAGCTGTATACGGCGTTAGTGACGATTTGTTGGCGGGAAATTGAAGCCAACATGCCTATCAAGTTGGTTGCCACGGATGCAGGCTTCTTCCCACCCGGGCCTTTCGTCGTGTTCGCAGCCATTGTGAGGGACAGGCAGGTCAGGTCGGTTGGACAAGGTGGCGTAGATCAGATCGTGAAATATATACGCAATTGAAACACCAAAAACTCGAATATGGAAGCAAAACACAAGAGCTCCTAGGGCGGATGACTCTGAACTGCGGCCGAACGGAAGGCAAGCGGGAAAAGTAGCGGGAATGCGATGCGATGAGACATGCGCAAGCCGGTTAGTTATTTAAGACAAGCAGGACTCAAAAGTTCAGTCGGTTAGATCTCGGCGCACGCAATAATTCGCAGGTCCCGAGACCAACTGGGACGCACGACACAGGCATCCCAGAGTTCCAGTTATGCCCGGCGGTTCCTGAGTTGCTCTCTGGTCAGCGGTCGTCGAGATGGGCGGAATCCTGATGAGCCTCGGTCGATCTGCACCCTAGCGATGACGGGTTTCCCGAAGTCGGGAAGAAACGCCGGACGGTCAGAGGATGGAGCGAGTTTACCCGGGCTGATGATTCGCGGAGCCGCCATTGTTAGTTCGCCCGAATTTGATACACTGGGACCCTGGAAGCTCATGCGCCGTGCAAAATTCGCATTAAAGTTCAAACAGACAATGAAACAGATGCGGACTTGTGGACTGTGGTAGACTGGTTACATAGTACCTGTAAGTATATAGTAGTTGCCATCGATGACGGATGGATAATGCGGGGTTAGTTTTGTACTCTCGCCACTCTGAAGTCGGAAGATTAATGCATTTATCGACTGTAGTGATAAGTATTCTTGACATTTATTTGCTTTTACTTAGATAATTTTCTGTGGACATTAGTGGTATACTGTGTGACTTAGAAATGGGGGGCATCTTGAACTGTGACGTTGGACTAAAACCGAGTCCAAGGCCTCGCTTCTGCGCTTCCCAGAGGCGACCAGAGCACAGATGGCGGCATGTGATCAGTGATGCCGGATGCGGGGAGGAGGATCATGTATTATGTAAATTGTAAACTGAGAAGTGAGGACCTCTTTGGGACTAGCGTTCTATATCAGTCTTAGCGCGCCTGGCTGTTTTCGTTTATTTCAACCCCCAAACTTTCAAGGCTGGTGAGATTTGTCCCCAATGCTAACTAGTACTAATAATGGAAATTAATCGCCCGATTTAACCTAGCGCATATTTTCCTAATGCAGCCTTGCGACGTGTTCGCAACGCATTATAAGGCCTTGCACTCCTTGCTGACCTTTCGAGGCCTCGTTCAGATTGTCGATACTAGAATAACTACTATAATTGAGTAGCTGTTGGTCCATGGCATGCAGCATGGCTACGGCTTCGTAGTCAAGCAGAGCTACCCTCACAAAACCGATATTAAAACACGATATTACAACCACTGCGATCGATTCAAAAAGTATCAGTCAAAAGCAAGGGCTCGAAGCACAAGTACTCTCGCAACAGGAGGTCCTTTTAAGCTTGTTCTCTTCAAGACGAATCGCAACCAGTGGAAGCGGGAGGTTCGAAACCATTATTATAACTATCCCCGATCACTTTATCTTAGCGCGCATAATATCTATCGTAAACGGACAATAGCATAGAAAGACACGATCTAGTTCATGATATATACTGGGGCGCGGCCGATGGAGATATTGGCTGCTATTCAAAAGGAGGATCCGGATACGCTGGTCTCCGCTACCAACATCCATAGTGAGAGGAAGGTAATTAGAAAGAAGCACTTCAACGGGAGGAGTCCTATCGAGACGTTGTTGGACGATCTCTCTATCCCGCAATGGGTCTCTAATACATACTGTTAAAAAGGATGTGGAGAACCACGTGCATAGTCTCTTCTTTGCCTACCAGAAGCAGATCGAGTTGCTGCTTGCGAATCCCGATGTCCTGTTGATAGACTCTACGTACCGAACCAACAAGTACAAACTCCCACTGTTGCACATACTTGGCTGCACCAATCTATAGACCTTCTTCTCTGCAGGCTTCTACTTCCTCCGTAACGAGACACAAGCAGACTACCATTAGGCAATCTCAAACTTCCTCCTCAATACAGGGGCACCACAGCCACGCATGTTCATCAGCGGTCAGGAGGATGCAGTGAAACTGGCAGTTCGCACTCTGTTTCCAGGTGTTCTACAACTCTGATACGTATGGCATATCAATAAGATTGTGCAGACAAAGGCTCAAAAGACCTGGCGAGACGCTAATGGCATAACAAGAGAAGAGAAGCAGGAAATCGGTGATAAACGGGCTAAATTTATGAAGCGTTGGGCCTAGGCATGCTCCAGCTCTGACTACACAAGAAACAATAGACCTAATTAGAACAGCTTGTTTACATAAAGAGACCACTTGAGTTCCAATTCAAGTGGGACGTATTACTGAAAGATCATGCTGACCAACGAGAACTTTGCACATATCTATGCGAAAATCAATACCATACGTGCACCGAGTGGGCAGCTGCATAGACGTTTCATCACTGATATTATAACAAAATTACTACTTCTCCTGTTGAAGGAATGCACAAGGTTTTGAATGACTACCTTATGAGTTCAAGAGGCGACTTACTACAAGTTGTTCAAATGATTGAGCAGATGATCAATCATGAGATATGCAAATTATTTGTTACAATGAACCCTGCAGTGGCCCATCAGCGACATTCGACTACGCCGCGAGCGTCATCACCATCTGCCCGTGACCATCTGGATGATGCCACCCGACCTCCTTTCTACCCTGAAGCTAGACCATTAGATCCTGACCAACCGGTAAAGGTATGGAAAGCATACGCCCGTCAAATGTGTGAGCATACTGAGTCTTGTAGATTATCATCGTTGGTGCCGGCCTTGCGGGTATTATCACGGCAATCTTGCTGTCTTACAAGGTCCGAAACTTGTCATATGTGATTTACGACAAAAACACAAAGCTTGTAGGCCCAAAGCCCTCGCCCACTCAAAAAAAAGGGAAAACTCATGAACTGGCTAACAGCGTCACACTCAAAGGGCGGGACCTGGGCTGAGAATGTTTATCCTGGTGTTCGATGTGACGTGCCGTCTCACTGTTATCGTAAGGGTCTTTGGTGACATCCGTGCGACTCGATTTGTTTATCTAATCTTGATGAGTAGAGACGACGTTTGCTCCAAACCATCACTGGTCGGAATATTACTCTAGGGGCCATGAAATCCGTGAATACTATGAGAGCATAGTTAACAAGTACAATGTACGCTCGCATATCCAGTTTCGAAAAGAGGTCATCAGAGCAACATGGATACCAAATCTGGCCAATTGGGAAATTCAAGTCAAGAACATGGACACCGGTGTAATAACAACAGATACCGCCCCATTCTTCATCAACGCCCAAGGTCGACTCAGCAAGCCTCAAATGCCGGACATCCCTGGTCTCATGACCGAATATAAGGGCCCTGTCCTACACACTGCAGTGTGGGATGTCAACTACGACTTGACAGGCAAACGTGTCGCCGTGATTGGCAACGGAGCAAGTGGGCAACAAATTGTCCCGAACATCCTCCCAAAAGTTGCCCACCTCGATCACTACGTGAGATCGAAAGTCTGGGTGACTCCGAGCCTCCAGAAAAACACGGTCCAGGCTGAAGCCGGTAATCCTGGTGGTTACCAGTACACGAAAGAGGACATAAGAAAGTTCAACAATGATCCTGAGGAGTATGTGGCGTATCGACGCACTATCGAGAAGAATCTTCACGAACGATTCCAGCGGACAATCCTGGGCAGCGAGGACAACGAGGAGCTTCGAGAAGCATGCATCAAGACTATGTCTCGCCAGCTGAACGGTAGCAAAGAATGGCTTGACAGGCTTTTACCCGACTTTGCACCCGGTTGCAAGCGGCTGACTCCCGCTCCTGGATATCTGGAGGCACTACAGGATGAAAAGGTCACCTTCGTACAGGACAGAATCGATCGTGTTACGGCCAAAGGAATCGTGACATCCGATGGACAGGAGCGTGTGGTCGACTTGATCATCGCTGCGACGGGGTTTTCAAACGGTTTTGTTCCCTATTTTCCAACGGTTGGCCGAAACGGCGTAGACATCAGCAAAGATTGGGCAAATGGAGGAGCGGTAGGCTATCCGGAGACATACTTTGGGATCATGGCCCCCGACATGCCCAACTACTTCTTCATTCTCCAGGTATGTATCCTTTTATGACATGAGACCGCGAGATTCCGTGATGGTTGTTCCGTTATATATTAACATGGAATTCTAGGCGCAAAGTAATGGTGGAGGTGGATCCATCCCGCTGCAATGCGAGATATCAGCTACATACATTGCCAAGGTTATCCGTAAACTCCAGCTCCAATCATATCGCTCCATCACGCCTTCAAGGGAGGCCGTGGAGGATTTCAATGACCTTTGTTTGGGGTACTTTCAGGACAAAGTCGTCAGCGACACTTGCAGCTCGTGGTTGAAGTCTTCAGGACCGAAGCCTCGAACTCTGGTTTGGTGGCCAGGATCCGGACATCATCGGATCATGATTTGTCGTGAGCCGCGATGGGAAGACTTTGATTATGATCGATCAGGAGATGCAAAAAAGAATAGATATGCCTACTTTGGCAGTGGCTGGACGGAGCGGGAAAGGATCGGAGGTGTTGAGAAGCTGACATCTTACCTCAAGGCCGAGGACAAGGTGGACCTTGAACTGCTACACGAATATTGGAACAAGTAACTAGACTTTCTAAATCTAACTATTTGTACATTAGGTCCTAAAATTGTCCCCCATTCTTGAGTGTCCGGGTCTTAAGCATTCTGTATGACCTAGCTACGCTGTTTTATCAGTAACTATAGATGATCTCTTTTCGACAGTGTCTTGTGCTCTGAGGATACACCTTATCTTCGCCATCACCTCGACACCGTCACCATGGCCCCTGGTTCATTTGAGCCATATTAATGAGACTCTTGTGTCTATAATTTATTTATTTTTTCAACTGCCTATAATGGTCTCCATGTATCGCAGCCAATTCTCCCCTAACACCTTTTTAATTTTCTCCTCGCTCCAGCCGGCTCTCGCCATTGCGACAGGCAATTCAGGTCGGTTCTCCAGAGGCCCAAGTGGCTTGACAACCTTTGCAGAGGTTCCCCAAGGTGTCGAACGTCGGGCGTAGCCCTTGTCCTTGTTGGCCCAGTCCATGAAGGCACTGGGCCGCTTATGGCCGTCTGCGTTGTCTGAGCCGATGCCAACGTGATCCTCGCCACATAAAGCAATGGTGTAGTCAAGAGCGGCAACATAATCATCTATAGTACTGTCGTTGCCTTTAGGCATGTGCGGGCCAAAGCAGTTGATACCAACGTAGCCACCTTTTTCGGTACACAGCTGAGGAGTGCATCCGGCTTGTTTCGAGGGTGGTCAACGAGCCCTCTTGGGAAACCGTGAGAAATGCACGGAGGCTTGGAGGCATAATTGATGGTATCCTCACTAATTAGTCCTGTCGCCGACGTGGCTCAGATCGACAATCATTCCCAGTTTGGCCATCTCATCCACGACTTCGCGCCCAAATCCCGTCAGACCCGAGTCGTTCAATTCCGTGTATCCAGCACCAGAGTAGTTTTGCGTGTTGTAAGTCAGCTGCATCTTGCGCACTCCCAGCTCGTGGAACACACGCAAGTAGTCGAGCTGGTCTTCAATGCCAGCGGTATTTTGCCAGGACAGGAGGATCGCCGTCTTGCCTTGACTCTTCGCTCGGCGCACATCTTGAGCCGTGTACGCCTGCACAATGATTCCCTCATGCTCTTCGAACCACCTCTTCCATTGGACGACTTGTTTTATCGACTGTTTGAAGTCTTCCCAGATCGAGATTGTGCATGACGCCCCCGTGATTCCGCTGGCATGCAGTGCAGCGAAAGTTTCAGGGCTCCATTTGGCTACTATGAGCGAATCGAAGTGAATCGAGTCGGTGAATATCTGCTTTGCTTCTGCTTCGGTGACCATGATGTCGTCGTCTCGGAGTCCTCGGTGTTGATGCTTTCTTTGATATCCCTAAGTCTGACTGGTAGCGGTGTAGGATAGGATGTCACTGTAAACGAACGGAGCACCGAGACTCAAATATATGCACTGCTGATATGGCCTGCTCCAGACGAAGTGATCCCCAGAGGGTCAAACATATTTATGCGTTGCTCCATGGCTTAATGCCGAGTATAATTCTCAAATCCAGCACAGGTCGGGCATTTGGTGTCGATAACACCCAAATCAAAGTCCCGGACTACGTTAGCACGGAATGTGGAATCTTGATGGCAACATATGCTCCAAGGGGTCAAAAGCTGGAGGAAGCAGGGGTGGAGGACGGGAGTCCGCTCGAAGTGCCCATTTGGTCCCATCTTTGTTGAGCAGATGGGGCAATAAAGACGCGCCGCTGCCCGCTCCATTCATCGTGACCAACTTGGACGGTTAGATTGTTGCGATGATATATGCGTCCTAACCTTCGTTCATCCAGATGTCGAGTTAACTATCACATTATTGACTAACTACCGTATCGGACGCCTCCACTCCAGTAGCTTCTAATAACGGCATAGCACCAGCGGACCGTTTGGGGCGACAGCTTAGGACACAACGATACATCTGCTCTTCAGCGCGCCCTACATGACTCCTTTTGTTCCCCTCTTTGGCTTGACCGTATGGAATGGGGGTCATTATTGCACACGTTGCACCCAACCCGTCTTAGCCGAGGATTTTACCAGATCACTAATCGAGCAAGGTTCAGACTCTCTAAACTAATCGTGGTATGCCTAACTTATCCTCATCTCCCAAAGTTCTCGGTCCAATCCCTTTCGCAAAGACTATCATCTCACACCATTTCTACCCCTAAAAAGGTATCTGCCACTCACCTCTCTCAACATTCACTTGGTGCAAGCAATAAAATGGCACGTCTCCCATACCCAAATTATACATATAATTCTCGCCCAACCATAAACGCTGTCAAGCTCCTTGCCTACTCCCCATCGACAGCCGACCACTGGACCGCCATTGGCACTGCCCATTTCCGCTCCCTCTCCCTATCCAGAAAGCTCAGAGAATTGGCGACATTATACCTATCCGTGAGGTTCGGTTCGAGCTATGAATGGGACCACCACATAATGCTCAGCGAAAAGGCAGGCATCACGGAGACGCAGCGGGAGACGCTCCAGGCTGCTAGCTCTCGAGACGCGGGTCACTTTGCCAATGGTGGCGGAAATGAGGTGTTTGAGAGGCGCGAGGTCGCGATGCTGAGTTTCTTGGAGGCGATAGTACGGGGCCCGGAGGTGAAGGATGAGCTGTGGGGAGAGACGACGAGGTACTTCAACGAGAGAGAAATCGTAGAGCTAATTAGTTTACAAGTAAGTGTGATTCTGGGAGTTACTTGGAAAGAGGGGGTGGGGAATTGCTAACATGAGATTACAGGGGTTCTATTATATGATTTCAAGACTGGGGACCGTTTTGAAAGTGGATATGGATGATTTCGCTACCAAGAAGGCGAAACTGTAGATTATTGAGAGGCACAGCTCTAAGAACTTATCCTTATATCAATCCGATCTTGGCACAAACGTCGGAACTGAGCTGTCCAGCTCCATAGTCTTGATTTCTTCTTCAGCGGTTTCCACTTCGTTTTTCCGTCTTTTTGGCGTATTTCGAAACAGACACAGTACCTTTCCGCTTTAAATCGCCTCTCCCCTTGACCGCGATCGCTTCGTTCGCATCACGCTTCGCTCGTGCTTCGACAATATCCTCGTAACCCATCACTTTCGGCTCCCCACCTACCATTAACAGAGTTGATTGGCGACGATTACTTTCGTTGTTTTGCTTGAACAAGGTCCGGTTCTCATAGAGAAGGAGGGCGCACTCAGAGAACGTCTTTACGCTAACATTCGCCAGTTTCTGTAAGCGCTGTTTGCTGGGATTGTCTAGCAGTTGAGCGTCATCTTCAATACGGCTTTGGAGCAGGGTAAGACCCTCCAATATGACTGGCGTTTAGAGCATGTTTCCTTGTAAACCGTCACTTCTTCATCGTTTGGAACGTATATTTCGGCTAGTGGCTTCCGGATATCCTTGAGTACCATGGCTGGACTAAATGGATACAAGCCTATCTTTGACCAGCCGGGCTTGATGTTATGGGAGGTAAGCGCCTGATCACGCGTACCACTATAGATGTGATGGCCCCAGGCCTGCGGTAATGGGGTAACAAAGAGAGCCTCCCCCCAATGTGGTGGAATCATTTGTGCTGGGACGAAGTCGGTGTACTTTTGACTTCTGAGCGATTCAGAACCTGCACATATGTTGATACCTTTACATTATTAGTCAAGTCATAATCTAAGTCACTTCTTGATATATGAGACCTTTCCTCATGGCAGGATGACCGTTTTATCGCCTGCTGTCTGCACAGTAAAACACTACAAAGAGTGAGTGGTGAGACAGCGATTCATCGAGCGGCAGGACTGGACATTGGCTATTATATGGATGAAAAGGGGGTGAACATGATGCTTCTGAGAATAGCGAGGAGCGTTACAAAGTTCTAAAGATGTTCGATGAATTGAAGTACTAAGCAGAGACGGTTTAACCGCGAAGATTGCGAGAACCGCTTTCATTTATTAGAAAGCTAAAGAAGAAGAACTAATTATCTATTATTAGTCAGATAATAGGGCAAACTGCAAATGTTCACATTGGTATGTCCATGAGGTCGTGGCTATCGTCGTGGAAGGGTGATGTACACAGTATTAAGTTAGTTACTCAAAAACCCTTCTAACAGGATCGACACGCAGAGCACCTTCTCCACGATTGGTCGTTCGCTTTGAGACAAAACCCTGTCATCTCCAAGCTCTGCCCCCATCGCTCTAATCAAGACAGATTGGATTGTCGTTCTTGTGGCTAGAGAGGCGTAAGCAACACATTGACGCCAGATGATGAATTATAGAATTCCACTTACCTCGGAGAACCACACGCATATGCAACTCCCATCCTGCTCTCCGGGCAGACCGGATTGCAGGCTTGGCCTTCCGGGCATCCTTTATAGCATCCATTCTGCGACGAAGCATTCAGCATTAGTTCTCCATGGAAAGTGGCGCGGCACCTACCTCTGTAATGGGTGCATTGGAGGGTTTCTGTCAGCATTTGTGGATCGCTGGAAATTACGTTTTGTGTAAAATTCGACAGCGTAGCGTGTTTTATATGGCCATACCCAGTTAGCCAACCTAACCGCTAGATATTAGTTCATAAGCCGGCTAAATGCAGAGAGTTGACCTGAAAAAGATTTCTAGGTCAATTTCCAGGATTTTCGCATCTTTCAACTGCCATATCCGACCTAATTAGCGTATTTGTCAATCTTAACGTCAGATCCGGTCGCCTGCATAACGCCCAAGATCTGTAACCCAGATTGCATCCCATTCTGATTTCCCTATCACCAAATCAACGCGTGCGATGCCTGCAGTCACCTCGGTATATGCGGAGGAGGAGCGGCTTGTCGAGGATCGGCGGAAGTGGCATACGCTTTCGGAGAAGCAGAATGCTATACTCATCAAGACCACTCCTGTTGCGTACGGCGCCTGAGCAGGATAAGCAAGATAAGCAGCACCACCGCGATTTTACGCCGGCGATTCATTTTAGGTGGTGAGAGGATCTGGGGATGGCTTCACTTTGCAGGACGAATGGGATATAAAAAGTAAGTTCTGTCGCCAAGGCGCCATGAGCCAAAACGGCTAGTAAACCCTTGCTGACTCAGGAAATTTTCGCTGCGAGGTGCAATTTCCAGGTTCTCCATAATTGCTGGCTGAAACCCTCCAATATTTCCGGGCCCCACAGTGCCAAATGGGAGGTAATTGGGGTCTCCTAGCGTACAAGATACCCCATGTCGGCCATTGTGTTGAGGAATAGTGACAGCGTCAGCAACGAGAATAGTAAGAATCAATTTATAGAAGTTCATCGTACTGCGTCAACTAGTGGTTCTAAAATTCCTTCCTACACTTGGGATATGGTCCCTTTTTTAAGTTGTCATCCACTGTCAACTGCCGAGACCATACACAGTGTCGGGCGCGGATCTGAACCGGGACCCAATAGACCATTGAGCATGACTGACGGAAAATTTTATATTGATTATTGTTCCAGGATACAACGTACCCTTGGAGATATTTAGATGCGGGTGGTATCGAGGAATTTCCGTTTATAGTTTAGCGCCGTTGCATCGAGTACTTTAATATAGCGCTGATTTCCGTTTGAAACTCCCGTTACCCCCAAACCCTTAAAAACATAAGTATATCCTACTGCCAGCAATGAGTTTTCTTCATATGTTCAAAGCTCTCAGTCTCAAGAGCACCTAATCAACCCAATTTTTATATGTAATGTTCCAATTCTGAGAGACCAAACTTCCCTTAGACTCTGGCACAGTCCAAATAGCCTTCGCCGTCGCATTTCCTCTTAGAACCCACTCCAAGAGTGCAACTGTTGCCGCTCCATACTTGCCGCCGTGGGTCGTGAAGAAAGTTCCCATATGACCAGAGTCAAGGCTGCCGTAGAACGCGGGAAGGCCAGCAGGAAGATTCTCATAGTCGCGTTTGCCCTAGCAAGATGATGAACAGAAACTCGTTGCGGAGAAAGAAGCGACTTACGTTCTCATAGGAAATGTCCTTTGGCCCACCAAGGATGTATCCCACGGGAGCCTTCAACTCGCTGAGGAGGCACGTCTTCGACTCGTCCAAGAGCCCACTATTATACAGCACCGTAAGTTTGACCTTCGGATTCTGGTACGCGGCCGAGTACGCTTCCAGTCCACCACAGCTCGAGCCGGCGGTGATAAATGTATCCGTATCGACATTTCCAAATCGAGCCGCGTTACCTTCAACCACCCAGTCGATCGCACCGAACATATCCGACATCTTTGACTGGCTCCCTGCCATCGCAGCAAGTCCAGTTGTCCCTGAGGCTAGCGGGCTATCCTCAAAACCTGGCAACATGGTCACTGAATTGCCCGCCTCGTCCACGACCCCAGGAGGAGCTGGTCCCGGCGCGCCGTTCGCTATTGCGACGTAGCCATACGAGGCCACTTCGGTCAAGAACGCTCCGTATGGCGTGCCGGCGGACGTGCAGCCACCATTACCCCAGATCAATACTGGGAGCTTGACATCAGCTGGCGGCGGCCCCAAGGGAGCGTAGACAGTGTGGTTTTCCAGGCCGGCGTCTTTGATGATTCCGGCCGGATAGGGGCCGGTGCCGGGAGAGAGGTAATCGGAGACGAGGAATGGGCCCTTGGGATATTCATCCCCGGCAGGAAAGAGGGAGGAAAGGTCAAAGCCGCCGCTTGAAAGCCCGCCGAGTCCGCCAGAGCTTCCTCCACCAAGGAGGCCGCTGAGGTTGAAAGAGCCTCCGGTACCTCCTGCTCCGCCCAAGATGCCGCTGAGGTTGGAAGAGCCTCCGCTGCCTCCGGCTCCGCCCAAGATGCCACTGAGGTTGAAAGAGCTTCCGCTGCCTCCGGTTCCGCCGAGAGTTCCGCTAAGGCCTCCGCCGCCAGGCAAATCCATACCGAAGATGCCGCCCATGGCTCCATTGTGGCCACTTTTCGCGGGGCAAGTCTGTGCCGGCGACTGGGGAGCCGGAGCCGCTGCCGCGAAAGGCAAGATCATAAGAACAAGTGTGGCGAACATGCTGAATCTGGAGCACTAGAGGAGAGAACTTAGCCAGTGCTTTTCGAGAGGCTTCCAGTCGAACGAGTTTAAGGGAGAAATTCGGAAAGATGCCCCTTTCATCTTGCTCTAGAGTCCCTTTATCCGTCTCCATTAGGGTTCAGAACAGTGCTCTAATTCTCCGTCATAGAATATTTTCATATACTCTGAATGTCTACAGAGCATCCAATTAAGCCAACCTTGAAATATAGAAATTCGTAAGGCTTCGCATGTGGCCTGCCAAGCAAATTATGTTTCGTTGTGCTCGTATGCAATTTATCGCATGCTTGCAGTATTTTGTGCAGACCAGGCTGAGTAGCATTTCACTATTTGCTGGTAGCTAGACGCATTTCTTCTGTGAGAGACTGCAAAAACAAATGCAATTTCCGCCGTTTATTTGTAGCGAGAAGCAAGCTTGTTCACGTCTCGTTCTCGCATTGTTGGTGCTCCACATCTGACATATCCGACCCAAGTCCATCTATTATTGCTCTATATGAATCGAGCTGGAACGACATCAAAGCACGTGGTGATGTCTTCAGGTTCATCTACCCTTTTTGCATGCATTTGCAATCCATTGCATGATTGAGACCATGTCAAATTCCTTTCACTCCAAGGGAGGATATTCTGTTAGGTATTTCACGCGCCGTTCCCGAATCGTACTGATAGGTTCGAATTAGCTTTCGGCTTCACCATTTGAGCTGTATAAGATCTCGCAAACAGCACCAATGGGTGCATCCATGGCTGCATCCGTCCCTTCACTCCAGAACCTCTTCCAGCCCACAACTTTCCCCGATATCACCGCCCCAATTACGAGCCTATTCCTTGTGGAGTGTCTCTCAGTACGGTCTGCCCGATCCCCCATTGCAGCACAATCTTTCCCGACGAGTTCACCACCGCGATCTGCGCCGCCACGTTCACCAGATTCTCAATGCTCTTCATCGGCAGCGTCAACTGCTACGTGTTGTAGCTAGCGAGCGCGACGTAGATATACACCAGCAGCACGACGAGCCATGCCGGCACCGCCAGCGCCCACCATCAGTTGGGTAGTAGTAGATGTCCAGTCGGTGCAGGAATTGCGACGGAAGTAACGCCCAGAGCAGGTACATTAGGAACACCGTGGACGACGACACCATGTATAGCGCGAAGCCGCAGTACCCGTCCGTGGGAAACTTCGGCGACGCGCACGGGACGGTGATGGCGGTTCGTGCGGACGTGGCGACCGCGGCCGCAGTGCTCGCGGGTGTGCTCGTTCCATTGCCCGTAAGCTCCTCGATGTCGCTCGAGTCCGGCGTCATGGGGCGGGATTTATGCGTGCTGGAACTGGTGTTCTTGTCCACAACGGGGTTCCGCTTGGAACTTCAGCACTGGCTGGCTCCCGATTCGCGGGAGGAGTAGGCGGACTCGGCTCAGACTTCAATCGCAGACCTTTGAGGTCACCGTTCCCTCTATCAGGTGCCATGATTGTGTGGAGCGCAGTTCATAAAAGTGACAGCTGGAGATGTACGCCGTAACATTGTAGAGTCGTCATGTGGAGTTTGGGGAAAGTGAACGCTGTGGTGACGTGGTGTACTGGGTACCCCCACATGGCAGAGCGAGTGCCACATGATTGGGCAGAAGATGAGCCACGCTAAGATGAGCCACGCTGGGATTTGAAGATTGAAATTTAACGTACTCCATACAACAGGCAGTATAAACTATCAATGCGCGTTTTGACATGGCTAACTAAGTTAGTCCGACGAACTAACTTCATACTCAGAGTCCGCGGAGGTGTTCGTAGCACGCTTTGCACATAAAACCTGCCCCGATGCCATGATGAGTTCCTGGCTCTTTGTACCTCTTCTTGCTCGGGCTGTATTTGCTCATCGTCCCTGTGGATGCTGTCCTTTGCTTACGAATTTGGAATGTTCACAGAGCTTACGGAGTACTTTTGATTTTTGTACAATGTACACCCGCCGGGTTTGGCGGCTCGCGGGCTCGCCGTGGCAATCGATGCACGGACAACAAAATCGACACGCCAAGATCGAATACGACTCTAGCTTCTAATTCATTTAGGTTTTGGCGATGAGCCACTCTTGGCCTTGGACGCGAGCCAATCCCCAAGCCTCGTACGGAGTATTGCAGTCCCCTTAAACCGTGAGGGTTCTCCTCTACTCAGGTGGTAAAATTGGCCTCGGGCTATGCTCACAATCCAGGGGTGGTTCCTCCGGTTTTGTTTTGCTAAGATCGATTAAAAGGAACGGAGGTGAACGGGAAAAATAAGCGCAATTCATCTATCGTGATTCGTGAATGATCAATGATGTCGAGTCCGCGACACCTGATCATACTCATGCAACTCATCAGCAACGCAAGAGTGCAAACGTTTTACTAGGTACATCTAGGGAGGCATCCGAAAAGCCATTTGGATCCACGAAATTCACATCCAGAACTTTCGTGCGGAGCGTAAACATGCTTCGATCGCTCGCTCTTGTTACTCTGGGAGCACTAAATACACAATGGACCCCTCCAAGCTCCTGTCTCTCAACAACGACGTTATGGGGCTCGTCTTATTTTCTCGGATTTCAAAGCACGATTGGTCTCGATTCGGAATGCATACCCAATGCTTTTGCAACACCCACGGAGAGCATCGTTACTTCCGCCCTGATACAAATCACAACTGACACCAACGAACCGACACCATCAACCTATGCGACAATCACGGGCTACACTACACTCACTCCATCAGCAACGCGAACCGCTCTAGGTCAACTGATGCCCGCCAGTGAAATCATATCCTCAGTAGGATATTACTCCCCAGGCGTATGCCCATCAGGTTATACCTATGCTGCAAGTTTCACGGCTGGAAGGCCATCGGCGTCGGAATCGGAATCACGGTACATTTGCTGCCCTAGCGGATTTCAAGCACCGACCTGGACATCTACATCAACCCGGACGAGCAATGGGGCGAGGTTTATCGCCAAAGTGGCAACTTATGACTATCCATTATGTAGTCAATCTGCCACAACCCTCACAAATCTATGGAGCATGACACCAGGATGGCCAGACGTGCGGCCATCGTCATATACCCTTACAGAAGCCGAGCGAACTTATTCGGAAAATTATTTCCGTGTGAGCGCGTCGGGAGTAGTGGTCGCATGGAATCCTACGGACACCGCTGTCGTCGATTTCATACGCAGTAACAACGTTTCGCTACCGCCGTGAGCATCCTACCAGACCACGATTCAATGGAACCATGACTAATATCCGTAGCCTTCCAACGTACGGACCCGAATCCAAAACCCAATCTAAGAGCTTGAGCCCCAGCAACATCGCCGGCATTGTGGTCGGGTCCATAGGTGTCGCCTTAGGCCTTGGCTGCTATATCTGCTGTGCGTGTAGGAAGAGACGAAAGACCTTCCAGCCAATCTCATCGCATGATGGTGGCTCGACGGAACACGGGGTTGGCACGTCGACTACGTATTCAAACGTAGTCACAACGCCATCTTCAGTATATCATGGCACGAATATGGAACTGTCGAATATTTTTACTGCAACGACGGCCACCACCACTCCACAGCCAGAGAGGCCGGCACGAGACACAGATGGTGTCTTTGCAGAGGCGCCGCCGCGGTATGAGGAGGCGGTCTCGTCATCGAAGCCTTGAATGATACCCTTGGGTTTATAATAGTGCCTTTGCATTTGGAAGGGCGTTTAGGTCCTTTGGAATGTCTTTGTTTGGAATATCTTCGCAATGAATCTAACCGCACCGGTCCAGCGCGTCGAACTCGAACACGCAGACGACAGCAATTTCTTCAAAGATCCTGCCTCCGAGCAGGCACTCTTGAATGGGGGGATATATCCATCGGGACGCGGTGATGTAGAGCCGAACAACATGGAGGAGATCTGAAGAGGTAGCGAAGCCTCGTCCGTCCCTGTCACCTTCGCAATTCTTGCTGTCCAGAAGTTTGAAAAAGCCCTGCCACGAGCCCACGACAGTGGCTCAGGCTTTGCTTAATTAAGTCTAGCCTCGGGCCTTCGCGCCAGGGAGGGTTCATCAACCAGCATCAGATATTTCCTGACTTCGTATCCAGTAATTTACATCTGATGGTTGTGTACGGATAGTTCTAGGCAGTCCATGGCCGAAAGATCGCAGCTTGTAGGCGGGTATTAGAGTATGTGGATCCGCCCCGTGGAAGCACTGATATCTAAGAAGAAATTTGGCAGTTGCCTTGTCCTGGCCCGCGCAGGCTCTGCCCCATGGGGACCAAAAGATTGCTGAGGCACTTATAGATATGGAGTGCTCCTCCGTCCTGTGCGGGCTCATTGGCCTCCCCGCCCTCCCACCATAATCACGGACGAATTTCGCTGCGGGACACTGACTTTTGCTGTCTAGCCTTCCTTTTCTTTCTTTTATTTTTTCCTCTCCATTTTTCGTAGGTTCTGATACTAGCTATATATCTTTATACTGTTCCTATAGAGATCTCCCTGCTGCCTAACATTGTGAGACATTCTTCCCTTGGTTGTTCCGTTAAGAAACTCTCGCGGTGGTTCATCCATCGCATTAATACGGTCTCCTGCCCGAACTGCGATAATACAGGTGCAAAGCAACCAAACGCAGATATTCCGTTTGGGTCCCAGAAATGAACCCCCTTCCCATAAAATAGCTTTGGTGGCTGCTCTGGACCTTATTGACAACTAAACCGACTTTGCCATTTTCAAGCTGACTAGAGGAAAATATGCGTCAGAGTAATGCTAATCGTGATTCCATAATATGAGGTGGGATCAATATCAGGGGACTTCGGCCCTTTGTAATCTGGGCACCTGTGATTGCCTCTTCGGGTTTAGCGCTCCTACTCGTTTTCAAAACCTCGAGTCGAGAACGTAAATCCCATTCTAATGTTCGATGGTGCTGATTAGCTGATGTCCGACAGCCTCGACGCCTTCAGGAGTTCAGGTTTGTATTTGTGGAACGATATCTGGTAGCCCGCCCGAATCAGCATTTTAGAGGACACGGAGAAACAATCTCGAGAGCCTGGCTGCTGAAACCGAAAGAACCCCAACACAGTACCTCGTCATAATCATTGAGAATGGCGGTCCGGGCAAGATGGAGACGGCTCTTTCTGAGATTGTATTGAGGCAGAGCGTTAGTTATGGAATGACCCTGGTTGCCTCTGTTTAGGAGATCCTTGGCGTTATTTTCTTTGGTGAGATGCAACGGAATACGGCCGATTGAGAGGGGCCATGGCGACCCTATCCACGCACTATGAGTGGTTGGGAAGATTCTGGTAAGCTCTTTTCATTGCTCCTCTAAGCTTAGGAGGATGGCCTTGCCGTCAACTACCAATGCAAATGAGAGCTCGATGCGATTAGCATTTCTGGTAGCTGATGGAGTGATACTTCTGAATGGTGCATGGGAGGATTGGGTCATCAAAGGCGAAGAGGAAACTTGATGTCGGGCAAGAATGGCCATTTCGAGAAAAGGTCGCGGTAGTAGGTATTGGTGCTGAAGAAAAGTTGCAGAACGGTTGAAGAAAGATTGAAGAAGCTGATAAATTGACTCATGACTGTTGGCTAATTAGCAAATCAAAGTCATCCAGTGCTGAAGCCCACTCTGGTAGTAGCTACCAGTAGGCCAACTGTAAGGAACAATAGCAAAAACAATAGGTAGTAGTACATAGTTATGGTGCAGAACCCTCAGTATGGCTGTGCGCCAATACTGTGCCTTTTGGCCGAGTGGTTAGCTCTTGGTCCCGAGTCGCTTATTACACCAACAGCGTCACGTTGTAATGCTATAACAATCACATATTCTGGACAAAATATTTTCTTTGCTTTAAAGGGGATCCTGATTTGGCTCCTCAAAATGAAGAATTAATGACCTTATATTTCTGAGGTGCTTGATGCTGGATCGCTCGGAATATAACTTGATCGATCTGGAATAGGTTAGACTCCAAGATTCGGCCCAATGAGGGAAGTCTCGGTTCTGACTTACAGACTGATGTGGCAGAACCAAACTTCTTGCTGAATAAGAATATTGCTATGAGAAGATATTCTGCGTTTTGAATGGTACCGCCGCTCGATTCTTGCGACCAGCCGTGAGGCACAGCCTAATTTTAGCCCGTCTCTCGCCTCAATATAGGAGCCTTGACCTCGAGCTTCGAGAACCGCGACCCTTCGAGATGATATGTATTGTGCCGCGTAGCAGATACTTGCTTCACAACCTAAGCTAGCGCATAACTGAGGGATGACATATCGCCTCCTGAAATGCAACCAACAAAACCATCGAAGCTCATTCATCCTCGCTCGTATAGACAGTACTCAAACTTAACCCCTTCTTCCTCGAGAACATCAGGCAAATCTTCCCCAATGAAGGATTCAAGTTCGCCTTTGCTTTTCTGCAACCAGCCGGATTCTATGGCTTCCCGGCTTCCCAGGTTCAATGGAAAATGCGTATCGCAGTCGAATTCTTTGTGAACCTTGGTAAGAAGAATATGTTTCGTCTGGGGAAGCTGCAAAGCGGTGTGATAGACTGAGGCGCCGCCGATCACGAATACACGCCCCAATCGGATCGGGTTTGTCGCTGTTCGACGAGTAGCATCTTCATCCGTAGGCAGCTCAGACCGGACCTGGGCTTGCCCCATGGATCCCAGCACTTCTATCGCGTGTTCAAGGCTGGACGCATAAACGACATCGCCTAGACCAAGGCTGGTACTCGTGGCAGGCTGTGCGTTGGTAAATTCTGAATTTCGGCTGAGGACCACATTGAGTCGGTCTTTGAGAGGACGGAATTTAGGTGGGATGCTGTCCCAGGTCTTTCGCCCCATAATGACCGCATTACATCGAGTGGAATCGGGCTTGATATGTGTCGATGAATCGAGAGGGACGCGCTTCGTGACGCGTGCAAAATATTGCATCTCTTGCTTGATCCGCCATGGAAGCGAGCCCGCATTGCCTATCCCAAGCTCTTTTGCCGTAGCGGCTACTATGATAGTCAGAGATATGTTTTGTCCAGGGCGAGGAGCCATTGTGAATTTAGAATTTACTGAGATTGAGAGGGGAGATATCAACGAAAATACAAAACATTCACTGTTCTGTTGGGTCGCCCATCGCCGAGGCGCCGAGTCCCGCGCTACCCCTGTCGTACACCACGTGACCCGACTCAACCAAAATTTCTGTTCTGACTTTCCCGATTCTTGACGCTTGATTTGAACGTCGTGCTGTTGTATCCTCCGCAGAGCAATCCATATTTGCATCAGGCATCATGTCTATCTGGGACACCTTCACCGGCCGCAAGGCGAGCCCCTCCCCATCGACATCTTCCCCGACTTCATCGTACGCTGATGCCAGCCCGGGCGCCATCACCGCGCCCGGCGTGGATGATGTCTCCTCCTTCTTCTCCGGCCCGACGGCATCGTACGACCCATCACAGCTCCATCCCCTCGCTGGCCTCAATCAAGACTCCCTAGAATTCCTCACCCTCGAAGATTCGGCCCTCTCAGACCTCCCGGGCGCTAACTCCGCCCTGCCTTCCCGCGGCTGGTCGGATGACCTCTGCTACGGAACGGGCGTCACGTATCTCACAGCCCTAACCGTTGGAGGAGCATGGGGCCTTGCCGAAGGGTTAAACAAATCGCCGCCGACCGCATCGCCGCGACTCAAGCTGAACTACATCTTGAACGCCGTCACAAGACGAGGGCCGTTCCTGGGAAATTCCGCCGGGGTGGTTGCCTTGGTATACAACGGAATCAACTCGACGATTGGGCACTACCGAGGGAAGCATGATGCGGCGAACAGTGTGGTTGCTGGGGCTTTAAGTGGTATAGTCTTCAAGAGCACCAGGGGAGTGAAGCAGATGATGATCTCAGGAGGGCTTGTTGCCACTGCTGCAGGAGCATGGACGGTAAGCGGATTTCCCACTTCTTCTAGACTATTCCTAACTAACATCATCCAGGTTGCGCGAAGAGCTTTCTTCTAATTTCGTTTTCCACACTTACGGCAGACACGTCTCCCACGTCGGCGACCATTCCTATCTGTACGTTTGTGATGCATTAAAGCAAGGCGTTTGGAATCCAAGCTCTTGACATTATGTCATGGTATTAAAGGGTTCAACTTGGGCGAGCTGGTTGGCTGCATAGACTTGAAACGGTGGGAAAATGGAAGCACCATGCACTGTCTACGAATCCAGGTGGCTGCGTTGGGTGATGGAATGGTGCATTGTGTGAGGGCACTTCACACATTGTGAGTATCGGTCTTGCGGCTTCCAATGATGTCAAGATACTGTTGTACTATAGTTTGAAATGGATGGCAAAAATCCTTCTTATGCTTCCTTGCTCTGGATCGAAGTGCTACTATATGTACAGGTGCGGTGGCATACAATCGCCCGGATGCTTACCTACAATTCAGATAGTAGGGGAATGGCGTCTTCCCCCACCCTGTTGTTTTCTAAATGAAGGAAATAGGAATCCCTTTCCATATTTGTGCCCGTTCATCCGTTGTTCTTGCTGCTAATTGCATGCTGACCCGACCTTACTCGGTGCTTGTGTTCCCTTCTGGATGTGATGACGACCTTTCGATATCTCCAGCTATCTCATATCACTGCCCTATCACGGTGGAGTGTTGCCTACGGTATCCATTAGAATATTTCTTATCGTAGCATTCTTCTCATCAAGCAGATTTACGCTCGCATTCAACAGGGAAATGGTCTACATTTAAACTTGCGACTAAATGCTACAACTACCTCGCTACCTCTCCACGCCACTTCCAGATATCAGATGTGAGCTAATGATCTCTATCCAATGTCCTTAACTCATAATTGTCCTTGGAGGGACCGTTTGTTTGCGTTCGACTTATCTTATTAAGATTATATCTCATCATTGACGACTACTTCAAAGTGGAAGAGTGCCTAGGGCTTACTCGAAACTTAACTAGTCATCACCTATGGAGCAACACGTAGAGGGCGAACGGAGCAGTGACTACATGGTCGCGGAAGCCGAGGACTTTGTCCACACCATGACGGCCCACCTTCGAGCCAGCGACATGGACGTGAAGTTCCTTGACCACGGCTTCGACCTTCAAGATCAATCGGCCTTCGTCGGGGAGATGTACGCAGAGGCACTTTCGGGACATCCGCTCAAACCTCAGCTGTGGGATTCGACACTCGAGGGCCTGGCTAATGATGTGGCCGATGAACACGCGGAATTGACGGCAACGCAAGATAATCTGCAAGCGAAGATCAGGGATAACCCAACCCTCGTCAGTACGGCGCATGATATCATGGACAGAAGAATGCAGGCGGTGGGAGTTACTCAAGACAACTCACTGCCCAAGAGAACATCCTCGTGGGCCAGCTTGGCCGCTAGATTGAGGCATCTCCTCCACAGTGAGAATGAGAAGATGAAGGTTGAGGACAAGGAGTGCTTTCCCGGCGCAGATAACAAACAAGCCTCTCAATTCAGCATCAAGCTGTCGGCTCACTATACATATGATGGGAAGATGGATCGGACGCGCCTCTCATCCCTCTACTATTCCAACAACGTGACCTTGCCGACCTTTTTGGAAGCGCTTCAAAGGAACAGTAGGAATTGGCAGACTGCTGAGGATGACTTCCCCGAGGGTTATAGCGCGAAGGATGGTGACTGGCTGTGGATCGACCCGACCGCATCGAGAACAGTGAGAAAACTAAAGACGGACGGAGACCTCCAGGGGATGATAAAACGAACCCAAGCTGTCCATCAACAGACGGGAAACGTGGTTCTGGTATTCCATGTAGGTTTGCAACTTTGTGTGCCTGTGCAGATTCTTGCAGGGGTTAATGTTTTGAAACAGGAGAAATACCAGGATCATCTCAATCGGATCAAAAATGAGCGACAAGAGTTGAATGATAGGCGGTTCTATGAAGATGAGCCGACGGATGAGAATGGAGTTCCACTCTATGATCGGGAATTTGACTTTATAAAATGGTGCAGGGACCATCACAATGATGATGGCACTGTGGAAAAGCCTCGCGACGAAGACTACTGGGCCGACATTGAACAATACCGGAAGCGGATTGGATTAGAGTAAGGTCGATCATTCACGGGCACGGCAGGATTTGGTTGGATGAACCCATCCGGATTTCTCAACTCAAGGGATATTTGAGCCTAATGGCAGAACTCAGAAGATGCACACGCATTGGTGCTTGTGAACGTGAAACTCCATGCAATCGCATGGACAAAACGGAAATCCCTTCTTGTAAACGCCATCACCTCAGAGGATTGCATGGGGAAAGCCCACGCCCTGAGTCGCTGGGAAACTAAACGCCAGATAGACAACTGCGTATGCCGGCCAACGGTGCGCCAACTAGAGGATGGTGCACGTTCGCCTCTTCTTCTTGCCTGAGCGGACCTGTGGGGGCTCAAGCGCCGCGACGATAGCCTGCGGATGATTAGCTCAGCATACGAATGGCGACTAAGCGCAACCAACCTCATCAAAGACATCCTTCAGCTTGTACTGCGTGAGTGCCGAGCACTCAACGTACTTCACCGCGCCCAGATCCTTCGCCATGCGCTCCCCATCGTCCTTGCGCACCGGCTGCATCTTCTGCTTGGCCAGCTTGTCGCGCACCTGCGGATCGTCGCGAAGATCGACCTGGGTGCCGACTATGAGGCACGGGACGCCGGGGCAGTGGTGGTGGACCTCGGGGAACCATTTCTCGCGGACGTTCTCGAAGGACGCGGGGGAGGTCACGGAGAAGCAGACGAGGAAAACGTCGGTCTGCGGATATGAGAGAGGGCGGAGACGATCGTAGTCTTCTTGACCGGCGGTATCGAAGAGTCCGAGAGTGTAGGGTTCATCTCCGATCCTGTATCCATGGTTAGTAAAACATGATATAATAATCAAGACCAATGTGAAAACATGAGACAGTGACAGTATCAAACACAACAGGGAGGGATAGAGCTAGTAGATAGACCTCAACTTACATGACCGTGACAGCATAGTTGTCGAAGACCGTGGGTACATATTCGGACGGGAACTTGTTCGTGGTGTACGAGATCAGAAGACAGGTCTTGCCGACCGCACCATCGCCGACCACGACACACCTATAATAACTTCATGTCAGCAAGGTCCAAGGAAACCACACAATATATGGATGGTGAGTGGCGCGGCGATGTCTATGTAACATCTATTTGGGTAATGGTAGGAATATCGCGCTGTGGCTTTGCGGAGAGACGATGGGGGAAATTTCAGGATAGAGGAGAGTTTGGGGTCTAACTTAATGGTAGGACTCATGATATATTGATGAAGAAGATGTGTCGAATCTGCGGATATTCGAGGTGACTAGGAAGATTCGATTGCTGCAAGATCCGATTGTGAGAAGGATAGTGATACTGCTTGATAAAGATTGACTCTTACCGACTAATCGAACGTCGGCGCAATGAAAGGGTAGATCGAACGGGAAGTGTATATGATAAGACCTATAGCTAGGCGGCAAATTAGTAGTTGATCGTGGTATTGAGGAAGGTTAATATGCGCGGAAACGGTATACCGTTCCAAGCAAAAAGGCCCGTACAGAGGAACTTCCTGATAATAACGTGGACAAAGATGGGGAGTCAATTGCTCTTATCGCCGACTGGGAAGATTAGAAATAAACCCACGCGACTTACCCAGTGGAGGAAATGCAGATGCACAGATACAGGCTTGGTGAGAGCAGATGCAGTGATCCCAAGAGCGAGTGGAAGAGGGCAGTGTTCGAGCGGCAGAGGGATACCTCGAGGGATCGCGGAGGTTAGGAACGGAGATCTAGAGATAGGTATCCAGAGAATTGTAGAGGAGAAGGATTCAAGAAGGGTATGAGGGGGGTTTAGAAGCGGACAAAAAGAGGGAGGGAGGGAGACTGGGAGACTGAATATCGGAAAAGATCACGAAATGACATCCAGCAGTGAATAGAGAACCGTGTGTCTGGAGAGGAGCTTCGGAAAAGGAAGTGAGGTGAAGCACTGGCTGCTGCACGACTGCGCTGATCCAGCGTTGGGCCAAGACATGGATCGCCAAGACATTAATGGCCAATGAAGACATCAATGGCCAGGAGAGCGAGGCGAGGTGGAGGATGAGGCAGTAAGGCGACGAGGCGTTAAGTGTATATGCACCGCCACAATGACATGGGTCTGTGGTGACCGACTTGCTGCTCCTGCCCACTCGAATAAATTCTGATATGCGACGACCATCGACATAGTCTTGACAACAGGTGTTGATATCAAACCTCCAGGCCAGCTCGTCGAGTGCAATCCATGACCGAGATGGGGTATCAACTTTTGGATTGTTTCAGTCCGTTTAATTGAGAGCACATATCCGGCATCACCATACACCGGAGATGGAGTTCCAATCTGGTCTCATCCTCAGAGACGGCACGGTGCCAGAGCACCTCCTCCTCAACTTCGCAAAAAATGTCTCGCGCATCATCCCGGACCTGGATTTCCCCTTTTCTGATCCCCGGGAACTCACAATTTTCAAAGAACTTGAACAGACTCGGGACACGTGCTTCCAGACCGCAGCGGCACTGAATATAACAAGCACTCACCGTACAGCCGCATACAATGCGTTGTGCGCACTCCTTGGTCGGTGTTATGCTGTCGACAAGGACCTCGGAGATAGCATTGCCACGGATGGTACATTGGTCGGACTGTTCGGACTGTACTTGAACAGATCGGATGTCGCGAAGGCTCCAGCGATGCGACAACTGGTCACCACGCTCGCATCCTTACTCCAGATCCGCCTCGAGTATAGGAAAGGCCTTGTAAGTAACATTCTCGGACAAGTAACTGTCATAGTTGTCAAGCGTCAGTTCCCAGTTCGCATAAAGCCGGCGTTGCACATTCTGAACCTCTTTCTCTCGAAAGGGTTGGTATCAAGCACTGAGGTACTGACCACAGCAAGCTCGCTTGAATCCATCGACCTCAAAGCAGATGGACAACCTCATGACCCTGCCTGTGCCTTGTTCGGACATATTCTGAAATGTGCCTTGTTCGAAGATGCAGCCACAGCAACAGGAAACTTCTTGACGTACTTGCTCGGGCCAAAAGGCATCACGGCCACTTGGGAAGCAGGCGCAGTCCCACTGTGGGTGTATCCACTGGAGAAGATCATACGGGACGACCCAAGTACGATTGGGCCCCTGAGCACCTATGCATTTCCAGCCTTGGCACGCAGCGGCCCAGAGCGATATTTGTCGGCGCTTCGATACTTTGGTCTGGATGATCTATATGGAGCTGGGTCGCTCGACTCTGTTGACCCAGCAAGGCAGAGTGCATTCGAAATCCTGTGCAAGCTTCTGCAGGTTGGGATCCGGATGGGTGCAGTGGAGATCTTTGGTTGGTGTCCGCTTTCAGGGGTTTTGTTCAAATGTTAATGACTTCTCCAGACAGCAATGAAAAATCCACTCCTCGCCTCCAAAATAAGGTAGTCCGCGTGCCAGACAAAGCCTTTGGGGCCCTTCTCCCAGACTCAAGGCCCACAGTTCGGGTAGCAGCGCTGTCGATTCTTATCGTCTCCTCCACGGTCACAAGACCCCTCACCAAAGGGTCTTTGCTTCAACTTCGCCGAAACTGGGATCACCTCGCCGATGACCCGTCACCTGGGTTCCGTGGAGAATTCCTCGCATTGGCTCAGAAACTGATCGATCGGGTGAGAGCCGCCGCAGCTTCCATGGCCAAGGCGCTCCGGAGAGATGCCGACATATCCCTCCTGAATCGATATAAAAACCACGTTCGGTTCGTCAGGTCGATAATCGGTTATGTCGAAACCTGTATCAGTCCCGATGCCACATATCCGCGACGTATCACAGGCCTTAAGCTATTCCACATGCTCGCGAAGGCCGGAATGTATTTTCCCGAATATTCGTCCATTCGTGTCCATCCCGAACTGAAATGGCCTTGTCGCAACAACATCCGATATACGCTGCTACTATCTGGGCTGCGCCAGCTTGTACAAGATCCTTTTGCCGACGTCCGTGCCGACAGCATATTCTCGCTACAGATACTCTCGGACGTGTTGTCTCGCGAACCGCGCAAGGGCGGTCCGGTGTTTCAACTCGATCATTTGGTTTTGACGGCCGAAAAGATCGCGCTCGCATCGGGACGAGCGGATCATGCGGACGGCGTGGCGAGATTGTACGGACTCGCTCTTCAGCGATGTTCTGCACACGAGCCCATGAATTATTCGGCCGTGGAACAAATCCTGAATGCAGGGGACACCTTGAACAGTCCGGATTGGTGGAAGAGCCGATTCGGCATCGTGGACCGCCTCTGGAACCGGCTCAAAGACGCGATAGCCATCTTAGAGCGCTCCATCCATGAAGCGGTGGAGGCCTCTCCCGTCCATGTGACGTTGGCGAGTTTGCAATACGTGATACGGTGGATGAACATGAATAAACCTCTCCACAGTATCTCCGAGATTGAGAGGAATTGGTGGCACTCGAGGACCTTAGGGATAGTGGACGCTCTAGAGCGTATTTGCAGCTCCGTATCGGATGTCGTGTGCAATGATGCGCCGGAAGGGCATCTTCCGGATAGTGTGGAAGAGTCGCTGGATACTAAAGACGTCTTGAGCTTTTCCTGGAGGGCCATAAAGGAGTCGAGGTAAGTCCATCGTGTCATTACAATATGCAGATTCGCTGACCGTATTCAAATAGCCAGCTGATGAGCGCACTCGTCATTAATACCAAGCTCCGCGGGTTCTCTCGTCTTAGTGACCCGGAATGGCTGTCCTTGGTGGAAACAATTGGCAGGTTATGCCAGAAGCAGCTCTTAGAAATCCGGCACCGGGGTGCGTTTTCATCGGTTTCGCTGGCTCTGAGTGACTGCTGCAAGCAGCTAGCGCTCGCAGGTCAGCAACGTATCCTTGGGGACTGGTACAATGTAAGTCGAGGACTGTTCCTCCTCTCTGAAATAGTGTCATACTTACATCTGCAGCAAAATTTCCAGAAGATGGACACGAGGACGTCCATAACCCGGCGCTCCGCCGGCCTTCCATTTATATATGTCTCCCTACTCTCGTACGGAGACGATGGGCTTTTCTCGCAGGGAATGAAGCAGCTGCATGTGCTAGCATGCAGCAAACTTACTTCAAACCAAGCGATTGACGATAGCTTCTCTCAAGTTCATGCGCTGAATTGTCTCCGATCCATATTTACGTCGTCATCCTTGGCCGAGCGCTCCGAAGCGTATATCGAGGTCGGCTTGCAGCTTGCTACACAAGTCGATGCGCGCGCGTAAGTTCCAGTATGATATTGCAATCCCTGAATAGAGCTAATCGCGGCAAAGCTGGCCCATTCGAAATGCGGCACTGATGCTCTTCCAAACTCTGGTTGATCGACTCCTTGGTGCCAGCGATGCAGATGGCTCCGGCAACTCATCCACGGTGATGAGGTTCTCCTACTCGAGATTTCCTGACATCCTGAACACGATCATCAAGATCATGGAGGAAAATGTTGCATCCACCTCTTCCCACGATTCAGAAGGCCTGTTCGCTGCCCTTCATATCCTTGACAGGGCACCTCCAACTGGCGTTAATCGTCAATGCATTGCCGACTTGGTCGAGTCTTTGAGTGGTAGTCCAAATTGGCATGTTCGGGACATGGCAGCGAGGACATATTCGCGTATCGTCGACATTCACGACTTCGAACTGGCCTTGGAGAGATTGAATGAAGTCGAAATATGCGAAAACATGATTGAGGGTCGTATTCTGTGCTTCCAGCATCTCCTTAAAGCTCCTTCTTTCAAGCGCTTTGATGACTGTAAGTTTGTGTTTGAGGGATAACTTCTTACATGCACTGACTAGTACAGGTGATATGCCTCGTTTATCTCGTACCATTGGCCAGAGCATAACCAAATGGTTAAAGGCTGTGAAATCACCGGTGACGTTTGCATCGCTGTTTGACAGTCTCCTGGTACTGTATGAAACCATGCTAGAGGCTGGGCAAGTCCAGCATTTCCCTGATGTATACGGAGAGCTGCTCATTACAACTTCTCATCTCCTACAGAAGCCAGGGGACCCATCACAGGCTCCGTTCTTTCAAGTTGCACAAGAGGCTGGACTAAAATTCGCTCTGCTTGCCTATCGAGCCGGTTTGCCGTTCGGAGATAAGGATCGTATGGAAGCGTTCTTGTTCAAGTCCATCCAGTCTGTCGAAACCGATAGTCAATCAACCTGTGTCGGCTTTATCAGGAGGCTTGCATCGTTCGAAAGGCTAGATCCTCCAGGGGCACTCGAAGGCATCTGTCGGGTGTTAGCAGAACTAATCCTTGCATCTTCTATTTCCGAGATAACGGAGGCGGCGGTCTATAGTCTTTCGACACTCCTGACTCCAAGCTCCAAACCGATACCGCCTCGGTCTCCACTAACGGCAGCACAGTCCGTAGCGCTGCTAGACAAGACTATAAAAGAGCAGGTTCGTTCCAAGAATTCGACTCGGGATATCTCGAATGCATGGCTCCGGCTTTGGGGCCAGTTGTTGGGGTGGTGTCTCGAAGAACGACTCGAGGTTGGGCATGAAATGGTCCACTTAAAGCTCCTCCTCGGTCGCATTGGATTAAGTCTAGACGACTACAACGTAAGCTCATACCCACTATCCCCAGCGTCTATGAAGAGAGTAACTCACATTATTTACAGGAACCAGCTGAGCGTCTAGCAGCTTGCCAATCCATTGAAGGGTTACAGAACTTCTGGACAACGGTTTCCGAGACGTCATTGATTGTGGAACTCCTCTTCGCTATCAGCGATACCTTAGTGGATGATGACGAGGATGTTCGGGCGGAGGGTGCCACTATCGCCACCCGTCTCCTGCGCAGCAAGAAAATGTGCTCGGTGCATATTGGATTAATGATTCCGAGCATGGCACACGAAGTGCTAGTATCCTTCATGGGCGTCGAATGTCGCTGGCTCCCGGAATTCTGTGGTCCTGCCATAATGCGAATGGTCGGTCAACGAGGAGGTGAGGCCGTCCTTCGGCAAAGTGACTTTCCATCCATCCGTCAAATTCTAGAAGAAGAAGGACACAAAACTGCAGAGCTGTTCCACGTGGAAGCTCAAAATTTGTACATTGACCGGGTTTGCGAGGCGAAAAGATGGAGTACCGTTCTTGATGGTATGCAGATTGGTGCTGTTGATCCGGGTTCGGCATTATTACTCGAGGAGTGGGTTGCCGACTCGATGAAAGAGATGCGGAGGTCTGAACTGGTCGCTCGGCACTCAAGTTCCGGCTTGACCCCGTCGTTCACAACTGAAGTATTGCTCGTCGGGATGCAGCTCTTCATCGCTGCGGCGACCGTCATTGAGTGGCGGCGGAGAGAGCGGTCGATGAATCAGCTGCGTATTCCTTGGAAGCGGGATGTGGAAGGCTCGCTGCGGGAGCTATACGATTGGTTCATGTCCACGCAGTGTGGGCATGAGCTTTGGCTGGAAAAGATTAGGGAATCTTTGCGGGAATCTTTGCAGTGATGATAGTTTGCGGATCTAACCAGCTGAAAGATGGGAGCTGGTTCAATGTTCTGCGTGTATCACTGTGGCAATGGTTGGTGTGAATGCTCAGACGCGTTTAGATGAGGGATACCTGCATGCGGAATAGCAGACAAGTTCACAGCTGTCCCGTATGAGGCTCCTAATAAACTCGAGGCATCCAATGTCTAAGCTAATACTCCGTCTCACTGGTTCCACTCCGAAATGAACGCAGTTCATCACTGCCTACCGGGACGTGTTGAGAATCCTTCTTGGCTTTGGAACGACTATATGCTTCTGTTTTCTTTAGCTTTCTATACAACGAATGCGGCGCCGTAATTCTATGGAGCTATGACAAGTAGCGTCCAGCAAAATGAGATATTGATATCATCCCTTGTCTTGCTTGGCTTCCGATCCCACTCTATTTCAGTGGCTTTGCTACATGAACTGGAGACTGCTGTTAAGTCGTGTGTTAAGTAGAATAGGACACGTACTAGCTATCAGATGTTTCAACCTACGATAATTATTGACACATGTTGCTTGTATGAAATGTTCTAACTTTGTGATCAACCAATTCATTGTTCCCAACAGCGCCCCTTTCAATTCAAGGGATGAACGTCAGGTACTGACTAAGTCGGAGTTCGCGAAAATATTTATCCGAAACATCCCAGGTCACGTGATATCACCCCTGAATCGTATCGTGTTCCAACGGTGACAGCAATGAGACCTACGTATCATATAGTCTATCACAGCTGCATCCATCCTATTTCTGTGTGGCTACACATGACTGTTAGAAACCATACAAATTCAGTGGATGTAGCATAGTAGCATAGGAACGGTTGCATTTGAGGCCGACTCTGACAAGATATAGACCAGAATTGAAACTGTTCTGTAACCTAAGTCCCATACTGATTGAAGCGATGCTTGAGCCTTGATACGACTACTGAAGTCGTACGCCTGCTTGCCGATTCGTCTTCGCCCTATTCTGTGCTGCATTATCCATACCACCGGTATCACGGCTGGTATCCAACAGACTCATCCCCTCCTTCTTCTTCTCATCATCGATCTTTTTGAGCCTCTTCTCCGTCTTGCCCTTTCCACTACCCTTGCCATGGAACTGGTGACTAAGATGCTTAAAAGCCTCTTTGGCATCCAGTCGTCGACCGTATTCGTCCACGTATTTGAGCTGCACGTCGGGCTTGTACTCGCGATTGAAGATGTCGGCCATCTGGCGCGACTCTGCTTGATCGCGCTGCGCGTTGAGATTTCGGGCATAGTCCTCCCGCTCTCGTACAGACATTCGATCCAGCTTGCCGCTCTGCCGGTCGCGCTCGCGCTGCAGACGCGCCTTTCGTTCCGCGTCCTCTTCGCGCCGCTTCTTCTCCGAGAGGAAACGCTGGCGATCTCGGAGAAGCCCGTTCTTATCCTCTTCCGCTTCGCGGTTCAGAATACCCCGAGATGTCAACATGCCGAGGACAGCACCCATGCCTTTGTTGAGATTCTCCTCCTCTCCCAGATCGTCGTGAATCTTCTCTACCTCTTGAATGGCGGGCTCGGTAGGCTTGGGAAGATCAACATCCATGGCGTCCGTCTCGGGAGGAGGTGAAGGACTCCTCATAGGCTCTGCTTTCGGTTGCTTATCGGCTTCTAACTTCAGCGCAGGAATCGCCGCTGGCTCGGGTTGTGTCGCCGCTGACGCTCGAGTCTCTTTCTTTTGTGCGGTGGAAGTTCTGAGTGAGGAAACGAACTCGGTGGTTTCATCAATAATGAGCCCAACTTCCTCGTCTTCAGGGGCGTTGCTGTCCCCGTCTCTCAGCTGCCGAGCTAACTCCGCAGCCCTCATCCGCCGCTTCTTCCGTTTTCTATCCATCTCGGGCATCTTGGGCCCTTCCTGATCGGTCTCGTTCATGGTGACGTCCGGAGTTGTGGCCTGCTTTTGAATGTCATCCAGAGAGATTTGAATCCTCTTCTTTCCATCGATGACATCGTCGTACTGGCTCAACAGCCCGGATCCTTCTGTGGTGGCATTCGGATCGTAAGCGAACTTGCGCTTCTTCGACTTCAGGCGCTCCTGGAGTTTCTCTTTTTCCCGTAGATCGAGATCCTCAAGCTCATCATCCTCGTCCTCGTCATCTCCAACAGTCGTGTCCTTGAGAGTCAGGATCTGATCACCTTCTTCCCCGAATTGATCAATTTCGTGCGCAACTTTCAAGCCCGACAGGTCTGATGTGGTGTATTCGGCCTGCTTCTCTCTCTCCGCCAGCTCGGCTTCAAGTCGCTTCTGCCTCTCCTTCTCGAGCTTCTTCTGTCGCTTCTTGGACTTCAATAGCCATGAAGTCGCGTCCTCCAAATCCTCGTCCTCGTCCAGGTCTCCCAAACCCCGGCCTTTCAGCTTTGCGATCCGTTGTGCCGCATCCCTTTGCTTCTTGATCTGCAGTTTCTGCGCCAGTCGCCTGTCCTTCGCCTCCTGCTCGGCTTGCAGCTGCAGCCAGTTGTCGCCAGCTGCGGCCTGGCGTGTTTCGTGCGTGCTTGCTTCCTCCTGGTCCGAGCCGTCTTCGCCCTTGTCTTTGAACTGGAGACCGTTCGACCCCGGGGTAGGTATTGGTTGGATACCAAGTTTCGCTCGGAGGGCGTTGACCTGCTCCAAATCTATTCCCTCCATTTTCGATCGATCCACAACACAGCGAAGATGCGGTGTCCCGTTCAATGGATTTATAGGTGAGGAAAGGATGAGTTCAGAACACAAGGTAGCTGCTGGTCTGCACCGTTCTTGTCGATGCCTTGGATGTTGGAGAGTGGTTGGTTTTAGTTTCAATCAACTGAATGGCATCGATGGAGGTGAGGCAAAAACTCAGAACCTCAGGCATCAGTTCAACTCTCCGTGACTCCGTCACGAGGTCACGTGCTCAGACCCTGACGGACATCACCACCCAACGGAGGAAGTCACTGGAGTGGGAGGGCTGCGTCTGATGTACGCCGAATCTAAACATGGATGATACATGATCGGCCTTGAATTTGAATGTTCCAGGGTTAATCTAAGTTTTGTTTCTACTACTCGCAACCCCCCGTGTAGATACCGAGTATGAGCGATCGGGTGTCTTTCCCATTGAGCAGGCATGTCGGACTCGCCGTCCCCATACGACCAGCAGGCCGAGTCCTCAACATCGCAGCTCCAAGCGCGAGTGGAAGATGACGAGAGTGACAATGATGATCCTCTCTTAGCCCAGGACCCTCTGGACTCGTCTATTCCTGAGCCGTGAGTTATGCGCCTTGCGACATCCATATAAGACTTATGACTGACAGCTTGCAGCACCACATTTAAAAGAAAGAAGAAAGCTGCGCCTGGCTTTTCTCTACCACGATTTCTTTCCTCTCCATTATCAGGCGGCCGCATAGAATCTCCAGCGCAGCGTGCCCCAGCCCGTGGACGACTCGAAGCTTCCCAACCCCAACCGCAACGACGAGATTCCACCGATGCCATGCTCAGCTATCTCGATCGCCCGAGCGATGCGGGCGCTCAGCTTCAGGATACCAAGGATGCAAACGCCCTAGACTGGTATGTTGAAGGCCCCGGTAGACGCGTGGGCTACGATGATCTCACGGCCATCGACTGGATCTTCGAGTACTCGAAGGAGCGACAACGATTGCGAGTCTTGAAATCCTCGGCGAATGGCTTGCTCGGCTACCTTTATTTGATGGGGGACGCTAGTCAAATTTGGTTGGTGCTCGTGGCGACGGGCATCGCGTGCGGAGCCATTGCGGCCTTCATTGATATTACGAGCAATTGGTTGGCGGATGTGAAAGGCGGGTTTTGCAGTAATGTGGACGCAGGGGGGAAATTCTACCTGAATGAGGTGTTTTGTTGTTGGGGCTACGAAGGTATGTCCTTTCTTTATGCCGCTTCGCATGTACTAAAGGTAGCAGACTACAATCAATGTCGCGACTGGCGAACCTGGAGTGACGGGTTTGGCGTCAAATCCGCTACCGGAAGCTGGATTCTAAACTACTTTGTATTTGTATTGTTCTCGGTGAGGACCCTCTGGTGAGAAGTGTGGTGCACACTCAGCCTAACACTCTTCAGGTACTTTTTGCAGCTTGCGCGAGTTTCCTTGTACAGCGGTATGCGTTTTATGCGAAGCATAGCGGGATCCCGGAGATTAAGACGGTCTTGGGAGGGTTTGTTATTCGACGGTTCATGGGACCGTGGACCCTGGTAATCAAATCACTTGGCCTGGTATGTTCCTGTCCAAGCGTGTTGTTGTTGGCTGCTGAACAATAAAAGTGCTTTGCAGTGGCATCAGGACTTTGGCTCGGGAAAGAAGGCCCTTTGGTGCACGTTGCTTGTTGTTGCGCCAATCTTTTCTTGAAGCTGTGCGGCTCTTTGAATGATAATGAAGGTTAGTTGTGTCTGTCGCTGAAAATGCTGCCTAGCTAACCAATAACAGCTCGGAAAAGGGAGGTACTCTCTGCTGCGGCTGCGGCTGGTATATCTGTAGCGTTTGGATCGCCTATCGGTGGGGTGTTGTTTAGTCTCGAGGTCAGTCAGTTTACTAGTCGTTCACTTCGGCGGAAGTATTGACATCCATAGCAACTTTCGTATTACTTCCCGGATAAGACCATGTGGCAGAGCTTTGTCTGTGCCATGGTTGGAGCAGTCACCCTACAGTTCTTCAACCCATTCAGGACCGGGAAGCTCGTCCTGTATCAAGTCACATATCACACAGGCTGGCATGGCTTCGAACTGGTTCCTTTCATGATCCTCGGAATACTCGGCGGACTATATGGCGGCCTCCTCATCAAGCTCAACATGCGCATTGCCGAGTGGCGTCGATCCTCCATAATCTCCAAGAGTCCGGTTCTTGAGGTCATCGCCGTCGCCTTGATCACCGCCCTGATCAACTTCCCGATTAAGTTCATGCGTGCGCAGGCGTCTGAACTGGTCTACATCCTCTTTGCGGAATGCGCCGATATCACAACCGATCCTTTAGGGTTATGCAAATCTGGCAAAGCCAATACCAGCGTGGTCGCGCTGCTTCTCATCGCCGCAATCTGCGGGTTTTTCCTCTCGGCCATGACGTTCGGCCTTCTGATCCCTGCGGGGATTATTCTGCCATCGATGGCGCTGGGTGCACTTTACGGGCGTGCAGTTGGCCTCATAATGGAGGTTTGGCAGAAGGCCTATCCTAACTTCCTCCCCTTTGGATCCTGTGAGCCCGACATCCCTTGTGTCACTCCGGGGACGTACGCAATCATCGGTGCAGCGTCGGCACTTGGGGGCGCTACCCGGATGACCGTCTCCATAGTGGTGATCATGTTCGAATTGACGGGAGCACTGACTTATGTTCTGCCCATCATGGTCGCCGTCATGGTCAGCAAATGGGTCGGTGACGCGATTAGTCCGCGAGGGATTTACGAATCATGGATCCACTTCAACGGATATCCCTTCCTCGATAATAGGGACGATAACAGTGCTGCGGTACCAGATGTCCTCGCAAACGAGGTCATGACTCGATTGGTGGACTTAGTGGTGATCACATCCACCGGCCATACGATTCAGAGCTTGCAAACCCTCCTTACGCAGCACGACCTGCGTGGGTTTCCGGTCATTGACAATGAGCGGAACACGACGCTTCTGGGATACATATCGAGAACGGAGCTGGAGTTTGCTTTGAACACTGCACTGGCGGAGCCTAGAAATTTGCCTCCAGAAACCGAAGCATACCTCACTCATCAGTCACTTGCCGACCCTCTGGCGAGCTTGGATCTGAGGCCTTGGATGGACCAGACCCCCATCACGCTCAATGCGCGGGCAAGCTTGCAGCTCGCGGTCAGTATGTTCCAGCGTCTGGGGCTGCGATATGTTCTCTTCGTGGAGAAAGGAATGCTTCGCGGCTTGATGACCAAGAAGGACGTCTGGTACATATTGGATGGATCAGAGGTCCGTCGAGATACGAATGGTGGGACGCAGGCGGACAATGCTGGCCATGGAGAGGCAGACGCGGATCTAATGCTTGCTGATGATGGAAGTGTGGATAGTCGCTCAGCACCTTGAATATTGCTTCTAAAATTCGACTCGATACAATACAAAGCCGATAATCAAGTTCAAAACAACAATAGCTTGACCAGAAACAGCATTTAAATATATAATTCCAGTCCATCCTAGTGTATATTTGATGCCTGAAATACGAGGCTGAAGCAGAAGTATGAACAAGGCAGATAATTTACACGTGACACGCGCGTATACGCGTCAGGTGAAGCTGGTGTATCATGTGACACGCAACAGCGCTGGAGGAACCTGGACTCTCAGATCTTGATGAAGCTCCCATTAACGATTTCGTCCACTATATAGTAAAGCAAGTCAGTCCGGTGCTTAGGACTTCAAGAGTTGATGTCCGTGAAGTTCCTACTTCCGACTCCATAACAGTTCGTTCCACTGCGCCAGTCCATCCTGGACCCTCGTCTCAATCAACCAACGCGTTTTCACAAATGCAAACATCGGTTTACTGAAAGTTGGAGAAGAGTTGAAAACATCAAGGCCAGCAAGCATGGCTAATGAGGAGGCCTTAAAAGCTGCGGACCTCGCTAGGTCTGTATCAAACGTACCTGTAGTTGCGTAGCTAAGAGTCTGAATTAACGTTTTCAGCAGCTCCTTGAAACAAGATGACATTCCCATCAAGCTGCGATGCGCAATCTGCAACAAGCTTGCCGTCGAGGCGTTCCGACTGCCTTGCTGTGACCAATCTATCTGCTTTTCCTGTCTGTCACCCCTTTCCGACAGTCAACGCGACAAGTATCTGACCAAACGTCTAGGCCAAACAACCCTCTCCGACACGTGTCCGATCTGCGATCATCAGCCACTCTCAGCAGAGGATTGCAAAATCGACAAAAAGCTTCGCGCCACAGTGAAAGTGTTTCTCAAGTCGCAGGAGAAGAAGCGAGAGAAGAGTCGGGCTGCGATTCAGCCGCCGGTGCCAGAAACACCCCAGGAACAGCCGGATACAATAGCCACGGATGAGAAGGCAGGACAGGATATCGACTCGAAAGAGCCAGAAGCAGTTCCTCAAGATCAGGAGCCCGTACAAGAGACAATTGCCGGGACCTCGCATATCTCAACGGAACAAAATAATGCAGTGGTAAGCCTTTAAATCCTCCATCCTAGGTTCTGGAAAGGAGCTGACACGACGTAGGCCGAACCAAGCAACAAAGAGGAAGACGAATCGACCACTCAAGTCGATCAAACTAATAACGACGATGCTCAGGACGATGATTCAAAAGCAGTTGAGGAAATCCCAACGAATAACGAGGCGGACGCATCATGGGCTGGCCAGGATCAAACGGTGGCAGTAGCATCTCTCGGCTATAATCAGGCCGATGATTCCAATGACATGGGGTGGCAGAATGGAATGAATCCCATGATGCAGATGCAATTTCAAAATGCCATGCAGTCAGGCAATTGGTCAGGGTTTCCAAACGCGATGGGTACGTCCTCCATATTCACCAACCAAATAATCTTTAGCTAACCTTACGAAGGTATGTCAGGCATGGGCATGAACGCTATGAATATGCCCCAGGGAATGTTTGGCAATTTCGGTGCTCCCGGGATGGGCATGAATGGATTGAGCGACATGAACATGGGTATGGGCGTTGGCGGAGGATTCGGCGGCTGGAACGAGCAATCCATGAACGATGACTTCAACAATTCCGGTTACTATCCTGGTGGATATAATCAGCAATCTCACCAAGGGCATTATTCGCAGATGCAGCACCAACAGTTCTCTAGAAATAATTACCACAACCAGAATCGTTTCCACGGACGTGGTGCTCACTCCCATCGAGGCTATGGAAGAGGTTATCACAGAAACTATCGCGGCAACCACGCATACTCTCACTCCCAGGGTCATTATGCGGAGAATGGCCAGTATGAAGAGACGTATCCCGAGGACACCCGGCCGTACAGCCACGATCGCCGGACCTCTCAAGGGGAGAGTGTCGTTCTAACCAATGCTGCAGCAGATACTGCTGAATCTAATGGCCAAACCACCGAAGGTGCGGACCAAGGTGCAAATGCTGAAGACGCTGAAGATGGTGCACTTGGACCAAAGGGGCAGGATAATGGTGATCATGAGGTAGGCCTGACTGAGTCTAACATTCAAGCGATTCGCAGCACCGCGGCGGAGGATCGTCAATGGGGCGACCCGAACGCTTTTGGAACGGGTCATGATGCGAATAATTTTCATCCACTGGATGACGGAAACTATGCATATCCTCTCGATGGTTTTGGCAATCGTTTCAACCGACGAGGAGGCCGCAAGTTTGGGTCGGCTAGTTCCCACGGACGGAAAATATCCTACGATCGCCATGCTCCTTACATTCATGAGCCCCAAGGCCAAGGGGTTGAAGGTGCTCCGACTGGTCCCAAAGCAATGCGAGAAGGCGGGTCGACGTTGCCTCGAATACGCTCCACGAACTCTCAAGCACCCGATAATATAAACGGACAGCCCGAGGCATTAAATGCGTAAGTTCCCCCTTGGCTTGTGCTGCTCATTGGTCTAACGTCGGAATAGCAGAGAGCGGTCCAAGTCAGCCTCGTCCCATCGTGAGCCTCGGGAAAAAGGGGATTTTGGTCTCCCACAATCAGACACTGATCGACGCCATGAGCGGTCACCTCGCCACAAGTCCGATAGAGACCCGCCTGAGCATGAGAAATACGATAGGCCGAGGCGGACCCGCGAATCATCGATGAGCTCTTCGAGACGGTCCGCTAGCCGATCTGGGAATGACAAACGCCATTCTTCTCGCTCACACCATTCCAGTCGGCATCGGCATCGACATCGGCGCCGTTCTCGATCTCCGGACGTACTCTTGGACACTGAATTGAGTACATCAGAGGGCAAAAGAAAGTCAAAGAGTGACCATCGTGAGCGGAACTACAGCCCAGAGCCCTATCGAAAGTCATCCCGCAAAGAGAAAGATCGCGATCGGGAACGGGAACGCAACAGAGACCGCGACCGCGACCGCCGCAAGTCAAGAAGGGATAGATCACTGTCCGATGGTGTCAAGGCGGAAGTGGACCCAAAGCGATCGTCTCGACACAGCCGGAGCCACCGCGATCACGAGAAGGATCGGGAACGGCGTCGAGATCATGGCAGGGATAAAGAGAGCGACCGACATAGAGAGAAGCCTCGTAGGGAGCGGCAGCGTGATCAAGACTCTATCAAGGACGAGGATGAGAAAGCAGTTCAATCACAGCGTGTAGAGGAGCCTCAGCTGCGGATTCATGGTCGTTCCCGCGAAAATGCCCGCAAGCTGTCCAGTGTCCAGATCCCGCCTATGAATGCGCCAACAGGGCCCCGGGCGCTTCAGCGCAATATGACCGACTCGTCCGACAAACCGAAGGAATCAGCTGCTGAAAAGCCCGAGCCTGCCATCGATCCATTTGCACAGGAACGTGAAGCACGAATGCGCGAGCGACTTCTCAAGGAACAGCAGCGGAGAGCGTCCTTGCAGCAAGGTCCCGGGATCGATCGCAAGCGGTCTTTCTCGGAGACGGAGGAGCAGGCTTTCGCGCCGCCCACTGGGCCGAGTGCGTTTCGAAATAATCGGCGTAAGATACAGAGAGATGGCGATGTCTCAACGGCGACGGGGCGCGAGGACAGGCGGAAAGCCAAATCTTACCGCCAGTTGAGCTACCATTACGAAGATGAGGAGAATGATGAGGCGAGGGCCACGCGCGTTGAGACGGAGCGAGAGTCGGCGCGATGGGCATAGAAAGTTTGATTCCTAGACACATGTGCCTTGCGTATTGGTTTGACGTCTTCGGAACTGGGTGACGCAGGTTCATAAAAGCTCATATAGCCGAGGATTCAATGCGATCGAACTTGCAGATTCAGTTGTATAATAACAAAATAGATTGATCGACGTCTTTATTTTACCTGCCTTTGGCTATCCCGCGCCTACCAGTATGGCTCCGAGTATGCCGTTCATGTCACGTGTAACGTAGAAATGATTAGTATTGTTCCGATCCTTGCTCTTTAGTAATCTGTCCCCTGCCTACAGTCAACCACGACTCACGTTTAGTATTGGACGGAGCTAGATCACTGCTATCCCTTTAAGGTATGATCCCATCGAGACATTGTTACGGCGAAGGGGATAGCACTGATCCCGTAGTCATCTTGAATCCCAATTCATGCTGCTTGAAGTTCACGACCTTAACTCGATTGCATTCAAATTGGCATTATCCTATCCATTTTCTCAACTTCTCTCTGAGAATCATCTCCTCTAGCCATTTGCCTGGCTATTGTTTCGCCATTTAAGGCAAGCCATAAGAGCCAGCGACGGCGAGCGACGTGACATTGACCTCCGCTTTTCCACGCGTCAGTGTAAGAGCGCAAGATCGCTTAAGCCGGCTGTAGTCGTAGTTAAAGTCCTTCCCGAACTCTAGATCGACGGATCCACTGATGATAGACTCAGAGGGTGCGATGACGTCCACCTGGAACGAGGCGAGCGGGAGGTTATGGCGGACCTCCAAGTGAAACCCCCTCATCCCCCTCGTGTCGTTCGAGGGACCAAGTTTAAAGGAGAAAGACTCGTCATCGCATTTGAGGAAGTCTTCATTCCCGTGCTTAAGCATATGGCCCACGGGCCCCAGCTTGCACTCAGTGCTAGACCGGAACGTCTTGCCTCCAATGTCGTAGGAGTCCAGCACGTTAGGATCAGTGATAGAGAATGTCCTGCGGCCGGTGTCTCTATCAATCGTAAAATTACTGACCTTAAATGGCTTGGCGTGGGCCTGCCGTTCGTAGAGCGGAAACCTGACGGGAGAGGGGACGGAAAGTTGACCGTCGAGCGCACATGACCAACCTTCCAATGGCTTGCCTTCCGTGCAGGTGAGGAAGGATTGAGGGTTTTCTGGCTCATTATTGACCATATGGAATTGCGCGTATGTGGTCCTGACAGTGGAATCCCTACAAGCAGTCAGCTACAGGTTGCACTAAGGACGCCCACATCATATCCCCTTACTCTACGTCGGAGCGCAAGATGTTCAACCCCCACATGGACACTGCTTCGAAATGTCCAGGTTCGAGCCGCCAGGCATGGACATCCCCGTCACAATAACGCCATAAGGTGTCGTGCGTGAAAGGAGCGAAAGTGCCCTGGCACTCAATATTCTTCTGGTCGGACCCGCTAGTGGGAGACAGCGTGAAGCAGACAGTGGTGTTGAATTCCGAACCTGCAGGCCAGGTACCGTTCTCGGTACCACTGTTCTCGGCCATATAATGGGTGTAGAACTTGGTGACCTTCCAGGTCTCGGCAGCCACGGCAAGAGGCGTGAAAAGCAGGGAGAGGAAGACGGGGTGCAACTCCATGGTAAAGTCTATGAGAACGATCACGTATGAGCGGTTGAACGAGTACTATCGTTTCAGTACGTGTACCTTGTGAATAACGACTAACGCCGTACAAACTTGTGGAGGGTGGATGCGGATTTGAGTGCCCCTAAGTATGATATATGCTTAAGAGCGATTTGTGAAACCTGATGGGCTATAGGATTGAAGAGCAGAGATTAAGTCTGAGAGACGATTGAACATATATGCGTAAAAAATATATAAAAAAGCCTACGTTCACCGGACTGTGGTTTACTGACTTGGCATCGGATGCGATGATGGCATGTCTCGGGAATCAATGAGGTGTGGTAACACCCGCAAGACTCGAAGAGTCGATGAATAACAAGAACCGAAGCAAGAGGGTTGGCAGAAAGCTTGATTCATTCGTCTACTCTCGAGTGCTGACCGGGTGCAGCGTAGCATGGTGGTGATATGAATCCCTTCTATCTCTGCCGAGCGGTTACGCAGCCCTGGCCTCCTGGTCCCGATGCAAACGGGCCAGGCGCCGACCGTTGGCTCCCCGTTTGACATATCGGCTGCAATCAGTCGCGTCGTTGCAGCATAGTGGGTACGACTTGCCGAATCCTTACTTAGACCGCCTGTCGCATCGGAACAATAGGGTTGTCGTGAGGTCGGTCGGATTGATGGAAGCACCAAGTCCCGTATTCGTTTCAGAGATTTTCTTCTGTGTTACCCCACGCCACATCGGAGCGGCTAGCAGCAGCGATCAAAGCTCGGAAGGATTCTTCGGCTGATCCTGGAGAGGAGTTTACAATGAGCGATTTGTTCTTTTAGAGTCCAGATGCAGGTGGATGTGAACTTCACTGAGTACGTACATTGAGCTGCCATAACCGTGAACGGCGGCAAGTGAAGAGAATAGCGTATTCTATTGGTATGGGGGGTCGTTTTGCATGGTTAAACATAAAATCCGTAACAAGATACTGCCCATAGCGGACCTATCAATACGCTGGGATTACGCGAGACCTTTTAAGGTCAAGGCCTTTTCCACACAGTTCTTGAAGTTCAGGTCATGAAGGTCCCCAGGAACGTATTCACCGCTATTGATGACGTGTAATTTCATCCTCGGATGATACTTCAGACCCGTCAACAGTTTCGGCGTGATCAGGAAGTACTGGCTGGTGTGCTCCGCGCAGGCGATATCGACCATTCGCTCGTGAACCGTTCGTTCGTTGCGGGGGTCCATGCCTTGATTGATTTCATCAACCACACGGAAAGGAGACCGGGCCAGGGTTTGTAGCGCCATTAAGTAGAAGATTGTCGACACTGAGCGCTCTCCACCGGACTGTCTATGACTGTCAAGAAGAGAAAGTTCCTCGTGTTCCCTGATTTTGAGTCAGTACAACGTAGGTCCTGCAAGGGACCATTGCTCTCACCTGAACTTCACATAAATCCGAATCTCCCACTTTGAGAAATCCTCGTCCTTGTAGACGGAGACCTGCCCAGCGCAGCCGATGCGCTCGAAGTTATGGGCATATGCATCGTTGATCTTCGCAATTAGGGTATCCAATTCGGGCTCCCACTTCTGCCGGATTTCCGTAATCTTCGTCTCCGACTCTTCCAGCTGCCTCTCCCACGTCTCAAGCTTGTGCTCCAGGTTCCGGATATCTTGCTCCCGTTTCTCGAACTGTTTGATGATGCCCGGATTCCGCTCGCCGATCAGTTCGATCCGCGTCTTCAGCCCTTCGATGTCGACATCGAGCTGCTCCATCGTCAAACCCGCACCGGACATCTCCTCGAATAGCTCCCTTTCGTCGTCCGTCAAGCTATCGTGGATTTGCTGATATTGATTCGAAAGGGCATGAGCCTCTTTTTTGATGGCTTCACTTTCTCTCTGCAGAATCGTGAGCTGGGCATCGGCATCCTTCAATTGCTGGTTAATCGAGCGATTTCTCTCTTTAAGAACCTCGAGGTCAGATTCCGCCTCGATCTGCCAAATTTGTACTTCAACCAGTTTCTGGTGCAAATTTCGGAGAGAAGCAACTTGATGCTTTAGACGGTTAGCTTCCAGGATGGTCGACAACAGAAGGTGGAACTCACGGCGTATTCCAAAGCGCTCTCTCCTTTCTGCAGAACCAAGGAGTTATACTTCCTGTTGTTCTCGTGCACAGTTTGCATGACATCGTCTGCCCGCGTCTTGAGGTCTTTGATCTTGTCCTCGACATTCGCTTTGGGGTGGTTAGTTACAAGAGCCCTGAACTTGTCGACTCTGGAGACCTACCGATTTTATTCGGCAAAGCCTGCCATTCTCCGTATTGTCGTTGCGCCCGGTCTTTGTCTTTCTGTATGTTTTGCTAAGGCAAGTTGTCAGTGCGTATTGCTAGCGGCTATCGGGGGCTCCTACAATGTCTTTGTGCAGATTTTGCTGCTCAGCTGCAAGGCCATCCAGCTCCCCCTTCTTTAGACGATGCTGTTCCGTATACTCCGCAACCTCCGCAGCAACCTCCCGGAGCTGTCGATTGATTTCTTGCTCGGCACTGAGATCGACCTTGTCTGTCCAAAACCGAGCTGGACGCACCGGTCGGGTGGAAGTTGATACTGCACTGGGGCCATACTCTGCGCGACGGATGACCTGAACAGATTGTCTGGGAGTGACCCAAGAGCTTACGTCTCGGTTGGTCTGTAAGCGCTCGAACTCCTGCTCGCTCAGATCGCGCATGGAGTAGCATGTCTTGTGCAGCTTGGAACTGTCGCACAATCCGGACAGCACGGCCTCGGGGCCTTCGAGCAGATCGATAAGATACCCTTCTAGTCCCAAGCTCCTAAGCTGGTCCGCGGAACAGGGAGATCGCCAGTAGTTCATCTCCTGCTTCGCCGTACGAATGACAACATCAGTGAGAGCAAGCTCTCTGCTAAACAAGTGTTGCTGCAACGTTTTGAAATCATTGACGTTCGTGCACGTAATCCCGAGGATATCCATCTTCTGCAGACTTGCTTCGAGCAAGTCGGCGTGTTTCTGATCTTTCACGGAGCATTCGAGCAGAGCCGGTCCGTAGACCGGGCCTGTGAATTTGTCGCGATTCGCCTTGATCCATTCCCACGCGGTGTGGGTGTCTTTGGAATAGCTCTTCAACCGTTCCATTTTCTGCCCCGCCTGCGATTTAAGGCCGTTGAGTCGGTCGTTCAAGGCCTGCATCTTTTGGCGCTCTGGTCGAGCTTTGCCTGCGATCTCCTCCAACTCTCCGCGTATGGTTCGAAGCATTCGATCAACTTCGCTTTTTCGGTCACGCTTCTCACGCAATGGGCCCTGGAAGTGTTCTAGATTGTAGTCGGGTGGATGCTCGTCGTAATCACGTCGGAGCCGCTTGAGTTCTTCCTGGTGCTTCTGAAGCTGCTGCTTGCGGGACTTTTCTAACTGAATCGCTGCTTTCCTATCGTTCTCACACTTGGTGAGTTTGTCAAGGATGCTCTGTTGCTCCCCAAACAGCTTCGTAGCTCGCTCCTCCTGTTTGAGAACCACGCGTTTCTTCTTGGCCACGGCAGTTTTGATGTCCTTGGCATAACCCTCCTTTTCTTTCATCGCCTCGAGCGCTGGCTGCACTCTCTGCTTCAAATCCTTCAAATCATTGGCGGCAGCCTTAGAGTGCGCTTTAGCGGCTTTGTATCTGGCACGAGCGTCGTTGTATTTAACCGCTGGCCGGAATTTCTCGTACAGTTTGGCCTTCTTCATGTGGGCCTCGCGTTCTTGGTATCGGTCCACCTCACCACGCGTCTGGTTCTGCCGCACCTTGAGGTCGGCAAGTGTGTCCTTACTGGATTGGGACGATGATTGCATGTCCTTTTGCTTCGTCCGCAGCTCCTTGAGCTCGTTGTGCCATTCCAGCATATACGGCTCGGCCGCCGCCTTCTGGGTAGATGCCAGCATGTCAATCGGGTGCATCTGCGCAAACTCCACCACTCGATCTTGCGGCAGAAACTGGCAGAGGTTGTCGATCTGGATGGAAAAGGACTTGGCAAGGTTCATGATGCTGGTTTGGTTCGTATTCTTGCCGTTCAGGGACCAGTGAGATTTGTTTCCGTCTTTCTTGATCAGCCGCCGGATTATGGGGTTGACACCTTTCTGGGCCGGGCCGGCAGATAGCTCGACCTCGATTTCGCCTTCTGGTGACCCATGCTTGACGAACTCGCCCACCTCCTTCGCCCTTCCAAGGTTGTTCGGACTCCACCCCAGTCCTAGGCATATCGCGCAGACCAAAGTACTCTTGCCAGTTCCGTTCGGCCCGATGACCATGTTAAGGCTTGGACCAAGATGAAATTCCGCCGATGTGTATGTCACAAAGTTGGTCAGCTTGATGCGTACGATTGAGCCTGGATGGTAGACATCCGCATGTGGCACATCTGCGTTTGCAAAGTTGTCGGGAGAGGCTCGAGGCATGGTTCGATATGATTCGGGCAGCACACTGTCTCGCGATATCTGTAGCGTTGTGAGCGTTCAGTCCTACAAAGCGCATTACTGCAAAGCCGATTGATATAACAACTGACCTGGGTGTCGTCTCCCCTAGTCAAACGGGCTCGCTTGCTCGCAGAAGACGCACTCGAAACAAGTGAATGCGCATCGTCCGCATCGTCCAAGTCTTCGTCGTCGGACAGTATGGCTCGCGGCCGTCGCTGTGGAAGCTGGATTCCTGGCATGTTAGATGTGCGAAGTACGCCAGGTTCGATCGGATCCAAGGATGCGATGAAGCGGGTCGAGGCCAGATATCCCCTGACAAACACCCGTCTTTTTGCTCTGGTCCTTTCGAGTGATGCATCTAGTCATGGAGGAGCGCATGGGTTCACGTGTCCGACGCGCCGTGCAGAAGAATTCATCACGTGATAGCGCGACGCGTAGGGATGTGGTCACGTGAACATCAACAGTCAACATATTCCTACTCCGTAGGCGGCGGTAGGCCTCACGGTCTGGCGATGCTCTCAACTCTCAAGTGTACCCGTGCCACTGCCCGTCAGGCCTCTCTGCGAGGCCCATGTGGGGACCTGCTCAATGTGTGTCGTGTGGAGTTGCACTGCGTCTTCATGCCTGGAAAACCGAGGCTTAACACGTGACTCGCTTTGTTTATTACGGGAATGTCATATTTCCTACGACCTCAACTTCTAGTATTCGGACATAAAGAACGCCGCCAGCCGTCGTTGTCCATCTATGGAACCCTGCTGATATTGCTTCATGGATCGAAAACACACAGAGAGCGATCCCGAGTGTGACGAACTTGAGCGGCGCCTGCAGGGCCTTGGCACAGTGACGGGGAGTTTTGGGCACCTCCGGTAACGAAACGATGGCGTTTCGCCTAGGTGGAAAGACCGCAGAAAACGGCGTCAGAAACCTCCGTTTTTGGAGGCCTTTTCTGTAGCACACAAAGTTACTCCGTAAGAAACTCGTTAGATAAAAGCTTGAGAAACTATCATAGAACTATATTCTAGACGGCACAGCAATGTTCGAAATCAAGCTCATGCTAGACCCTAGAAATAAGCCACCCTTTTGTCTTCAGGCCTGGGAGGCCCTGAGGACAGGGATATGTACTCAACCAAGCCTTAGGCTCCTAGATCTAATCCTTTGGCATGCGACAGAAATGCCACCAAAAACGGCGTCACAAACCGCTCTTTTCGGCAGCAAATTCACAGGTCCTCAGATTCTATCTGTAAATTCGGGTACCACAATCTGGTATATGCCCCGTGAGGCACATGTTCTAAGGGTTACAACAGTATAGTATGGTGCATGTTATTTTGGCTCTTCGACTACGCTATAGTATTCACCGACAGTCAACGCTTTTAGCTGGATGTATTTCTATCTTGTAGCGGATTAGGCGTTGTCAAGTATCCCATACTAGACTCCCCTTCCCGATAAGATATAACGAAGAATGAATCCCCCAAAGGGTTACACGCACGCTGCCCAACTGCCAAGGTCACAATTTTGTACAAGTCATTAGACGTCCCGTTCCCCGCTGGAAATGTAGAAGCTCCTCCCCTTTTGTCGAGCCTCACAACTTGGCTTCGTTCGGAGCGATCATGAGCTCGGGCCGGACGTACTTGTCGAAGTCGGCTTCGCTCAGAGCCTGGAGCTCCATGGCGCTCGCCTTGAGGGTCAAGCCCTTCTTGTGGGCGTTCTTCGCGACCTTCGAGGCCATATCGTAGCCGATGATGGGGTTCAAGCATGTAACGAGCATGAGGCTTGGACATTGTTAGCGGGTGCTATACACATTAGATATGGAGCGCTTACCTTTCCCTCATCAACGTATCAATGCGCTTCTCATCCGCCTCCAATCCCTGCACCAGGTTCTTTTCGAAACTCCTCATACCGTCCGTCAACAGACGGCAACTATGAAGAAGGTTCCGGATCATCACCGGCTTGAACACGTTAAGCTCGAAGTTGCCCTGGGACCCGGCTACGGTGACGGCAGTATGATTGCCAAACACCTGAGCGCAGATCATCGTCAGGGACTCGCACTGTGTGGGATTGACCTTGCCGGGCATGATGGAAGAGCCCGGCTCGTTCTCCGGCAGCTTCAGTTCGCCCAACCCGCATCGAGGCCCCGATCCGAGGAATCGAATGTCCTGCGCGATCTTAAACAGCGACGTCGCGAGCGTGTTGAGCTGGCCGGACGCCTCGACGATCGCATCGTGCGCGGCCAATGCCTCGAACTTGTTCGGCGCGGTGACGAACTTGTGGCCCGTCATCTGGGTGACTTCGGCAGCGATCATTTCGGCGAATCCTATGAAGGTATTGATTCCCGTGCCCACCGCAGTGCCACCTTGCGCCAGCATCCTCAGTCGCGGCCGCGAAGATTGGACCCGCTCGATGCCGAAATCCAGTTGCTGAACATAGCCCGAGAACACCTGGCCCAGGGTCAATGGCGTGGCGTCCTGCAAGTGCGTTCGTCCGATCTTGATGACCTTATCCCACTGCTTGCTCTTCTTGTCCAGCGCATCCCGTAAGCCCTTCAGAGCCGGCAGCAGTTGCTCCTCGAGTTCGAGAACCGCAGCGATGTGCATCACGGTAGGGAAGGTATCGTTCGACGACGCCGACCGGTTGACGTGATCGTTCGGATGCACCGGCGTCTTGCTACCCATCTGACCGCCCAAGATCTCGATCGCTCGGTTGGAGATGACTTCGTTCGCGTTCATGTTTGATTGGGTCCCGGAACCCGTCTGCCAGACCACAAGCGGGAAGTGGTCCAACAGCTTCAGGTCCGCTACCTCCGCAGCAGCCTGCTGGATCGCCTGACCGACGATGGGATCTAGGATAGGCACCATCAGCGAGACGGCCATCGGTTGCCCCGCGCGCTTCTACTGACCTAAGCCGAATTGCATATTCACCGTCGCCGCCGCGCCCTTCAGGATGCCGAACGCCCGGACGATGGGCGGCGGCATCCGGTCCTGCGGCTGGTTGATCTCGAAATTCTCCAGCGACCGCTCCGTCTGCGCGCCCCAGTACCGGTCCGCCGCGACTTGGATCGCCCCAAAGGCGTCTGTCTCCGTTCTTGTTCCTGCCATGATTCGGGGGGTGGTCGAGAATGCTCGCGAAGGAATGGGGGATCTCAATGCGATGGTTCGTATATAGGTAGTCGGGCTGCGAGCGACAGCCGAGAAGATTTGCTCATGCGAGGTACGATGGAGTGACCTCACACGAGATGTTGCAAGGATTGGTGATCTGGATTGATGAATTCGGGCGCAAGGATGGATGAATGACCCAAAGATCGCCTCGGTAGGCCGAAGTCTCGGAGACACCGATCGAATCATTGGATCGACGAGGGTTGGGACAGGCAGTAACCGCCGGATCACAAGCAGAATGGAATCGTCGGCGTGTTGCGCCGGTGATAGGTAATAATTGTGACTTTTGGAGGACAGGATTTCTGTCTAATATTAAAAAAATATTTTGGGAGCATCTGGTCCCCCTTAGTCCGTCATCGGGCGTCGGAGAAGATCGGAAAGGATCGACAACGAAATGAGACGGCCCGGGGCATGGTGGCAGCGTAACGGACAATCGATAACCAATCCACGACGGTGGATTATGCATAATCCCGCGCATTTCATCATTTTCGTGAGTTTATCGTCTTCATCCTACAGGTAAGACTTAGGTATAGACTTAGGTAATAGGTATGTGTACCGTAGTATGCATGCGCTGTATTTACCGGCATGGTTTCCCGGCCCATATTGCGTTGCTTAATACATAGAGTATAAACTAGGTCTAGTCTCCAAAACTTGATCAATCCAATGGGCTTCCAACCGAATCCAATACGTTGGAGATGCTACCGGCCCGATCCATGTTCCTTCGATTCGACAAGTTGGACGGTCTCCTCCACCGCCCACTCCAGCATCCTCGCAATAGTTCCTCCTTCTGCATGTTGTAGTCCTCCAGGAGGATATGGTTTTACGGCTTCGTCCCGGCAAAATCTCTCGTCCACCGCGCCCTCGACATCGCCATTCTGAAAATATGCAGCGTGACTCTCCACGTAATTCGGCCACACGATCTTGTCGACGTAGCCCGGAGGATCGGTCCAGAAGCCTTCCAGAGTGACGTAGCCGGACCGCGCCTCCCGCCGCTGCTTCGCCGCCGCGTGCGAGGCCAGGAGCAACAGTTTCAAGTCAAATACGCCTGGGGTGGTAAACATGGCGGGCTGGAACAAAAGGAACCCCTCCACCAGGCATACTCTGAATTTGACTGCTGTACCTTGTCCATTGTTCGACGGCACCTCGAGGACATCGCGTAGTCTCTCACGAAGCCTGGTGAGCAGCGCTTCTGAAATGCCGCTGTCATTCTGCGCCCTATCTGGGACATCGTGGACTCCGTCGGCCGTGGAACCATTGTCTTCCGGTAGCTCCAAGCTCTTAAAACCATCAGGAAGCCGCCCACCTCCTCGAATCTCTAGCAACGCAGCTTCGAAGACTGGGACGTCGATGGCTTCCAAGCAATCCCAATCCTGCACGCCATCTTTGACCGGGATGTCCGTATCGGAACGATAGAAATCATCCTCATGAATTAGAAGCGGCTGGGTGGCGGGCGGACCGTCTGGAGCCAGAGAATGTAGGAGACGTAGTAAGTGGCGAGCGACCGTCGTCTTTCCCGATGATGTCGGGCCAGAGATGGCGACGAGGAGGGTTAGAGGCGGGGTGCGTTCCGGAGCGGAGGTGGAAGACATGGCAAAGGGTTGGCCGGCAGCGGGATTGACAGACATGCTAGGACATCACGGTCGGTGGGAGAATCGGATAGCGTATGTAGCACACGTAAGTATCTATTGTCCATGCACAAATCGGCTTTGTGGTGTCAGGTGTGATTGCATGTCCACGTTGGTCTAGCTGCTGGAAATGTTCACTGCATATGGTACCTTACAGTCCGAATTCGTGTGTACGCGGATTTTCGCCCGGAGCACGGCGATACAAAGTCAAAGGTGGACCCAATATCAGATCTACAGTATGCACCGCAGTCTGTACTCCGCAGATGTACAGTTTCATACTCGCCGTCGAAGACGTATGCGATCAGCCCTCTTTGCTGTGGCAGTTAGCTGGTATGCTCCCCTGAACAAGAACCAGGAACAACTGTACTCTCTGGAGTAAGGGAGAGCAAGGCAATATGAAATATCTAATCGTCCAGAGCTGGCGTGATGAATCATGAATCATGAGTTGGAATAGCCCCGCCCCCGCAACAAATCACCCACCACAGACATTTGCATTTGGAATCGCTTTCACGAGCATCATACATTCACCTAACATATTCCTCTCGACCCGCGATGGTTGCCATCTTCGAGTTATCGTCATAAGTGACCTGTAATTCTTTCTTGCTCCTTCCCCGAATCTTCTAGTCCATCCCGTTCGCCGTTAATAGTCCATCTCACCACCTCTTGAGTCTTGACACTACTTACCTTAGCCTGACCCAAGCATTCCCAAGTCTGGTACCCAGCTTCCTGCCCATCCCCACAATCCGCAAGGCTTTTCTGCTGCCTTCACCCCCTTCTCTCTTCGATCGGAGGCACCAGAAGTGGTTGGTGCTGTCAACAACGGTGCCCGTTGCCGGAAAAATCAAGAACGCCAATGGAGTTGAACCTTGCCAGCCCCGCCACTCGCGAGATCCGACGTTTTCTCTACTCTGCGGTTCAAGATGATTGGGAATATCCTCCGAAAGTCGCCGATCCGTCACATCCATCGGATACGAATATATCGTCCGAACCTCTTCCTACAAATAATGTAATCCCCGGAGAAGGCCCGGGGTCAACTTCACCCCCGCTTGCCGAGACCTTCCCACATTCAACCGGCTCGGAAGCCATAGAGGAGCGCGTACCTCTGGCATACATGGAGAGATTCTATGGAAGTTCCGATGAGACGGATTCCGGGAGTGAGAGGTCTACCACCGGCGCGAAGTCCGATACGCAGGGTATCCGAGTGATTCAGAAACTATCCCGCCGAAGCAAGCACAAGACCGCCAAAGAAAAGAAGGACGCGTTTAAATTTGACTCCCCAGACAGCATCGGGGCGCAGATTCAGGCCCGACAAAAGCAACGGAAACGGAAGCGGGAGCGCGAATGGCATGAGGAATGCGAATGGAATGAGGGATTGGACCTCTGGGCGAAGCGGAGGGATGCGTGGACCGGCGCGGTGGTTCGGCCGGGACCACCCAAAGAGGTCTCGACGAAATCCCCTGAGGTCACTGTCAATGGGAATATCATCCAGAGCCCCAGTGGCGCCGAAGACGAGCAAATGTCCGATCAAGACGTCGCGGAACTAATCCAGCGGCTTCACAGCAGCTCGGACGGCCTCACCGACACCTCCCCACTCTCCCCCCAATCCACCAGCGCAGCAACTGACCCCGACGACCCGCCGACCCTACTCCCCGTCCTCTATCTCATTCCTCCCACCTTTTCCCCCCGCCAATTCATCGCCCCCGACTCCCTCCTCCCCATCTACCGCGCCCTCGTCACCAATGCCCGCACCCCCTCCCTCCCCCTCCCCCTCCCCACCGTTATCTCCGCCTGCGTCGCCGGCTGGACCGACGCCGGCGAATGGCCCCCCGGCGCCACCAAACCCCCCGTGACCGCCTCCTCCATCCGCGGCAGCCTCAACCTCCACATCCCCGTCAGCCCCACCCCGCTCAGCCCCGGCTTCGCCCACCGCGGCCCCTCCAGCTCCATCGGCGGCCTCGGCGCCCGCCCCGTCCCCGATGGGTTCTTCGGCAGCGCGAAGTCCGGACCGGCGAACAACCGCATGGCGGAGATCTGGCGGCAGAAGGAAGCGCAGCGGAAGGAGCCGGAGCGGCCGAAGGAGCGGAGGAGGCGGAGGAGTTCCCTGGCGCGGCTGATTGGGATTCCACATGATTCACCCACGGCCGTGGCCGCGGCACCGGAGATGCCGGTGGCGCCGAGCCAGTCGCCGCCGGGGCCAAGTCCATTGTCGCCGCATTGGGTGTCGAGACGGGGGTCGGCGGCGAATTTTTTGGGTCCGGGGGAAGGGAAAGAGGTGAATGGGAAGGAGGCGGAGGAGAGGCGGGTTGGGCATCAGTCGCCGATGCGGAAGGGGGTGGATAGCGTTAAGAAGGTGCTGCGGATTAACACGGGGGGCTCGCCGGGTGGGATGGCGGGGGAGGGGTCTCCGGGTAGTTGAATGGACGCATCCTCGAAAGGAGCGTAGGGGAAATGGCAGCGGAACTCTTATGGCGTTCTAGCTGGTGGCGGACGACCGAATCAACACCCTCACGAGTGACACCAGCACATCAGATAGAATTCTCTGAATTATGATGGGGCAGCTCCCACTAGTTGAGAAGCCGCCATGCATGAAGCTGAATCATCAGCAGATTAACACAAACTACTCCTACAAACGCCTTAAATGTGATGCCAGATATCGACATGAGAGTCTGAAGGGAAGGGATTAGTCGACCGGGGCGTGTTTGAAGAGGAACGACACGCTCTCGCCGTTGTGCGTCCTGCGGCACGCTTCTGCCAGCTATTGAGAGAGTCAGTCATCCTGTGAAGTCCGAAAGCGGTGTTTAACATACCGTCGGGCTAATATCGATCGTCTCCAACCGGCTACACTTCTCCTTCTTCTCCTCATGCGGCACTGTATTCGTCACAACTACCTTCGTCAGCCTGCTCCCATTGAGTGCCTCGATTGCGTTGCCGCTCAGGATCCCGTGCGTGACGATGGCGATGGCCTCCTTCGCCCCGTGCTGCATGACCACGTCGGCGGCCTTCGCCAGGGTGCCGCAGGTGTCGGCCATGTCGTCGACAATGATGGCGATCTTGCCGGTGACGTCGCCGACGAGGACCATGCGGGAGACTTCGTTGGGGCGGGGGCGTTCTTTGTGGATGAGAGCGAAGCCGAGGTCAAGGCCGTCAGCGATGGAGGTGGCTCTGGATGATATCAGCATATGTATCACGGAAGGCACTCATGGTTTGTTAAGTGTTTATCCGATGATAGAAGTTAACTCTTACCGCTTGGCTCCACCCGCGTCGGGACTGACAATCACGCATTCCTTGACGTTCAAGTGCTCCTTTATCCAACGCAGAGTGCTTGGCTCGGCGTACAGATTGTCCACGGGGACGTTGAAGAAGCCCTGGATCTGACTCGCGTGCAGGTCCATAGTGATGACATGGTTGCATCCCGCTGTCTGCAGCATGTTCGCCATGAGCTTCGCCGTGATCGGCGCGCGGGACTTATCCTTCTTGTCCTGGCGGGCGTACGGGAAGTTGGGGATCACGGCCGTGATGCGGCGGGCAGACGCCGTCTTGCACGCGTTGATCATGATGAGAAGCTCCATGAGGCCATCGTTGATGTCGCCTGGGGCGGTGGATTGAAGGATGAAAACTACGCAGGATTAATTCGACGCTCTTGGTATAATGCCATGGTGACTGTACCATCTTCATCTCGAACGGACTCTCCGATGGTTACTGAGGTCTCATTGTTGGAATACTGGAGCACCATCACCTTGCAAAGCTCGATTCCCAGTCTGTATGAAAAGGAATGTTAGAAACAAGAGACCGAAAACCATGATGATAGAAATCCCCAGGGCGAACTGGTCGGAATAGCAGTAACCCTCACTGCCACCAGCAGGAGGGAGTTGAATGTCGATATCCCACCCCCACCCCTCCACCCAAGCCAAGCTCTTTCTACCGCCACGACATGGACAAAAAGCAAAGTGTAGGAAACGGAAAACACGCACCGGTCCGCGACCAGTTTGGCCAACTGCGGGTGGCTGTTGCCAGTGAGCAACTTGATCGAATTGGTCGCCATGCTTGGGGAGCTTGCGGAAAGGGAGTTGTCGCATGGTGAACAAACCGAGGAGGGAGTCTTCTCCAGCGGAAAACTTTCATAGATGTTCGTCCACCCGGTCGCCGTCGGCCAATCCGCTGATTGCGAAGTGCCGGGCCCACTCATTTTGGAGGGTTATCATCTGGTCACGTGACAGGAGACTCTGGGTTTTGGGGCACAGCCACTTGAATTGCGGCTGGTGGGTGTGGCTGGCGAAGTTTGTGGCGAAATTGATAGCAGCGATGGTGGTACGTATCAATCTTGTGTCTTGATTTCTGCGACTCATAACATAAAACGAAATCAAATTGGGGGGATATCTATGCTGCTCCTGCTACGATGGAGAGTGAAAGACATCACTGCATCAACCTAATTATTGCCATTGTTGCCATTGTTGCCATTGTTGCCATTGTTGCCTTTGTTGCCTTGTTGCCTTGTTGCCTTTGCAGTTGTGCTGGTGCTGGTGCCCCTCCCGGGGAAGAAATTGAGTTACGTTTCTTGGCATTCCCGCAACCATCACCACCATTACAGGCAGGCCCAATTCGCTCAAAAACAACATAATACCAAAAAGTATACTCTTTTCCTAATTAAGCAACTACTAGAGGTCTGTTTTGGTGAATTCTCTGCCGCGTTCTGGTTAAGATCGTGGGAACTGTGCTTAGGGGAATGCCAAGAAACGTAACTCAATTTCGTCCCCACCAGAGAGCCCTCCTGCCTTAGGAGGCAGTTTGGACGATGTCATGGCGGTTTTAGTGTTGGTCATCCTTATGGTCTATCAGGACTATCACAAACACAGACAATGGCGTTGTGACAGGGCTTGCATATTTTGAAACACTACAGCCGAGGAACCCATAGATTCTGGATATCCAGAACTCCAGATAGTTGAGACGTGCCAAGCAATATGGTTCACTGACGGCTGGGTTCATTGTCTCGGCCAGGGAGGTATTTTCAACGACTGTCCGTCCGTTCCTGCATCCGTCATGTCGCTTCCGTGGATCTTTGGCACCCTGTTCGACCTCTCCACGACGTTTCGCGGAAATATGAGATGGGGAGAATAGCGCTGACCTCCTGTTACCGAGCCATGCAACAATTCAAGCTAGTATTCCCTGAGCGGTTTGCGAGTCGATTGCTTCCGCATTGGCACGTCGGATACACAAGGGTCGACTGTCCCATTATCCCGGTCTACGGTTATTCCCTAATCTGAACCTTGAGCAGGTTGTCACTCTTTTGAAACTTATTACTACAATCCCATCAATTCAACCCTCAATGTTCGACAAACAGACAAGCTCGTGGACAAAGGTTACGAATGGCCAGAACTTTCCCGGTCTCGTACGAACTACAAACAATGGAGGGAGAGCAATCAAACTGGTAAGTGAAGAGCAGCAGATACAAGTATGTCACAACTCACAATTTGTCACTCTGCAAGATGTGATGGAATGCTTTTCTCCTTTGCTATATACAGAGTCCGCCGTGGGGTATCCAAGCCGTGCATCCCTTGCCCAAATCGAAGCCGAAGCCACTCCACCAAACGGTCGGAAAAAGAAACATAAAACGGTGACTCGAGACTTCCTTTTCGGGGTAGATAATGTGTTTCAACTGAGACCAGCACCTCTGTCGTAGTCCCGGATACAGAGAACGGACCCTAATGCTCCGAGAACAAGGTTCGGGCGTCCAAATATGGTGCGATACTATTCGTTTCGTATCGAAACATTTCTGCAGCCCAACCAATAGGACGGAAAAGAATAACAGAAGAATGACCGCAGATAACCAAGACATCTCAACATTATTGCGAGGATATTCCACTCGCTATTCATGAATCATACAATCACCGCGTCACGGTTCGGAAGGAAGAGGTGAAGCCATATCCCCGACCAATCTGTTCTTAGCATGCCTCGCACATCTTGGTCATGGCCTGATCAATATCGTTAAAGAGACTCAGGACCTGTCCGTCCGCGTAGATCTTAATCGACTCCACATCCCTGCGGCTCGATACCTCCTGTGTAGTATGCGGCGACGAATGGGGGCTCATCCCCTGCAGCATCACCGGACTTCCTGGCGGAGTGGCCGCCCCATGATGATGCATGCTCGTCCCGTCCATCGTCGGGGAGGACGCATGCTGGTTCAGCGTGACAGCCGCAGCGACGTGCTCCAGCAGCTTCTGCCGGACCCGCAATCGTCGGTTCTCCGCTTGTTCGAGTTTCAGGATCCAGTCGTCGATGGACTGGTCCAGCTCGAGGAGCGCCTCGCTTTGCTTGAGTAGTCTCTCGCGGGAGAAGTTCAGCGTGTCGCTCTTCAGGTAGTGCAGCATGCGCACGTGCAGCGTTTGGCGGCCGTCGCGGAGGGATTTGTATGTTCTGCGAAGATATTCGCAGCGTTCGTCGAGGGCGCGGAGCTCCTGTGCGGCGGATAAGCTTTCATCTATGGGGTGGAGTGACAGACACGTACTCTGGACAATGATGCTACATTTCGGCTTCCAAGGACTTCAAACTTCTCCGCTTGGCCTCTTGCCTGTTTCCGAAGGCTCTCGGTTTCATGCTGTGGGAGCCGTTTGAGAGCGTCCTGAGGGATCATTCCTTCTGGCAACTTCCAGCTGTCACTGTTGGCAGTGACTGGCTGGTGTTGTTTAGGTGTGGCTGGCGAGAATTTATTTGATGGCTTCTTGAGAGATGATCGTCGGACGGGTCGAGTTTGTTCGCATACAGGCGTTTCTAGTTTGCCTGCGGGAAGAGCGGGGGCCTGGTGCTTCACTTTCATAGGCGACATTCCAAAGTCATGCATCGACTTTGATGAACCCAAAGGGGCTGTGAATGGAGGAGATCGGGTGCGTGTCGCGGGTGGCATGGTAGCTGAGCATGGATTCGATTTGGAGAGCGTCTTGGACACGGGCGAGCCTCTTCCTTCCGTCGGTGACGGCTTCGGTGGTACCGGCGGGCCCTGGTCAGCGTCGGAACCGGTCTCTAACTTGAGGACTGGCTTTGCCGTCAAAGGAGGGCTCAATATAGGAGAAAGCGGCCGTGTGGCATTGAGCTGCAATGGTTTGGCGAGGTCAAATACGGGGGTTTTCAAGGTCGGTTGGTGAAGAGCTCCGGACTTGTGGACGAAAGGGCGGCCTACGCAGTCGACCATGGCATCTCCGAAGGGACCATGGCGCCAGTTTCCTCCAGGAGCACTGGCGGAACGTTCGTGTTTGTGACTTTCAGACGCCGTAGTCCTCAACGGTGGACGTCCAGGGATGGTTGCTGAAGTAACGTTAGCAACTGCATGCTCGTTGTTGTTGAGAACTTACGAGAGTCGACGGCTAGCTCCCGTACTGTCACCATGGTCATGGTGGTTGGTCCCAACTCTGGGACACTGATTTTTCTTCGACGAGCAAGGGAACCGCTTCGGGTCAAGCGGCCGAAATTGTCGTTTGCAACCACGGTATCACTCAGAGAGGTTGAAGACCGTCCGGCGGATAGTGCCATTGACTTGTCAGAACTGATTTGGTCGAGCCAATGCACTTGAGATGGTCTCGATGGATTGGGCCAGAGTTGATATTTAACGGCGACTCGGCCGGTCATCATTTCTTGGCTCATAGATGGACTGTTTGAGCTGGACAAATCCGATCTTGCAGTAGACTGGTAAACGTTAGGGCCAATGAAGGGAAAGTCAATCGACATGCAGTAAACAAGACACGCACATTGTTCGAGGAGAGGGCTTCAACATCCACTATATAATTATCAGGGGAAGTTCTACCAACGCCATGTCGCAAACAATTGGCTATATGTGTCATGGCAGAGGCGGATATCCCTTTCCCAGCAAAACGATACGCTTAAATCGGCCGGGTCCCCTTCAAAAGAAAAGATGAGACTCGTTCGGACATGTCAAACATGCAGCCATGTTGATACTGTTTGAAAGGCGCGGATGACATAGGGTTTTAAGCAAGTAGCTCCTGTCATCACCCGCTGGGTCCCATGTTGGCATGCACGATGCACGCCGAATCCTCCAGGTCGCGCCCAGAAGCATCGTGCTTCGAGGAGGAAGCGCCTGAACCAAACCTGTCAAAAAAGGCAAAATCCGGCCGCCATGCCGTTCCCGTCAAAACAGGGCTAGAGGGAGGGACTGAGGATGAAACGCCAGTACCGGCCCTGTGCGACTTATCTGGATTCTGTTGGTGATGAGCCCCACTGTCGAACACTCCAGACCGAAGATCCTGTTCGGATGCCTGAAGCAATAATAGCTAGCATCCATAAGTCCTGGTACCCCGGAAATAATACTTTCCTGGGACATTAAAGCAAACGCTAAGTGGCCCAGACGGTGAAGCAATTCAGGATCGTGGTCACCCACTTGACATCTTATGCATCAGGTATTTTATTCCCCGCGACTATTATCGTACTTGGTCCGGGATAGTGGACGCTTTGTTCTCTCTCTGTCGGGAGTGTGGAGATCAGACACGGCTTCTTCACAAAAAACCTCTTCAACACCTCCAGTTCTCCGCACTCGCTGAGTCGCTATGTTACCACTGTTGATCGAGATAGCCAAGGGTGTGCTTTGGAGGGTCGCAGCGGTTCACCATTTACTTTTGCTTCTTCCATCACGATGTGATGGAATTCGTTTGTTTGTTTCTTCGCTATTTTCGCCGCGGCCGAACCACCACCGTTGAAGGTCCGACGCCGAGTGGCTTTTTGACTTTTGGCCTGGTGACCCGCTGGCCAAAGCGGAGCAATGTATCCAGGGACGAGGATGGTGTTTTTCGGATTCTCGCTGCCGGGGGACTGAGCGTCAGAAGTTCAGATGCTGCAAGGTCTGGCCCCAGCAAACCGCTCGTGCTCGCATTTTTGACGGCTTTGGCGGAGTTGATGGGTGGTGGCCCCCGTGGATTGTTGAGCGATGACCTTGACAGTGCCCAGGCACTTGGTCGTTACCAATTACCTTGTCACGCGTTTAGAAGACGGGGCCTCTTGCTGGTCTCAGGAAGTCAGGATACCTGTCTGGACTAGGGCACTAGCCTGGATGATGGTCTGAACTCTGATACATCATAATACATGGGAATTATTCTCCGCAGCGCGGGGTATCTCGTTTTTCCGTTGGTGGGCAAGGCCCTCAAATTAGCATTAGCCAATAGCTCGATGTCCAAAATGCCATCGTCCGAAGCAAGCAATATACTCCGTACATGATGCAAGGCAGTCATAGTCTCGTAGCGGGCTTGTACGGATAGCTACCGACGATTGTAAGCCTTAATAAAGTATTGAGGACTGAAGGACTAAGATGGTCTCCAGTCATCAGTTAGCATCCGATTTCCTTGCTCTGTATCACCTTCTTGGAAGGGCTGTCCGTTACTCCGTGCGGATTCTGCGGAGGTACGGAGTACTCTTGCGGCAATTTTGTGGACGAACTCCCTTTTGGCTCCCCCAGTCTCCACCTAGGCCGATCGAGATCCACCAACAAGGAATACCTGAAGTCATGAACGTCCTGAAGCAGGAAGCTGTATGTGGTATTTCATATTTGTACTAATGACATTCCTGGTCTTAACACGCCAGTGAATAGCGGCCGACGACCAAAAGCAAAGAAGACCACCCCTGCTGCTTCGATTCTTCCTCACTTGTCACGCGTCGCCCATGAACATTTCAACAAAGATAAGTAGTGCAAGCACGACCGGTATTCCGTACGGTATATTGCATACGGTACCTTGGAACAATGACGCTTGATGGAAATTACTGAGGATCAAATCTCATGGGAAAAGCGGGAGCATTTCCGGTACTCGTATTGCGCAATTCCAAGACCGATCAATTTCCTCGTCTGCGAATATTATCTGCGGCTTGCTAGGCCTCTCCCACTAACATTGGCCTGTTCAGGGTGCGGGCGTGACAAATCGAGTTCGACCACTGACGGGCCTGAGCATCCGACGTTAGTGCGATGGGAAAGCAGTTGTGCTCCCATGTCAGATTGCCACGCGACGACATGGACCGGCATTTGAGAAACCAGATAGGCCAGGTCCCCACCCCCCAGCCATTTGATATATGTATTAACAACCATCCAAGGAGGGGTGGCTGGGAAATACTCCATTCTTACAGGTTGGCGAGGCGAGACCGGGTCATGTACCCTATATCATCTTCTAATATACCCCTTAGCATGTGTTTCGTGACCTTGCGAAACCCCAGGAACGACCGATTTTCTATTTCTCGACAATCCTCCGAAGCCAGGATCGGAGGATCTCGGGAGATATGTCGGGAGTGTCTCATCGGTGGCAGCAAGAAATGGCAGAACCGACCGCGAATCGATTTGAGAGAGGAGTGACTCTTGTCGTCTGAAGCGCAAAACTCCAGTGTCCTGTCAGGATTGAGCGCTCCATGCCTGTTGCTTGCCTCTCTTCGTTTCCCGATCGATCCGTTCACCGCTATGAAGCTGGAACTTCGAGATAGGGCATTGGGACGGCTCTTCCGGATCTCCCGCCGCATCTTTCGCGATCGCCAGTTGAAGATCTTTGCGCCAAGTCCTCCTGGTGTCGTAAATTTCCATCGGAGCGCGTTGCAACCACGCCATTTCGCACAAATACAACTTCAGCTGTGCAGCGGTTATCACCAAGACGGGTTTGAGAAGTTGAGAATATACAGGTGTATGAGGTTTATTCACGGCTTCGCCTCATGGGAATCCCATCGTCGGAATGCCGGTCCGAAAGAAATGTAATATAGATTGCTATAGCTAACTAGAGCGAACTACAGTACCATAGTGTCTCTTTGACTTTTGTTCTGCAGAAGCATGCGACCGTGCCTGCCTTTCGCCCTACTATTTACTAGGTTGCGTCTAAAATCTAACGTGTTGACAGCATTCTTCATACAACTTCGTATTAAATGCTCCGTGGTGAAGGACTGGACTCCCCTTGTCGAGATTTCTCGAGTTTTGCAGAATTGAGACTTTCACTCTGTCAATTAAGAGTAGGTCCCCAATGATCAGCATGGAGAAGAGAGTGCTTCTCCAACAAAGTGGCTGAGAAGTGTTACACAGAACGTTACAAGCGAGTGTTCGATTCATGTTTTCCACACGAAACAATGTGTTGTAACGGACACAACATTTGAAGGAACAGCTTCTCAGATCAAACTCATGGTGCAGAAACAATTCGACATACACCCTTGGGAAACGGCGGATGACACTGAATGACCGCGCAATGGACAACATTCCCCTCCATTGGAGACCATACTATCCCAGTGCTGCTCTACAACATCTATTCTGACGGGAACCATGAATCTCAGCTAAGTTCTTGGAAAGCCGTACAATGTCTGGAGGTTGATTGTGGAAGACGCCGGAGAGGCCAGCCTGACCACACAATCAAGCTTTGACCAAGAATCATGACTTGATTGTATGAGGTGCTATACCCAGAGATCCTGCATAGAGGCTTTCGTATTGTCTATTCTCGACACTACTCGATGAACAAATAAACTATTGACCTGGGACGCAGCTGGGGCATGGAACTGACTATCGGCCTCACTGAAACACATAATGCCCTAATGATCGTCCAAGAGAACGCCTCTTGAATGTTCTGCAGCGTGTTTCCTGAAATGGAATTGGTCGGCTTCCCGTTCGAGGCAGGTAAAACACTTTTCGGACTCAAACAGTAGATCGAGGAGGGCAACCGACAACTTTAGCTATCGTGGCTGCGACGATCATAGTCTGAGGACTTCAATGTTCAAACTTAGAGGTTGGGCGCAACCCCGTTGCCGTTTTGCACTCTGCTTAGGCACGAGGGAAAATATTGGATTGCCTGTCAGGACAATACAACATCCGACAGCTCTGCCATGATCAAACGCGGGCGCCCGTTGCAAATTCCTCTCGTATCGGTTTCGAGCCATGAGCCAGGTCAATCCACCGGATGCCACGATTGACGATACCGATAGAAGCGCTTGTTTGGTGAGCATAGACCGGCATGAGGTTGCGCTGATGTGCAGATGTGTTCCCGTGTTCCCGTGAGTCAAAATACTGCGGATCAGTTCCGTGCGCAATCCACCAAACCGAGCGGCGCAAACTTAAATAAATAGGTAGGCACTTGGCAGGTTGGCCGAGGCACTAACTGTTGAACAAATGCGGGCAGGGGTCCACTCGAAAATGACTCAACGAAGCTAACAGTATACACACAGGCACGAGAAGACATCTCGATGGACACTTGTTTGTCATGCGACCAGGCACACGGACTGGTGGACGGCCAAGATGTACCTGACGGAGTTCGTCGTACCTTTCTTGGTGCATAGTGTTCGTCCTGGCAAAGAACGAGTAAAAGCAGAATAGAAAGAATATCTTTAGCCTGAACGCAGAGTAGGAGTCATGAAATAGAACACATAGACATGAAGAGCGGAGGAACGGGGTCTGTTGAAAATCTATCTTACACACGTCTCGTTCTTGATATATGCACACGTCGGATCGCATTATCTCAGCTCGACCCCCAGCCGTTCCACCAGGCCTCCTCGAACCTTTTCGTGGAGGCCGTTGACCTCCTCGTTCGTGAGGGTGCGCTCCAGGCTGCGATAGATGACCCTGTAGCACATGCTTTTCCGCGCCGTCTTGGGATGCGTGAACTCGTCGACCAGGGAGACATCTTCGACGATGTCGCCGGCAATGTCGCGGACTAGCTCCATGATGTCGTTTTCGTGAAAATCGTGCGTGTTCCCCTTCGTTCCGCCCCCGGCGCTCGAAGTACCTCGCAGCCAGAACGAGACATCCTTCGGGCATGGAGGATGTTTCGAGAACGGGACGAATTTGTTGACCTGGTACGTCCCATCATCGCCCCGTTTCTCCCGGAATTGGGATAAAAACCGCTCGTCCTGCGACCAAAATAGTCGTATGTCCGGGATCGAACAGAGCAGCATGGCAATCCTCTCCAGCCCGAGGCCGAACGCCCATCCTATCTTATCCGGCGCGCCGGCTTCGATCATGATTTCTTGCTTCACGACACCGCACCCCAGAACCTCGAGCCAGTCGCCCTGCCAATAGACTTCCAGCTCCCACGACGGGCTGGTGAAGGGGAAATATGCCTCGACCCACCGGACCTTCAGCGCCTCCCCTTCGCTCCCCGGCTCGGTCACCGCCTTCGCCGCTGCGAAGATCTCCCTCACCACGTCCTCCAAGCTCCGTTTCAAGTGCGCCGCAATCGCCTCGACATCACCCAATTCATGATACTTCTGCAACGGATTCCGCTCAGGATGCACCGTCGGGTTCGGGTCGCTCACCTCGACGTCCTCCAACCGCCGCAGCTTTTCTACGTCCGCCCAGATCCGCTCGCTGAGCGACGAGGAGCCGGACGGGTCGCGCGACCACATCATCGCACCTTCCATCTGGTGGAAGACGGGGTAGTGCGATCGGTCGACGGCATCGCGCCGGTACACGTCAGCGCTGATAAGGAAGCCCTCGTCGGAGGCGCCGAGGCTGGCGAAGGTGTCGGCTTGGTGGGCGGACGTGTGGGTGCGGAGGACGGTGTCTTGGTTCACGTAGTACGTATCGGTGCGCGAGCGGCCGGGATGGTCGACGGGAAAGCCGAGGCTGTCGAAGTTCTGGTGAACGGAGACGATGGGGGAGAGGGAGTTGTGGGTGGCGAAGGAGGGAAAGCGGGATTCGATTAAGCGGCGGGTGATGGTGATCGGGTGGTCGGGTTGGAGGTGGAGGCGTCTTGGGAGGAGGCGGGAGATCGTGGAGGGGACATTTGTCCAGGAATCGGTGGGATATGACTTGTCCAGAAGCTTCAAGGAGTCGCGTGCATCTTGAACAATGTTAGCACTGGACGGACGTCAACCATATATTGCCGCCAATAACTGAAACACGAATGGGACGTAACTGGACCTCTTTGGTCTCATACAATGTTTCCATGGCTTCTCAGCGGCTACAAGATGGTCTCGGTATCGATGTTGGATAGAAGAGAACAATCGGAGAGGCTACACAGGCCAATTAAGCTATCAAGCGATGGGCTGAACAAGATATGCATGATCTAAAAGGAAACCCAAATAGAGAGCACTCACCACTGCTAAACCGCCGACATGAAGGTATCCATGCCCTCCGCGTTGGTATTGCGACTGCAATACATCTCTTCGACATCTCCCGCTAGCCTTTAGATATACGCATCCCTTGATGATGGTTACTCACGGGAGCTGGGTGTCGATGTGACGATGTCGAACCACCGATCCAACTTTGATGTTATATTCTAGATTTCCAGGCCTTAGAACGATTCCGGTTAGATCCCGTTCACTACGTACAGTACTTTTCGCGACGCGTTGAATCAAGTCTGGAGCACCGAAACGTGACAAACGGCAAATATTCGGATGGTGCGTTAGGCTGTCGGTAGTGCCGACCTCGGGGAGCCGGGCGCCCGCCGGGCGGTATGACGGTACGGCGTAGAATCCCAAAATTTAGTCGACTTCTCCGGTAATAACTAGTAAGGTACTTTCATGTTTATTCCCTATTCCCCATTATTATCGTCGTCAAGATCAACTTTGTTCCCGAGTTCGTCCTGTTCGTAGCCCGTACTGTTTACCGACGACCCGGCCTCTTTCTTGCCCTTCCTCCAGCGCTGGCTTAGCGAATTGGGTTTATATCTTCCTTTGCAGTTGCAGCACCATGGTCTCGGAGTCATGTCTTCTTCTTCCGATGCGGTGACGACAGGTCAAAAGAACGCCTCTACGAAGGCTACAATCCACTATCCATTCTGGTTCGGCGGCTCAGCGTCATGTTTCGCAGCATGTGTGACACATCCTCTGGATCTTGGTGAGTGGACGCGTCTACGCAAGCAATATAGAATCGCAGAGCTAACCTCATCGCAGTGAAGGTATTTCGAGGCTTGATACGACCCGCGAATCCAGCTATTAACCATATTATAGGTCCGCCTTCAAACGCAAAGCGTAGCCGGCCCGCAGCGAAACATGCTGCAAATGTTTGTGCATGTGGTGCAATCTAGCGGTCCATTGGGGTTATACAGCGGAGTAGGTGCTGCCAATCCCGTAGGAAACCTTTCCCTCTAACAACAGGTAGTTATCAGCGGCTCTCCTGCGTCAGATCACCTACAGCACCACTCGCTTCGGAATCTACGAAGAATTAAAGGAGCGGGTCACCACCCCCACTCAAAGACCATCCTTCCCCGCCCTGATAGGGATGGCCGCGACATCCGGGTTCATCGGCGGCATGGCCGGCACACCCGCCGACGTCCTAAACGTGCGCATGCAACACGACGCCGCCCTCGCGCCCGCCGACCGCCGCAACTACAAACACGCCATCGACGGCCTCGTGCGCATGGTCCGCGAAGAGGGACGTGGGAGCATCTGGCGCGGCATCTGGCCGAACAGCACGCGCGCCATGATGATGACTGCGAGCCAGCTAGCCAGCTATGATCAGTTCAAAGTGCTGCTGCGGTCGCATCTGGGGATGGGGGACACCATCTCGACGCATTTCACGGCGTCGGTGCTGGCGGGGTTGGTGGCGACGACGATTTGCTCACCTGTGGATGTCATCAAGACGCGGGTGATGAGCTCCTCGGAGAATAAAAGTCTCGTGAAGCTGCTGGGGGACATTTATAAGGCCGAGGGATTGGGGTGGATGTTCAGGGGCTGGGTGCCTAGCTTCATTCGCTTGGGACCGCACACCATTGCGACGTTCCTCTTCTTAGAGGAGCACAAGAAGCTGTATCGGAAGTTGAAAGGTCTGCCGGAGCCAGATGTTTGATGGATTGAAGAGTGGGTGATCCAAGACTCGCATGAGACTCTGAGAGGGGAAGAGGGTTTGCGATGCTGTACAGGCATCTGGCATTTGAGCGGAATTGTGTAAAAGAACCTAGACAATAGACCTGACATACATAGACCCTGTCACTATATATATGTGGTATCGTAATATACATTTGTCTTTGGGCAGTTGTATATTTCTTTCTCGATTACTCCTGTTCAGGGGCTGCGTTCATGGGAGTGAACTTCGTCGGCTACGAGATGGATTTAAAACCGTGTGCATGACTTCCTTCATGCTTGAGACTATTCATATGTTATTCTCTCATAGGATGTATCCCACATCCAGTGTTGGACTCCAATTCCATCTCGACACTGCCAGTGTCACAGGACTAGAGTGATCCCCGGGAATGAAATAAGGCAACGAGGCCACAACTGCCATGTCAAATTTCCATATGCGCCGCATAACTCGAGTCTGCATTCAACGTCTAGAAAATAAATCGTCTATCAGCTTCCGATCCGAGTCTCTTCGAGAGTGATACGATAAAGACCTGGACCCTCGTATGCGAACCGGTTGCTCTATGATGTTATAGGACCCGATACCGCATCGGACGTCCCAGACCTGTGAAGATGCCTCCACACATTGGTCGTCGAATGCGCGTCTTTAAGACAGTGAGTATCTGGTCGCGGGTTGATGTCGAAGTCAGAAGCTAATAAATTCATAGAAGGTACGCTGAAATTGAATGCCTCTCGACAGCCATATTCATCACATGCGTTTAACGGTCGACTTGATACGAGCGTTGGCTTACCGGATACAATAGTTAATGAACCTTCGAGTCGGCCCTGGCGCAATATCCCTATCACCCGAAGTCTCGAAGCTACACTTGGAGTTCGGTCTTTCAAGACTCAATGGGAACATATATCCAGCGTAAGCCAGTCCAGCAAAGCCAATATACCGAATTTGCATCTAACGGTCGCCGTCCAGCCAATTCTTCTCCAAATGCCTCAGCACGCTGAAATACCATAACCCGGCCGTCGCCATGACTGTCAACCGCTTCCAAGACCCCACGAAAGACTCTCGAATGTTCATATATTTCCGCGAAGGCGCCAGAGTGCCTCCTCCTCCGCCATCCGCCCCTCAATTCCAAGGGACATCCGACTCTACCGCCAAATCGTCCGAGCCGTCAGAACCGTCAAATCCGCCGAGTGAGACAGATGCCGAGACACCAAAGTCTCCAGAGGAAGCGACCGAGTCCGCGAAACAGGCCGAAAAGCGAACGGCATCCACCCAACCCACCGCGTCCATCAGCGACCAAGCCAACTCCCGCTACATCCTCGATATGAAATACCGACATTGGAGCAAGATCCTCCAGGAAGTGCAGGATATCACGTCCGCGCAATCGGTGAAGCAAACCGAGGAAGATCGGAAGCAGCAGGCGGAAATTAAGAAGTTCTTGGAACGGAGCGCCGATGATAGGTACCGGGCAGCGGAAACGAAGAAGCGGGAAGACGCGGAGCGAGAGTACATGGCCAATCTAGCTTGAGACACCACATTGGATATTAAGGAAATAAGGCCCGCTTCTTGGGAAGGCCAGGAAGTTTTGTGGCCTTTCAACCTATGTATTATATTGTGTATAAACACACCCAACGCAATAAACGCGCTTGGAAACCCCAGCCAAGCGAATGCCTTTTATGCCCGGCCCCTATTTCCCCCCATTCCACCACGCCACCACCCCCAACGCAAACACCACCGCCATCGCATCCGCCACAATCGTATTCCATATCACAGCATACCGCCCCACCACCCGCACATACCCCGCCCACGGCTCCGGCGCCATCATCGCCACCTTCCCCAGCATCCCGCTCGCCGGAAGCTGCCCCCGCTCCAGAAAATACCGCGTCGTCTGCAACCCCACCTCCGCCGTCGCGAAGATCAGAAACAACCGCTGGGCAAAGTGATACTGCACCCCGTCTGCTGGCACCCCCCGCCCGCGCTCACTCCCCGTAAACCCCGTGCCCACCGCGACATAGAACCCCAGCACAAGACTAAACACTGCGTGCACGATCCGCCACACGTACGCGTAGCTCGTCTGCGGCTTCAGCGTCGCCTGCCCTGACTGCCCGGCGCCGAGCATCTGCGCCAGGCCGGGTGGGAGGCCGGCGAATGGATCTGATGGGGGGCCGCCGGGTTGGCCGCCAGGAGGAGGGGGGGCGCCGAGCATTTGCGCTAGGCCGGGTGGGAGGCCGGCGAATGAGTCGGGTGGGGGGCCGCCGCCGGGAGTCTGGTCGCCGCTTTGGGCTTGGAGCATTTGTTGGAGCATGGCGAGCATTGGGTCGGCGGAGGAGTCGGGGGTGTCAAATGGGGGTTGTTGCATGGCGTGGGGAGGTTGCTGTCGTGCAGGAGATGGTGATGCCTGTCCTGATGTTGAGGTCTGCGGACTTGGTGCGATTCGTGCTATATCCTAGTTAGAGAATATATCGAATAGATCGGGTAGAGAAATATACCCTCTTCCGGTTCCGGGGCCGGACGGCCGCTGAGGCTCGTGATGGCCGCCAGACGAGATGCGCCGCCGGCTGCGATTTTGGCGTTTCGTCGTTCGCGGCGGAGGCGGGCTTGCTCTTGTGCCGACATGGTCTTTTTTGCTTCTTCGGGCGGGGTCGCCATGTTCGGGAATTGGTGTGTCAGTTACCTGGAGGGAATGGCGTGGGTGTCGACATGTATTCTATTCGAACTGTGCGGGATTGTTTTAGTGACGTTGGGGAGAAGGTTGAGATGCAATGAGGAATTCAGGCGATAAGGCATGCTAGGTGTCTATATGTTGGTATCGAATATCGATGGACTGGATTAATTGGTCTGGGCTGCACCATACTCAGCATCTTAGATCCAAGGGTAAGAATACAGAAAGGAGTTGGTGCGTCTAGAATTATGTTCGGAGGATACATCTATAACACAAATGCGGGTGGGACTGCGATGCAAGAGGTTGCTGAGGATTCCTATTGAGAATTCGTGGGCAGATATGCGTTGAATTAGCAAGTACGGGATGGGATCAACTCTATAATATCATCATGTATCTCTTCAGCAGATGCCCGAGACAATCTACCATCCATACCTCCCCCCCGCCTCCCGCTTATTCCTCTTATTCGTCGCAAACGACTCCTCCAACGCCTCCCGCTGGCTACTCGCCGCGTTCACCAGCTGCTTCAGCGAGTGCTTGCCCGGAGCGATCGCCTTGACCGGATTGTGCTGCACCGTCTCGCCCGCCGCTCGCAGCACCTCGTTGGCCGCGTACTCCTGGTCCGTGTTGAAGTTGAGCACGCTCGCCGCCGCCGCGGAGCTGCCCGGTTTGCCTTTCTGACGGCCGAAGAGCTGTCGGCGCGCGGATTCAGAGAGGTTGAGGTCGGAGGCGATTTGGTTGAGAGACTGCGGGCCGCCTTCTGGAGCATTCGCTTGCTGGTGTGTCGTGGATCCATTGTGGAGGTCCTCGGGCACCTCCTCGGCTACTGTGCCATCTGGTCGACTCTCCGTGTATAATAGGGGAGTATAGCCAGCATCCTGCACTGGGTCTGGCACGTGGCTGGACTCAGCTTCCTCGCTAGCGAAGGAGAATAATGACACCTTCTTTGGCTTGGTCTCCTGCACTGCACCCGTGCCTGGCTCGCGTCCCGTAGGAGCCGTCTGTATGTTTGTAGCAGCTCGACGAGCCTGAGCCACGGTCGTCGCTTTTGCCTTCTGCTTCTTTTTGTTTGCAACCGACAACGGTCTGAACATCGTGGCTTTACCAACCAACTTCACCTCTTTCGACGCCTCCGAGGCCGTTGCTTCGGATGTCGTCGAACCAACTTGCTGGCTGTCCGAATGCGCAGCTGTAGGGATGGTACCGTCCGATCGACTCGGTAGTTGAGACATTGTAGATTCTCTACTAAATGCCGGCTCGGCACCCGTTTTTAGACTGACTCCCCGACCTAATGGCTTTGCCCGGTTCTTTGGCGCAGGAAGGAAGGAGTTAAACCCCATTCCTGAATCACCAATGCGCGGCTTCTTGGAAGGTGGTCCATCCTCTGGCGTATCCTCGTCCGGTGCCTGGGACAGACTCGGGAGGTCCACGCGGATCTTGTGAGGGTTGGATCGGTCGACGACTTTCTTGAACGATGGTTTGGTCGACGGTTTCGAGGTTTTCGGTTCTGGGGTGGGTTTTATGGAAGAAGGCGTAGGGGCGGCAGTCTCGCTGTCGGAGACATCGGAATCGGAGCCGTATGCCACGAGAGCCATTATCTGCAAAACGGTTGGTCTGAAGGGTATTCGTGGTTTGAAGGACGGAGAGGTTGATCGCAATCGTGGATCAAGATATTGACCAGGGGTAGAGAGTATGAAGTTGTAGGGAAGAGAAATCTTGGATGTATGTTGATGTGATTCATTAATCGCCACAAGAGTATTAGTTAGAGTATTCCGTACAAGATATGAATTATAATTATATGGCTAATGCCTAATAGCGTCCCTTGCGGATCTGCGGGTCTTCCCCGCCATTCGTCCCTGAAATGCGCCACATGCATAGATCCATATTAGATACGTCCATCAATCTTATCCCATCCCATCCATCTCTCCATCATCCTACATGTAAGGTAACTATGTACGGGAGTCCACCCACTCATAACCCGTTGAATTCTATGCGCATCGCCGGCTGCATGTAGCATCATCCTTGCTTCCTTCTCATCGCATAGGCTGGCCTTATAGTAATATCATTCGTTCCTTTTCATTTGACGTCGCATTCGATCCTCTGCTGCCATCGGCATCGTTTCATGCAAGGAGACATGCCCTCGTATTTAAACCATGTCGCTACTCCAGGACGAAGAGTGAGGAAAAGACCGAAGTACGGAGTGGGGTGGCGCTAATTCTCGAACAGCTTCGTCCTATATCAGCTACGGACGTCATATCTAGCCAATATCAAAGACGGCGTTGGGGAGCGTCTCATTAACGTCAACACATCGGTCCTGAACAACCCGGCTTATCGAGCGGCTGGTTGGACGCTGAACCAATCCGATATCAAGCGGACCTACTCCCCTCCGATCCCAACCGCTATTACCGCCGATTATTTCCAGGCGCCGCGCTCCGCAGGCGTTGGCGGAAAGGAGCTAGAGGATGACGATGAGGGCGGGATGATCACTGGCGGCGCTGCCAGCGGCGAAACAGTTGGCCCTGGACTGAATACCAAACGGAGACGTCGGAGAGAGCAGATCGAAGAGGAGGATAGCAGCGACCTTAGCGATGAAACCGACGAGGACGAGGACGGGTTTCAAAGAGCCGCACAACAAATCAAGTTCAGCAAGATGCCAGTCCGAAACCGTGCTGGCTCATCCCCGAGTATTCAAGATGGGCCCGCGGTGCTTGTTACCTCCCCGTCCAGGCCTCCGGATGGGAGAGGTCTACGACGAGGATCACTAGGCCAGCTCGGCGCTCTCACGCGTCCGAGACGGGACACAACCACAAGCAGTGATATGTCGTCCGACAATGAGCTGGGCCCTCCGTTTGCGCAAATCCAACAAGGCCCCCGAGCGATGACCGCGAAAACGGCACTGTTCCTTTCGGAGAGCATCCAGGAAGAACGACGCCCGAGCGACGTGGCTATACAGGATGTCGATGTGGCGGAAGATTCGGACAGCACTCTGTCGTCGGAATTCGCGGGCTCGGCCGACTCCGGTTCGATATTAGGGCCCGATGCAAACGACTCGATTTCCCCCTTACAAATGCGCCTGAACCCCATCGTATCTCCTTCGTTGATGAACACATCCCCGAAGAAATCAAGGCATCCGCCGCCCATTTTACAGGCGCTTCCACCTCCACGCCCCATAAGCATGCTCCCTCCCGTCAGCGCGCTCACACAAGCGTTAGTTGCCAAGGATAAGGGCTCAGAGAGTCCGTTCCAACGGTTTGCCTCTCTTTCGGGCAAAGGGGATCCAAACCCATTATACATCAAGATTTACGCACCTTTCTCCAAACGGCCTACCAAGCCATATGAAGTTCTCATGATGAGGGCTAGCCACGATGGGTCTCGAGTGTCTGTTGCAGATGCCATCGGACTGGCATTGTGGAGATTCGGAGATGAAGCCATCGAACCGCCCCTGAGCGGACTGCAAATGAACGTCAATGCATGGACCCTTCGGATGGTCGAGGACGAAGAAGTGGATATGGACTTTCCTGCCCTCGTCCGGACGCGACCAATCTCTGATTTTACGTCTAACAATAATCGGGCGCGTCTACGCTCACGAGAAAAACCTTGGGACGAGTTTGCACTCGTGGCAGCAGATGAAGCCCAGTTCAAAGATAACGAAGCGCAGACCCCTGAGTACAGCCGAGAGGCCGCAGCCGCGAAGGAATCCCAAGACGTCGTCAAGCGCGAGGAATCCTCTCCCGCCCTGCAACGGGCTCCTCCCGCATCGTTCGCACCAAGCTCTAATGTCAGCGCGTTTCGAAATCCAATTATCGGGCCCGCCCACACCGCCGAAGGGTTCCGAAGAAATGCGAATCTTATGGACACACCGGCCGCACCGGCGCCCCAAGCCACTCCACGGACCGGAGTCACGAAGTCGCTGGTCATTCGATTTACCGACGATAGCTTCCTCACCCGCACCGTGACGATCGAAACCACCACGGACACCTACCTCGCCGACGTCTTTGATCAGGTGTGCAAAAAGTTCAATGTCGACAAAGGGCTGTATATCCTCAAAGTCGGCGGGACCAGCACCGTCGCGCCCAACGATCGGATCGTCGAGGCGCTCGGCGATCGATCTGAACTAGACCTGACCAGACGGCGGTTCGTCGGCGAGGCAAGCTTTGGATTAAGCGGGTCGCCGGGGAGCAGCACGCCCAATGCGCCGCTCTTCATATCTCCCGGCGGAACGACCAAGAAGGGGAAGAAAGGCGCCCCGACATTGCTCAATCCGTTGGCGCAAAAGCACGACGCGTTGTTCAGCATCGCGAATTACAAGCGGTACAACGTCACCCGGAAGCAGCCGATGTCGTTCTCCTCATCAAGCGCGCGCATCATGGCGCTGGACGGCGAGTATCTGCACCTCATGCCGAGCGAGTCCGGGGCCGGCGGCACCAAGGCCCTCTTCGACGTCAACGCGAAGACCTCAGCGATGCACTACAGCACCATTGTCGGCTGCAAGGTGAGCCGGCGGCATCCGCGGATGTTCCGCGTCATCATCTACCGGGAGCGGGAGTCGAAGCGGTATGATTTCGAGGCGCAGAGCCGCGCTGAGGCGGTGGAGATTGTGGATGAGATTAAGACGGGGGTGAGGAAGTTTCAGAACGATCTGCTATGAGGCAATGTCGTTCGCGTTGGGAGTTGGTGGTGTATGATGGATGTTTTGTTATTGTGCACGGAGGGTTGTATGGCGTCGCTGATACCATAGTCAGATATGGGGTGCAACAATCGAAATCACTGAGCCTATAGCTCTGTCTCACGACTCTATTTCTATTACTGTACAAACTCCGTCGCTGATCCCTCTAACCCCCAGTAACCGCCACCTCCGCAAACCACTGCCGTAAAGCATTGGCCAAAACCGATGGCAGCTCTTCGATGTTCTGCACGAGCGCGTACCATTGGAACGGGAACGTGTCGAAATAATTCCGCCACACCACTTTTGTCTCGCCATTCGCATCCTGCTCAAACTCCGCGGAACGAAGGTTCAGAATGCTGGACTTCTTCTCGGTGGAACCGTTGCCGGTGTCGTTGGCGGCGTCCAGGACGACAAACACGACCATGACCCGTTCCTCTTGCGCTTGTCTGACCAAGGCCCGTAGTCGTTCATGGTCCTCGCAGTGCCCATCGCTCATGACGATCATCAACTGCCAGAGCTCCGCGGCGGAGCCGGATTGTCGCGCGCGCGAATCTCGAAGAATCCCGATGCTGCGCCTCAGCAATTTCAGGATGTCCGTTTTGGATTGCTGGAAGGTAAATTGTCCGAACAGTTCGGCACCAGCGTTGTTGGAGAAGGGCTTGCCAAATTCATGGACCACCTTGACGTCCTCCCCGAACCCGACCACGGCCAACTCGCCGGCCTCCAGCATGTTGAGGGACGTCGACACGAGCGTTGTGCTCTCGAGCGCCAGCTCCCAGCTGCGGTTCTCCGCCATGCTCTTGCTGTCGTCCAGCGCGAGCAGGATCTGGTAGGTGCGTCGCGTCGGGATGGATCGGCGCATCCAGATCTTGTCGCGCTTGTAGCCGGACGCGATGTAGGGGATGATGCGCCGGATGTTCAGTCGCTTGCCAGTGCGGAAGTCGCCCCGCATCTTCGACGCCAGCGTGGGTTCGAGGATCAAGCGGAGTTGTTCGGTGAGCGCCAGCGCAAGGGGCCGGATCCGCGCCTCGTCGTGTTTCCAAAGGGAACGCGCGGCATCGGCATCTTGTAGATCTTCAAGGCAAGGTGTCCGATCCTCTAGGTCCATGGATTCCATCTGTTCGTCCATGTCGTCGGCTAGGTCCAGGTCATCAATGGATTTCGCATCGGCGTCTTGATCCTTATCTGCCTGAGGATCTCTGGCCGTTGCGTTCGGCCCGAAAGAATGCGCCTGCCCATCAATCGTAGATTCGTTGTCGTCCATATTCGCATCCTCCGATCCTCCGTGTGAAGATTGGGGAGATAGAGGCACTCCGTCTTCATCCTCATCGTCGACGTCAATCCCTTGCTCGCGATCCAAGGCTCGTATCTGGTCTTTCGAAGCAGTACCAAGAGCCTGCCCATCACCCTCTTCGTCGCCCTCTTGGACGTGGGACAGCTCAGCCTTTGCCATGTCCTGATCGGACTTTGTATTGTCTTGCTTTTCTTGAGGGGTACTGTTTTTGACTTGCTTGTTGAACCATTTTTCCAGAACATCTCCAAGACGCTTGAAGCGTGATACCTCTTCGGAAGGCGGGCCATCAGAACGCGTGTTGTCGGGGTCCTTTTCAGCGCCAGGGATGGCCTCATCAGCTTCTTGCTCGTTCTTTGGTTCCGCTGAAGCTGTTGAAGGCACTGTTTCTGCTGGGCCATTTTCCGCATCCTGTTCTTGATCGGTGGTCAAGTCGTGCGTTTCGGTCTGGTCGGCACCCTGGTTAGCCTCCTCATTCTGTGAGAGACCATTCGTTTGTTCCTGTGGTTGACTTTTCGGTGCTTCATCTTCCTCATCAACATCCATGCCATCCACATCCTCAGCTTCCGCCGACACGTCCGGATTTTCTTCCTCGTCAACCTCCATTTCATCTTCCATTTCATCATCAATGTCCTGGCCCGGTGGATTTTCAACGCCTTCTTCGTCGGGTTCTTCCGTCTCGACGCTACCTTCCTTTTCCTTTGGAGGGGCGCTGTCTTCTGGGAGCATGTCTTCCTCAATTGTGCGGTCAAAGGAATCTTCAGATGCCGTCGACTCATCTCCATCCATATCGAGGTCTTCGGGCATATCGAGAACGTCATGCTCCTCATTGGGCCGTTGTTCATCCTGTTCTTCCCCCATCTCCTTGTCGCTGATGAAGTCCTCCTCCGCACCCTCTTCGGTCTCCGGCTCTCCGTTGTCATCCGCCTGCTCAGTTTCGTCCTGCCGCTGGCCCTTTTGATCCTTCTGTTTTTCCTCCTTCATGCTCTCTCCCGCCTCATCCCACATTTTCTCGTCTATGGCATCGGGATCATTATTGTCAAGATCTCCCACATCTTCGTCTAGATCGTCCTCAGCATCGGATTTGTCGTCATCTTCACCTTCAGAATCTGACACGTCAGAAATCTTTCCAGTGTTGTCGTCTTCTCCCATTTCGATTGCATCTTTCTCAGCAGTATCCTCCGCTCCATCCTCTTTCTCCGCCGAATCTTTTTCAATATCTTCCAACTCTTCTTCGTCCTCTATCTCTCCACTGATGTTATTTGCTCCTGCGGCGTCACCATCCCCTAATCCTGTACCGCTTTCCAGCTTCTCTGCCCCAACATCCACATCATTGTTGAGGTCCTGTGGATTGCAGAAGCCATCAGTAGCTAATTTGGAGAATGTCTGGGCAAGGAACTCCACAAGAGCACAGAGTTGCGAGTAGTACTTGGCATTTCGCAACACTGCTGCTTGAGAGATATTCCTGAATTGTGCAATGATTGGAAGCACTGAGACAAGAATAGGCCCAAGGCTTTCCACACTGTCCTGACCGAGGCGTGAGAAGGATTCCAGAAGTGCTCCAAGTCTGATTGAGGTCGAATCTAGATGGAGGCCGGCCGTTATACTCTTCATCGACTGCCCTGATTTAGTCAACCATGATTTGATATCAGTCGAGTCTGGGAATGTTTCTACTGCCTTGCCCGCTTCTTGGATTGAGACGAGCATGGCATCGCAGACTTCAAAGATGCTCTCCACAGTTGAGGAGTCGATTCGATTGTCGTTTGTTTCCTGCTCGGGACCGCCGTTGACGCAGCTGCGTGTAGTCCAAGGGATGATTTTGTCCACCATAATTGTCAACTCTGGAAAGTGCTCGCGTGCACCTATCAATTCAAGTTGTAGAGCCTGAGTGATTTTCTCTGCCTTTTGCTCCCAATCAAGATGCACAAGAGAAGTCACCCCATGAGGAAGTGATGGGAGAGCGGCATATTCAGCTCGCGTGGTCCGAAGCTGAATCACGTAATCCTGAAGTGAACTGATGAACGACCCTCGCTCGAGTTGAGCGACTTCCGCTTGATCCTTGATGTTCAGAATGCCAACGTTCAACACAGGGATCAAATATCCTAGGAAGTTGTCCATGCTGACGGGGTTCTCAGCCGTGGTCTTGGATAGCTTGGATTCTTTGCTAGCAGCGGCCATGTTGTATAGTGCTTGCACATTGCTTTCCAATTTGCTGAAGGAGTCCAACACGTCTGAGGACCGGGTCCGTTGAGTAATCGTATGGTGAAGCAGCACCTCGAACAATGTTGCGCATTTTTGAACGTCTTCGCGCGACAAGTCCGAAGAATGCTCCTGAGTAGCGTTGCGTATCTGAGGGGCAAGATGAAGGGTCCTGAAAAACCTTTGCTCGGCATGCTGGAAGTCAAATATTCCCTCTCCGCACCCGGGAGGGCGCGAAATCGTGGAGATTTGGGCCAATGATTCTTGATTTGCAAGCGTAGCAGTGGAAAGACTCCCACCGAACCCAAAATGTCTCAATTGGCGAATGGTCTCGTTGAGTAACTTACGCTTTCTCATCGTTAGGAATTTGACCTCGTCTGTATTCTCCTCGGTCAAGGTCTTTGGGGTTTCCTTTTGTAGTTCCGATATCATACCACTCAGGTCGTGGAGGAAAGCCTCGAGAATTTGTGACTCCTGCAAACCGTGTTCTAGAACAGGAGTCTTCCGTGTCATCATTTGTGCCGTTGCGTACGCATTTTGAAATCGCATCGGTCTGCTCTCCCAAGCCTCCACTTGACCAAGACCCCCCGCCAAAGGAAGAGCGGCGGAGGGTATATCGATTGTCAACGTGTGGAGTTTGGTCTTTGGGGTGAGGCTGCTGATTTGAAGTGCAGGTCCTTTCTTGACGATCGAGGAGACTGGTTCATTCAAGACGGTCCTAAGTTTCTTGACAATCCTCAGCAGCTTTCGGTGCGATGTCTTCGAGCTCTGCTCGAGAGAGTCGATGTTCTGGTCTTTCCAGGATGCGAGCTGGATCACTGTTTTGATCTCTTTCTCCAGTACGGACCTATGCTCCTTGATATAATTCTGGACATGACCCTCAAATAGAGCGTAGAAGTTGAGTATGTTGGACAGTCCCTCTGGGAAGCCTGCAAGACCCTTGACATGCTTCGATCTCATGTCTAAGTGTGCTCGGAATTGGGAGAGTATCCGGAGTCTTTCGGTGAACTGGCCGAACGGCGCTGTGGAAAGGAACTCATGGACACCACTCAACAGGTCGGCAAGATGAGACTTGGAGGTTTCTCCAGCCATCACAAGGCCCTCGGGGAGGATGACGATGTTTCGGAGGCCTAAAAACCACCATTCCTTTGCTTTTTCCTGGGAAGCCTTCAGCTCGTCGTCAAAAAGGCCAGCCCAAGACCCCAGCTCCAGTCGTCTCCAATCGATAATCAGCGTCGTCAATGTATCGTATTGTCCTGCGGCACTATACTCCCGACTCGTCACTTGCTGCCACCTGTGAATTGAGCGATGTATTTTTTCGGCTTTGGCTATCAGCTTGGCCAAAGGCTCGTCATGCTGAGATTCGTCAAACTCATCGCAGAGCGATATCACCTCGATCGGAACAGCGTGATCAGGCCAGGCTTCGCCAATTTGCTGGAATCGGCGGCGGCAATTGTCCAGAATTTCAAGGAACTTCCGAGCTTGCGAGACGTTCGCACCGCTATAGAAGTTGGACTGGTTGCTGGGTGACACATCGCTGGAATATCCGCGGATGAGCTCGTTGACCTTGCGGACCAAGAGAGGGAAGACTGTTGCAGATGGAACCGAAATGCCATCCTGACTCAATTCGTCACGAGCCAGGCACTGATTCATGTGATGCAGTAATGAAATCAGCTGCTCAGTGGCCTCACCGTTCGAAAGAAATAGTGCTCGGTGCAAGTCACAGAGCCTTCTAGAGGATAGCAAGCCCGAGATTGTATCAGGGTTCGCACCTTCTTGCTCCTCGGAGAGAGGGAACAGTTCTTCCAGTTCTTCTTCTTCAGTTTCAGGCAAATGCTGAGCTCCCCTATACGCATACCATTTCGTGCGCGCCGCTTCCACATCCTGGTCACTTGAAAGCTTGGACGCCCACCTTTGATCCACAGAACGGAAGACGGTATGTAAAATCTCGCCGTTTGAGTCGGATTGTGTGAAGTCATCCTGGACGCAGGAGTGGAACGAGACGACTTGAAGGAGAGCAGATATGAAAGAATCATCCCCAAACATAAGCATCGGTGCGTAATTTCGTAGGTCGAATCGTGTAGCTTCATCACCCAAAAGTGGCACAACGGACTGAAGAGATTTGCAGGGATGTATGTCGTCCACCTGCTTGTCGTTCTTGGCCTCCTTTGCTAAAATCAGGCCAAGCATTAGGCAGTGGATGAAACCATTCACAAGGAAGGTGATATCCTCGTAGTGACGATATGAATGCTTCAGACGGAAACTGATTTGAGCAAGATTGTTTAGCGCCGTTTCGTCCACCTGAGGGTTCGTGCTGTTCAAGAATGACGCTTCGATCCCACGACTGAGGACAAGCAGAGTATTGAAATCCCGCTGCAAGAGATGCATCTGTGATTTCTTCGGCCTCGGGAGTCGAGGCAACGTTGCAGAATACTCGCCCGTCAAAGCAAGCCTGGACTGAAGCATAGTCAACCGGAGATTCGAGTCCGAGGCGCCGAAAGCGGCCAAGTACGTCTCTACGCCTCCGATGCGATGCATCAAGTCATTCTTCATGCGAACAAATCGATCCAATTGAAGCATCTCCCTGGTTGCAGGGTCATATTCAACGTTGGGGACAGTGATGTATATGCAGGCAAGACCAAATGAGACCCATGCGGACGATGCTTCATGGAGGCTGCAAGATGAGGACCGGCGGGCTTCAAGATACCTGGAAACTGGGTTCAGGAATCGAGATCGGGTTTTCTGGAAGAATTGTGCGGCAGGATCGGAAGCCTCATATCGAGAGTCAACCTCTGTGACTTCTGGCTGTATCTCGGTCGTGTTCTCCAAAGGAGGCAATTGAGTGCAGTTGTTCGACTCCACGATACGGTCGAACATGCTTCGGAGCAAACGATCGAGAGAATCCATTCTGCTCGAGCACAGTAGCCCAGGGTTTCTGGCAAGCTGCTGTCCCATGGTTTGCATCTCGACAAGCATACCTTTCAGATGCTTCAGTCGCATGTCTGGCAGTATTGTCCTAAAAACCGTTGTCAGCAGGAGCAAATGAGGCGAAGAACTAGAGCAACTTACAGTTTGGCTAGGCATTTGATCGCCAAATTCTCGTATCGATTGGTTATGCCCGCCTCTGAAACACCACCTGTTATTTTGTTCAGGCTCGCCAGTGGCCGCACAAGTTGGTTGCTTTGGACATCATTAAGGCAGACATCTTTTGTTCGGACCCCTGAGAGTACTGCCAGCTGAATGGCACCAGGATCTCCAGCTACGAACTCGTAGTCGTCAACAAATCGAAGCATTTCTCTGAACTCGTCCGCAAAGTATGGGCCAAATCCGCGGGACGGATCAGCAACCTCAGTAAGACGCATCATCTCTGATCGGATCAGCGAAACTAACCGCTCATGGTCGCCCTCAGTCTCTTTCCAAAGCCCAGAAAGAGTTTTCAACATTGAGTTCCGAACGTTGGTCAAAAGCTGAAGATTTGCATAATTCCGATTCATAACGGAGTCGAGTTGATCCGACACTGATTCGAGTTCGAGTAATGCTTGCAAGCGAGCGGTGGACGGTGGCACAATCGGTCGAAACTGATTCCAAATCCTGTCTAAGCCCAAGCCCGATTGCATCCCGCCATTACTGTCTATTAGTGTGGAGAGACTTAGGATTTGTTGGCCTAATCCACCAAGATGACCTCCCGTCTTCGAGAGTCTTTGAACAAGCGAGCGGCCAAGGAAAGTTAGGCAATTAAATAGGCCAAGGTCGAAGGGAGTATTCTTGTCGGACGGATGGGCAAGAGAAAGAACCTGGTCGATGAAGATGAAGAAATCATGGAAGCCTCTCAATGAACCCTAGGTGGATGTTAGATACTCTACCATCTGTGTCGAACTGTCAATTCAGACTTACCGCATTGAAAGGTATGTGATTAAACATGCTTGGCAGCATGGATGTCAACAGATGGTCGATGCCGAAGAGAAATTCCGCAATACGACTTAACTGAAGCGCTGCGCTCGGTTTGCGATCTGCAAGAGCGAGGGATAGCTCAAGTTGAGTAACCGGCTTGCTTCCGAGCGTTTCTCGAACTTGGAGAAGGAAAGAATGGAACTGGGCAACTCTTCCTACCAAGTCGAACAGGTCGAACTCGTACTCGATCGCTGAAGAGGAACGCGCTTGATTGTAAAGGGAGATTTCATTGTTCAAAGCGTTGATAGGCTGATTGACTCGTAAGCAAGATCGAAAAGGAAGAAGAAGGAAAACAATCTTTACCTGTGCAGAGGAGAATCTCTGTCCAAAAGTTTGAAGGGAGCCTTCTTGTAAGTGATTCCATCTTGTGATGGAACTACCCAACGCTTTACTGAGCGAAAGGAAAAGCGATCCGCCTGTTTGTTCGGCTTCAACAACATGCTGTTGTGACATGAGATCAAGAAAGTCTTCGCTGTGCTGAAGCTCATGTGGGCTAAGATGTTCGCATACGAGTTCCACTACGTATTTTGAATGCACATCCTTTTGAGAGTATGGGAGCACGCCGAATCTCTCAAGCCTATAAGTCAATGACTCGAGGTTTTGATGGAAGCGAGTAGAGCTTTGGAGAGGCGCTTTCTGGAGATGAAGCTCAACCGATCTATTCCGCATTGCTCGCGAGAGCTCCCCATGAAGGGGATCCATTGTCATAAAGATGCGGAAAGAGGGGTGGGCACGTATCACCCGTGACTCGCCCGTCGCCGTGGAGTGTTCGCTGACACTGAGAGTACGGCCGGGTTCCAGTAGGGAGTTCAGCCGGTCAAGTACTGATGGACTGCAGAGATTAACTTGATCCAGAACAAGCCAATATCCCTGGCTCATTGCTTCGATTACAATTCCATCAACCCACTCGAACCGTGCATGCTGCTGCTGCGCCACCTCAAGCGCGAGACTCCAGAGTTCAGAAGCGATGGGAGCAATATCCTCCATGCTATGGACGGCAATAACATCGTCGACTTTGCGAAGGATGGACTTGAGATCAACTTGAGGAAATGAAGACAAATCCGAAAGAAGCTCAAACAAATTTGTCACCAAAGGAGAAGGGGAAGACTGGTTCTCGGTCTGAAGGCAAATCTGGATGACTCGGACTTGAAGAATGGAACGAAGCTGTGCAATGGCAGTCGCAATATGCCTCATCGCATCATATTGTTCGTACCCACCAATGAGGTCACTGGAGTCAGTATCGGCGTTCAGCGAAAGATTGACGAGCTTTGCGCCCGCCATAGCTGATAGGTAACGGATGACATGAGACTTCCCGCACCCGCTCGGACCAGTCAAAAGAACTGGCCACGCCCTGTCGATACAGAAGACGATAGATTCAAGGAGAGATCCAACCCCGGCCCCGAGGTTGGTGATAGGAGTCGAGCTTTCGGCGGTGTCGAGTGACCGCGGGAGCAACGCCAGGCCAACTTGATATCGGTCTTGAGAGAGGTTGTGGAATGCTGCTGGGGCTGGGGGAGGCCCAAATACGTCGAGGCAAAGCTGCCGGATTTTCTCCGCGTCCTCGCCAGTGCGGAATCGTTGAAGGCAGATGAGGTTGAAAAAGTGTTCGAGCGGGACGTGAGGGAGAGTCTGTCGTTGTGACTGCAGTAATTCCAGCCATCTTCGAACGTCTCTCAAGTTGAATTCCCAGGGACCTCCAACGGTTCCAAAACGCCGGTTGTCAAGCTGCTTGCCGATTTCCTCGCTGAAACGGACCACCTTCTCGATGGAATCTTGTGGAAGGTCTGAGAACGATTGTGTGCAGATCAGCTCGAAATCAGTAGCTACCATCGACTCGGCGTATACCACAGTGAACCGATCAACGAAAGAGGCAGGCAATCCTTTCCTACCATTGCCCTGATGATGTGGATTCTGGGCTGCGAAAACCATGAAACCAGGGTGCTTTGCGAATGTCTGGTTCAACTCTGGAACGAACGCTTCGCCACGGTGATCCAGACAAGCGTTGAGACCTTCCAAGACCGGCTGCGAAGCCAAGTTCATCTCATCCAACAACACCCAATCGCCTCGTTTCATGGCGGTCAAAAACGGTGCATCGTGCCAAACGAATTTGCCCAGCTCCGAGCCTTCCGATGGAACGTCCGACCCGAACAAATCCATGAGATCGGTCTGCTCCGAGAGATTGATTCGCGTAATTCGTTTCCCGAGTAACCGAGCAAGTTCGAGCACCAGGGTTGTTTTCCCAACGCCAGGCGCACCTTCAATGAGTATCGGCCTCGGCAAACGCATCGCTCGGGCAATGCGCATGATGTTCGATCGAGTCGTTGGAGCAACCATGCTGAAGTCCCCGTTGTCGGCCGGAGTCTCTGTCCGAGGAAGTTGAAACGGGCCAACGGATATCGCAGTGTTCGAGATCCCTATGTCGGCAGTGACGAAGTAAATCAAGGTGGCGTTGAACTGAAAGAGCTCCGACAAGCTGTTCAGGCATACCAGGCGTTCGGATTCCACATTGGCCTGATTAACGGAGATCAAGCCCGCAGGATTTGCACCGAGGGCGTCGATGAAAACCAATGCAGCGCCATGGACAATGGCTTCCTGGATGCTGGTTTCTGGGAAGCTATTGACGAATTGAACCCAACCTAACATTTTCCGCAGCGATATGCTCTCCGTCATTCCGGTATTGTATTGCTGCCCGAACCACTTGGCGAACTGCAGCAGCCGGCTTCCATACGGCCGTGTATGCGCAGCAAGCCTGGCTTCGAGGATAACGAGCAGATCTTCCTGGTCGGTCATGTTGGGGATCCAAATCTCGGTAAAGCGATTTCGCAAGGCTGGAGAGAGCTCGCGCTTGCCATAATCTCCGCCCGGGTTCATGGTCGCCATGAACTGGAAGCCGTCGGCTCCCTGGATGCTTTGGCCTTCACCTCCTTTCTCGGCGAGGTAAATCTCCCGCTTCGGCTCCAAGACGCTGTTCAGCCGCTCCAACACAGAGTCGTCGGCCAAAGAGATCTCGTCGAGAAGGAAGAAATTCCCCTCTCTCATGGCCTGGACAAGGGGTCCGTCCGACCATTCAAAAAGCTGAGAGTGTCGAAGACGATTCGCTTCGATCGATTTCTGGAGGTCTTTTGGCAATTGATCTTTCGCAGAGATGTCGTAGGCATGAAGGAAGTCGGATAGAGTTGACGCAGGTGGATGTGATACGCCTTGCAAGTCAAGGGCAGTCGTCAACGCCGCGACGAGATCAGACTCGATGGAGGCCCGATTGCGAATCGGCCGTTGCGAACCGAGAAGATCTCCAGCCTCGGTGTTCTGGTGAGCATTCACGGTTAACAGCAGCGTTTCCTTGAGCAGCGCCATGACTTGACACGCTGTGGTCTTTCCACATCCGGTTTCGCCAATCAAGAGAATTGGCTCATGGTTTCTGAAAGCATGCGCGAGAAGGGTGATCATTCTTCGCATCGCAGAGGTGTCGACAAAAGCGGCGTTGTTGCGAGGATAGTCGATTTGCATGTTGGTCAAATCGCCATTGTAGAGCTTTTCAAGATCGATCGTGACACGCGCTCGCGCTTTGCTCATGCACTCTTCAATCGCGGTCTTGACCATGGCCCGTTCGTCTTCCTTCCGAACCCTCTCGGCCAAGAGCATGTAACCATTCTCCGCAAGTTCTTCGATCGTCGACGCCGGTCTCCCACCCCAACGGAAGAGGTCTCGCAAAGTTGCGAAGCTCTTCTGCTCAAACAGCCGATTTTGCTGGCGGAGTTGCGAGAGTCGCTGGTACACTGCGACGATCCGGTTGGCCCACGATTGGGGCATGGAACACCGCTGGTAGAGGATATGGCTGAGTTCTTCCGTCGGAATATCGTCGAAGTGCATCTCCAGGAACCGGTTGCGAAATGCACGCGAGAGGTGCTTGCGACCCCCGTACAGCCCCGCCGGATTCTGCGTAGCGAAGAGGACGAAGTTGGGGTGCGGAAGGACCGTCTCCTGCGTCTCGGGGATGAACAGCTCCCGGTTGTCGTCGAGAAGCCGATTCAACGCTTCGAGGACTTCTCCCGGGGCTAAGTTCAGCTCGTCGAGGACAATCCAATAGCCCTTCCGCATCGCCTGGACGAGAGCCCCATCTTGGAACTCTACTTGTTCGCCCCCTTTGGAAACATACGAGCCCAAGTACTCTTGCAGATCAGTATGCTCATGATTGTTGATGCGCACAAATTTGTTGCCCGATCGTCGAGCAAGGTATTCGATCATACTCGTTTTCCCGGACGATGTCGGGCCTTGGAGCAGAATCGGATACCGCCTCGCAGATACCGCGCGCACCAAATTGTCAAGATTGCTCTGGATGAAGGGTGTGATAATGTAGTCCGACACGTCTTCAGCATTGCCGTCTCCGCATCTCAGCCATCTTGCGCCGATTTGGACATGTTTTGTCCCATCGTTGGGAGCCTTGAATGCCCGCTGAGCCCGAGTCCGGTTTGACTTGGGTCCCAGCAGAGACTCGGAAATCAACTTCGTCACCTCCATCGCCGAAGTATTGTCCAAACAGGTGGAAAAGCTCATCTGAAACCCTTCATTCAGCGCCTCTCTGCCGGACATGCAGGGCTTCATGAGGGCGGCGAACCTCAGTGCTCGGGTTAAACTTCTGAGACTGTAATGCGGCCGACGCCCCGCTCCGTCCACGATCTGATTCGACTCCACGAGCCCTTGAATTTTTTGGTAGAGACCCGCGGCGTCGGGCGCGGACTTTTTGTCGAAGTGCGGATCGCGCAGGTACGAGCTGACGATCATCAGCAGCGACTCCGGATCGCGATCGGGACTTTCGAAGTAGAATTCGGTGAAACGGCTGCGGATTCCGCCAGGGAGGTCACGCTTGCCTACGTCGGTGGCGGGATTCATCGCGGCGAACAGGCGGAAGTCCCGGTGGGCTTCGATCCGTTGGACTTCACCCGACTCAGACAACATTAAGAACCTCTCGTTTCGATATCCGCCTCCGAGTAGCTCGGCAAGCGCCTCTAGAGTCTCCATCGGGGCCAGGTTGATCTCATCCAGTAAGACCCAGTGACCATTGCGTGCAGCTTTGACGAGGTTCCCCTCGACAAACGCGAACAGCGGGCTCGACCGTGATGACTTCATCTTTTGCTCCAGAACCCTTGCCTCCGCTGCAAACTGTTCCCATTCCGAGACATACTTGTACGACGGCGTGGCTGGCTCGCTCTCCGCGTGGGAATGCCCCGTTTTGATCTTTTTGCGCGGATGAGCGGTCGAGATCTCAGCGTGCTCCCGCGATGGGGGTGCTTGTTGCACGCGATCGATAGCGTTGAGCCAGAGCTTGAAGACCCGGCTCCATTGGCCCTTTGCGAAAGACTTGGAGAGGGACGTCAGGAAACCTTCGTTCGCCTTCTGCCCAAATGTGGCGAAGAAAAGGTCTTCGAACCGCGCTTTCAGAGGCTGCATCATAGCCCGAATCGAAACCGGCTTAAAGCTTCCTAACAAGTCGCTGCCTTCGCTCTGTTGGGACAAATTGAAGACATGCAGTGTAGCTCTGGAGCAATTTGACAAGTACTGCACTGTGGATGTCTTTCCAGCGCCAGTCTCGCCTACAAGAAGAAGTGGCTCGCTCTGCATAACTGCCGCCGAAATTCTTTCGAGAGCGCATCTCGTCTGACGATTCAGAGCGAGAGCTTGTGTGTCCAGGTGTCTCTTGATCGAAGAGGACACTGGTAGTTGGATGCGTCCGACACGAAGCGACGCTTTCGATCCTTCCTTTGGGAACCCCACTGGGATTTCTCTTCGACCGAGTAGATGGTCGCGAAGCTGAGGGTCAATGCCGAGGGCGATGGCGATGTTCTCAACCATCGCGTCCTGCAAAACCTTGTCGCGCATGCTCGCTGCGAATATGTCCACGGCATCCAGGAACATGCCGGCCAAATCATTGTCATCGAATTTTCGTGAATGTTTGAATTTCCACGACATTCGGCTGCACCATTTCAGCAAATCGGCAAAATGGAACGGCCGAATGGAGCCATTTTTGGCGGCATATGAAAATGATTTCGATGCGAGAAGCGTGGTTACCCTCTCAAACAGAGTTGTGAAGGAGCCGGAATGCTTCACCAACTCCGGGTACTTGGTTTGAATGATGTCCTTGGCCTCCTGCAGGGAGAATGGACACAATTGAGTTCGTTCCCAAAACCTCCAACCGACCATCCTCGGTCGGGAAATGGTCTCGGTCCCTGTAGAGCTTTGAATGGTTCGTATCGTAGCGATGATTCGGAATCCTTCCGCGGCTCGGATGACTTCACCTCGACTCGGCAGATGCAGCTCCCCTCTTTCCAGTAGCGGCAATAGGGTACTGATTACGGAATCGGGCGCATGATCAAGGTCTTCAATTACGAGCCATCGGCCCTCCTTCACAGCAGTAGTGAGAACGCCAGGAGCCCAAGCAAATGTCCCGGCTTCTGGGTCGGTCGTATACAGACCAAGCAGTAGTTTTGCATCGGTCTGTTCGTTCAGATGCAGAGTAACCATGGTATCTCGTTTACCCATCAATTCTGCAAGATAGTTGATGATGAACGTTTTGCCAGAACCAGGTAATCCTGTAAGAAGCGTAGGATGGCCTCCCAGTATAGTCCTGGCAAAGGAAGCTAGGTTGGAGATCGCACTGGGCACAGCGACGAATGACTCGTCCACTTCGTCCATGGATCCCTTGTGGATTCGGGGTAAAAGCACCCCTTGGACGGGGACGACGTGAGGGCTCATGTCTTCAGGTCGGACAAATAGAGGCCGCATAGCGGCAGATGGAAGTTCCGACTGCAGCTTTTGAGCCTCATCAACCGCCCCTGACATTGATTCGAACCGTTTCCTCTCCCATATGTTCAGATATGTATAGTCGATCTCTTTGCCGTCCCAAAGGGCTTTGACAGCCTGTCCGGCCGTATATTTATGCAGGGTCTGAGCTGTTGCAGCATCCGCAGCATGCGCAAAGAGGCAGAGCACACGAGTCGCCAGGTATCGTATGGCAATGGAGGAGTGCGAGAGGCATAGTTGAAGATTGGCAGCGTGAATATAAGCGCTATACGTCCGGTCGTCCAGCCTCAACAGTCGAAATAGACCCAGGAGTAGTTCGCGCAGGTCTTCCTCCTTTCTGCCCTGAAAGAGGGTTTGTTCCAAGGTCGGCAGCCGTAACGGTCGGCCATTATCATCGTGGAAGAGCGGTTGTGATATGAACTGCGGCAAGTGAGGGGCAAACGGCAGGATGCGTCCCAGGGCCGGAATTGCGTAGAGCAGCTGGTTTCGGTTCCATCTGCAGCAGAGCTCCGCGAATATTGGCTGCAGTTGGAGAAAGAGGGCGTCCGTGTATCGCGGGAGGAGGGCGGCGGCGGAGGTGGCTTCGAGGATTTGCGGGATCGATCCTTCGCGGAGGATGAGTTTGAGTTCTTCGGGGAGGTCTGCGGTGAGCAGCAACGAAGCGAATTGCCGCGAGCAGTCCATCACTTCGGTCAAGAACGACCTTATCGTGACGGTCGATTAATTGTGGTCAAATTCGGAGGATTTGAACCTTCATGGAACAAATTTCGTTCGCGAAATAATGTCGATGTCGAGATGTCGAGAATTTTGGACAGGGGCCCCCTGTAAATATATAAGGTTGTAAGGCTGTAAGGCCAATGTGTATGAATTTGAGACGCCCAGACCACATCGTCGTCCATCGCTTTTCGCGACCTAAAGATTTATCTGGGCCTCCCCGATGGACGAATCCTAACCACAGCTTGTGCTTCCTTCCATACATCCTAATTGGAGCCTGAGAGCATCTCTCGACATTCTTTGCACCATGTCTCTCTCCCTCCCCGCCGTCGTGCGGCAATGCGCCCGCAGCCCTCTTCGCCGAAGGATCATCTCGACCTCCGTTCTTCGTCAACGAACGACACAGTCCGCGAGCTATCTGCAGCGGAGACAGCAGTCGACCGAGGCGGCTGCTCCTTTGGACCCGAAGATCGAAGCTATAGTCGAGCAGATTGGGAAATTGACTCTCCTCGAGACAGCCGACCTCGTCTCTACGTTGAAGGTACGGACTCCCAAGACGGAAGAATCATCAATTGCTAACACCATCCAGAGCCGGTTAAATATCCCAGATGTACCGATGGGCGGATTCGCAGCCGCCGCCCCAGCGGCCGCCGCACCCGTCGAAGAGGAAGAAGCGGCCCCCCCGGCTCAAGAAAAGACGCTGTTCAACCTCAAACTCCAATCGTTCGACGCCGGCTCCAAACCGAAGGTGATCAAGGAGATCAAGAGCCTGCTCGGCCTGAGTCTGGTGGACAGCAAGAAGTTCGTCGAGAGCGCGCCGAAAATGATGAAAGAGTCCGTGCCGAAGGAGGAGGGGGAGAAGATCGTCGAGACGCTTAAGGCGATCGGGGCGGTGGTGGTGATGGAATAGTGCAGCAATGTAGGATAGCATACACTGTGGCGTTAGCATCGAGCTGTACATGTATCATACGCGTGGTCTCCGGAGGCGGGTGGTGGCTCTTGGACATGGCTGTTTTCTTGGGTCTGTTTGCTTCTTGGATATCAAGGATGCAGCAAGATTCGCTATGGAGGAAGTCTCCATACGCTTGCTAATGTAACATATCATCATATTTTACTCTCCCAACCAGGATCATGCCATTTCCGTTAGGTAAAGGTGTCGGAGTCCCCCTGCAGGATCTTGTGCTCTTTCCCCTCAATCAAATCATCCTCCTCGTGATCCAAATCCTCCTCCCACTCTCGATCCGCCTCATCCCCGTTTTCCGCACTGACCGCCCAAATGCTCTCTCTCATCCGCTTGTGCCGTTCCCGATCTTCTTCAATTCTTCTCTCGATCTGCTTTTTGTCCAGTCGGGCAATCCCGTTCGTCTTCGCCGTAGTTGTAGCTGATTTCACGCTCTGTCCGTTCGTCCGCGGTTCGGCGATGCCCGCCGTGTCGCGCTCGCTCAGGCGCGCATCGATTTCTCGGATCGTGTCGTCGCCGAGAATCCGTCGTTGTTCTAGGCCGTTCATCACCTGGTGGACATCAGCCGTGCTTCACGGGAGCCGGGGAAAGGCGTGGAGGCAATCTGACCTTCCTTGCCAATTTCACGTTGGTGGCGCCGCTACCATCGCTAGGAGCGACAGCGTCGATAATTCGAATAATGTCCTTTTGTATCATCTGCACAAAGTCGAGGTGATTCTCACGCTGCGCGAGATCGCACAGGTGCTCGACGAAGAACAGGATATTCGCTCGGACATTCATGTTATTCTGCCAACGGTTAGTATTCGTACTTGCGCCACGTCGTTTCCATGACTTACGCGCTCCAGCTGCTCCAGGATGCACGAGTGGAGGTCCTCGTCCATATCTCGGTTCTTGAGCGCATAGCTGGCAGCTCGCTGCGCGGACGTCACGGAGGCGTCCAGGTGCTGGAGGAGCGATGTGAACCGGATGCGGACTTCGAATGGATCTGCCATGGCTCAAACGGCTCAGGGCCATGCACGCCGGATAGGTTGAATCTTTTGACACTCGGGGAGGTGATGCATGGATCACTGCAGAAATCAAATTTGTGACCGACGCTCGAGGGGGGTCGTGGGATGACGGCATTCAACGTCCATCGTATAACACATGATGCGTCGGTTGACCGTTGGTGAATATAAAGTTGGCAATTTGCAACGAGAGCCTCATGGAGCTTCATACTGGACCGTTCATAATTCCGAACCCAAGCGCCAAATGCTGTGGTCAGCCACATGCAGTCGGGCCAGCTCCGCGGGGAACGGCCTGCGAAAAGCAGCATTCAGCCACCGCCGCTCTATGAACGCCACCATTGACCATGGATATTGCCCGGCAGCTGGAGTAGATCTCCATTAAATGTTACGGTAATCAATCGGGAAGTGAGGTCGAAATTTTCCGGGCAATTGGATGCTGTAGTTTGCAAAGACGCAGTATTTTCAGATCACAAGAAATTAATATTGGAATTGCTTCTGGTATGCAAGGCATCGAGCAAGTTGCAGGAAACCACATGCTAACAGTTCCAGATACCGATATCAACATGGCAGCACAATCCGGGAACTCGGAAGGACTCACTCTCACGGTGTTAGGATGCGGTACGATGTGCTTCGGGTGCTTGTCAATATCTCACTAACGGGTTTCGATAGGTACCATGGGCATCTCGATCCTCTCGGGGATCATGTCGTCCCTTGAAGCGCCATCCGCATCCACTCCCGGGGAAGAGCTCCCAGCCCGGCTCCCTTCCAAGTTCATCGCCTGCGTCCGCCGCCCCGTGTCCGCAAAGCGCATCCAAACTGAGCTCGCAGCCTACTCCTCCAGCCTAACCACTCTGGTCAACGACAACATCCCCGGCCTCCAGCAAGCCGATGTCGTCCTCCTCGGATGCAAACCCTACATGCTCCGCGACGTCCTGACCGCCCCGGGCGTCAAAGACGCCCTCGCCGGCAAGCTCCTCATGAGCATCCTCGCCGGCGTCACCCAGGAGCAAATCTCCGAAACCCTCTACGGCGCCACCCCGCCCCCCGACCCCTGCCAAATCGTCCGCGTCATGCCCAGCACCGCCAGCTTCGTCCGCGAATCCATGACCGTCATCGCCACCTCCACCCCGCCCCTCCCCTCCGCGTCCCTCGCCCTCGTCGTCTGGATCTTCAGCCGCATCGGCAAGATCGTGCAGCTCCCCGCCGGCAACATGGACGCGGGCACCGCGCTGTGCGGCTCCGGCCCCGCGTTCATGTTCCTAGTGCTGGAGTCGCTAGCGGACGGCGGCGTCGCGATGGGGTTGCCGCGCGCGGAGGCGCAGATCATGGCCGCGCAGACGATGCGTGGGGCTGCGGCGTTGGTGCAGAATGGGGAGCATCCGGCGGTGTTGCGGGATAAGGTGTGCACGCCGGGGGGGTGCACGATTGGGGGGTTGCTGGTGCTGGAGGAAGGGCGGGTGAGGGGGTCGATGTCGAGGGCGGTGCGCGAGGCGACGGTGGTTGCGAGTCAATTGGGGAAGGGCGTCCAGAACGTCAATGGTACCCGGTTTTAAAGTACATTGCCAGGAGGAAAAGTTTCCGTGCATTCATGGGCATTCTCTACGGTGGCTGCATTAAAAAGACTAGGCTGGATGACTGATTTGAGGCTACTGTATCCCGTATCAGTTGCAAGAACCCAAGGATTTCCTTGCGGGATTTTGTATGTCTAATAGGTCGCAATCAAGTCAACCATGATTGCTATCTTCCATGTTTCTCCAGTCCACTCATATAAATGATGCATCGGCCCAAACTTGCGCGACAGCCCTTATGTGTCTAGCCTTCCTCGCCACCCCTCGCCATTCGCTCTTCTTCCGAGTCCGAGGCTTCCACCAGTGCCTTCTCCACGGATTTTCTTCCCGGAGCAACTCGTGCAGCTTTGACCGCATCGAAGCCTTTAGAACTCAAGTACAAGAAGGACGATTCTTTATACCCATCAACATGAGAGAAGAAGTTGTAGAAACTGGGTGGAAGTTAGCCGGAAAATAGCTCAGGAGGAGGACTGAAGCAGTCGCTTACGTGTGATCCTTGGCATCCTCTTCGAAGATGCGGTTGTAAATCTCCCTCTGCTTGAACTCCTGGATCTGAGCATCGTACTTCGAGAAGTCAATGGGCTCTTTGTCGAACTTTTCGGCTTGGATCTTATTGTACGTATCGAAGATCGGCCTCTCGAGCAGTAGTCCGAGTCCGGGCGCCTTAGGGATCGCAATGGTCGTATGTTCAAAGCTTTCAGGTATCCGCACAACAGGCGTACCGCAACGGACGATCAATGCCGCCATGCTGACCATTTTCCGGATCTGGTGCATCATAAAGCTTTGCCCGTGCACCTTCAGGGAGATCCATTCGGTCCCGCTGAGGATCATCGGATCTCCATTGACCTCGAAAGACTTCATGTGGCGCTTGGCGGATGGATCGGTTGCCATCTTCCGGACCGTATAGTTGTGGTAGTTGCTCGTGCCTTTGTACTGGCTGAAGGCCAACTTCACCCGTTCGAGCCGTTCCGGTGTGATACGGTACTCTGCTTTGGCATGATAGTGAGCCTCTTTGATGTCTTTGATGGCTTGATCCAGCGAAGCCTGCTGCTCACCGCTGAGATCGACAGTCTTGATGGATGTGCCGGCAATCTTTATGGTGGAGGGTTTTCGAGGTTCGGTGGCTTCGTCATTGGTGGGTTGATCTGGCGCCGACTGCTCCTGGCCGCTTGTGCCCGCTTTGTTCAAGGCCTCTTCCTCCATTTTGGCCTCCTTCTTTTGTATCGCTTCGAACGCCTCGAACTCGCCGACATTCTCCTCCTCGTAGAGGGCCTTGTTGATGAGAGATCTTAGATTGTCATCCAAACGCGCCAGGATCGGAGCGACGTGCTTCTCTTCGGCAAACTTCCAGAAGTCCTTTTCCGCTCCTTGACGGGACTGGTAGCCTTCAACGTCATCTGCTTCTTTCGCGAGCTCTACGATCTTCTTCCCGAGGAATGAGGCAGGATTGGGAGGTAGGAAGCAGTGCGTTGGGATGAGGTATTCGTACCACCGTGAGTCACATGCCGCGTAGCAACTAAAGCTTCCAATCGTTCGTAGGAATCCCCAAACCCGGATTTGAGGAGGGAGGTGGGTGTTGATCTTTTCGACGATATCCTCGTCTTCCACGATGAGTTTGAGAGATACCACATTCCCGGCGGCATGAACACCTTTGTCGGTCCTGGCGCATCGGACAAGAGTGCTTTTCTTGGGATCATTGGCATTGGCTTTTGAAATAGCGCCCGCAGACACAAATGCCGAGAACAAGTCGCCTTCAATGGTTCGTTCGTTTGGCATGATCTGCATGCCTTTGTATCCGCTCCCAGAGTAGCTGAGTAGAACTGCAACTTTCCGCTTCGGACGACGCGACTCCTCTGCAATTTCTTCCGCACTGAACGCTGGAGGGAGGTGGGATTTCCCCACTTCGCCGTCGCCATTCTCTGCATCCTGATCTCGTTTGGCCTGCCTTGCGGTGTTTCGATCCCTTTTATCTACATTTTGGCGACTTGCGCTATTAGTTGTTGCTTTGAAGAAATCCCTGGATATCTAATTGCTCACAAATATTCGTTCCGCCCAGTAGGCCTTCTCGAATTTCCCCGAGAACCTCGCTGAGCGGACGACTTTTTACCGCGGGATCCAGGATGCTTCTGTCGTTTGTGATGAACCTTTTCACCACCTTCGCTGTGTCCATCGTTGTCATTGCGCTTCCTCTTCGGAGACCCAGGCTGCGGAGGATCCATGACTGGCTCATCTCCCATAGCTGGTAATATGGTTTTGATTCTTGAATGATATACGCAATAGAGGCAAAGGTTCGTTAAGACTTGAAGTGCAGAACTGCATGAAGGCATTTGCTCAAGCCAATGAAAAGGCAGGTGCTGCACATACACCCCAATTACCCTGCATATGTTAATATAACATCCCTGCTTGTCCTAAGTCTACGCCACAGTCACGTGATAATAACTCCTGCACTCTGCACGTGATTTGACCATGGAGGCTGGAGCAGGCTGGCTAATCGAGCAAGGCCTCGTTAAGCGCCTCGCCTCGCTCGCCTCGTTCCTTGATCAAGGCGTCGCTATTTCGCTGTATCACGTGTTGCTAGACCCGTTTAGTCGCATGCTACCAGTCTTTCATCGTCGTAGTCCGTATTTTCTGGATCTGACCCAGATTCTATAGGATTCAATGACCTTAGCCACCGTGGTATTGGTCACTATATAGTATACAGGACTACGGATGGTATATTTAACCATGGTTCGCGCAGGCCTCGCGAGGCGGATTAGTATGTAATTGAGTCGAGGCGAGTCGAGGCGCTTAGTCATCCCTCGCGACGCCTCGCGACGCCTCGATTAGCCAGCCTGGGCTGGAGGCTGCAGGTCGGCCCACTCTCAGATGAGCTTTCATCTGAGAGTGTACGGTCCATGGCAAGGGTGAAGCTCCTTTCACACCCTGCTGTGCTCCATTCACACCCGTACCCCGCTCCATTTACACCCTACCTGGTCACATGACATACCAATCCCTTCGAATCTCTGACGCAGATTGGGATGGTCCAGTATATGATGCTTTATACGAGTCAAGCCGACCATTCTGCGTTCAAACTCTGTAATCCAATGTATCTAATCGTACGGAGGATCACGGATGATCAAAAACGCTAACTTAGGTCCTCGTTTCACTCAAAAGAAGCTGGCGTAAGGCCGCTGATGCGCTCTTGGATGAGATCGCTGAATGACGTCTCCCCTGGTCGATAGTTCGCAAGTAACCTTCGTGCTTCTTCCGTAATTTCCTGCCCGTTCATCTGCGGCGGAGGGGCTGGCTGGGGCTGTGCTCCTCCTCCCGATCTTTGGTGTTGTAATGGTGTTGCACGTACCTGTTCGAAGGCAGACGGGAGTCGACGCGAAGAAGGGTCGTTTGGCCGGTCTCTTAGTCCAGGAGGAAGTCGTGCCATAGCTGGATCGCGTACTGTCGCGAAGGATCCGGGTAGTGGGAGTGTAGGTAACTTGTAAAACCAATAGGAGTCGATCATAGGAAGCTGGATTTGCGTATTTTGTGATAGACAACGTCGAATAGTATGGAAGCAAGGAAGTCCAAGAGAAGTCTGATATATGTGTGTGCATGGAGACTGGTTCGAGTAATCTCCTGAGTGCTCTTCATCTCTTTGTTGACGCTCTTCATTTCTCTGTTGACGCTCTTCATTTCTCTGTTGACGCTCTTCATTTCTCTGTCGCCGCTCTTCATCTCGCCGTCGACGTTCTTCAAGCCTGATTCGAATGATACTTCGATACATCTTCTTAAGCGCTTGCGGAGAAACATGTTGGATCACTTCCGGAGAGAAAACGGCGCGATACTTCGGATTGACACGGATTGCAGAGTCCTCCATTGCGACAGTAGCCTCATGGTTTGTACGACGGATTGAATGCGTTAATTGATCGATGGTATTCATTATATCGCCTCGTCGAAGCGTGATCCGTCGCTTAATAGTTGCATGAGAACTCTCGGCCCTCGATGT